GTGATAAATGCAAAGAGAATGAATAATAATAATCTTGGTGCGGCGAAGCTGGAAGGGACCCTGTGGATCATCCAGTCCAGCCCCTGTCAGGGAAGCATAGTGGGGAATCAAACTCCCAACCTCTGGCTCTGCAGCCAGATGCCTAAACCACTGAGTTATCCAGCTTAAAACCGCGAAGCAAACACTATATATTCTCTTTTTTTCCCTGAAAAGTAATGAGCAACATCTGTGCCTGCTAAGCAAAAGGAATACCTGTACATTTCATTCTTTTTCTTATGGGAAAGAATGGTCACAAATCTGCCAATGAATTTGGATATCACAAGTCCAGTGACCAGTTAGAGCCATCTCCTATTTCAGCCGTTTTGAAAACACACAAACACACACTTAATGTCTATGACAGCCATTTTGAAAACACACAAACACACACTTTCCCTTGGATAGTATGATCTTAATGTTTATGCTCTTTACTGCAAACTCTAAACAAGCTATGAGTACTGACAAGCGTTAATCTGTACCTTTTAAACTGTGTTTCTGTCATAACTGTAGCTCGATCGGATAGGTGACATAGCTTGTGCAAGCAAGCAACAGTTTGTAGGTTTTTAACAGCCAGGTAACGACCCTCCAAGCAACTGTTTTGAACAACTACAGAAAGTTGTCAATGACTCTGTGCAATCTCTGTGCTGTTTCAAAACAGTAGTTGACAAATTAAGGAAGTTCCCAGCCTGAAGCAACAAAAGGACATATAATAGCAGGTACGGTATGTCAGAAGTCGGAGATTTCCAAAATGTGAGATGTCTTGATAATGATCCAGGGATGACACACACTTTTCTAACATCTCCAGCAATAACCTCCTTCACTGGAGGTTTTTAAACAGCAGTTGGACTGTTATCTCCCACGGAAAGTTCAGCAATGGACTTCTGCAGTATCATTCCATCGAGGAGCACTGCTGTGCATTTCCTACTCTACAATTTTATGATTGTAGGAATATGGCTATACCACTGGATTGGCAAGACAGCCTGTGGACCGATATCTAGTACTTTCTAAAGCCTTTGTTAGTCTTAAGAACCTGTTTCATTAATAAAATAAACACAGAGTTCCATTATTTAGGATGAATCTAAATTAATTTCCTATTTCTTGTTCATATAAAACAGTCTGCAGAACAGGACCTACCCCTCGTACCAGAGAACCGGATTCCCCAGAGAGTTAGCTACAGGGAGAGTGAGCCCTTCAGAAGATTTAAAAAGGGAAACTCTCTAATTCCAATGCAATCTTTGAGTTCCATTTGCATGTATAATTTCCTTTTCTAACTTAATATTCCTGTATAATTTCATAGAAGTGTTCAGAACATGTCGGGAACGGCTCAAAATGCAGAGCAAGCAACAAAGTTAATTAGAACTTGAAGCAACTAATAAAGGTGGAGAGGGAAGAAGAGGAAGCAATGGAGCTGACCCACGCTCTCCTGCCTTCTGGATTTCCTTCTGCTCTATATATCTAAGCCCCTTGCACTGAATCCTGTGTGGAATTAGTTTGGTTCCCAAGATACTGTTCACAAGGAAGCTAAGACAGTAGGTCACAGAGAGCTTCCCCACCAGCTGAAAATATAACTCAGGAAAGGTGAAATCACCACCACTGTGCTATCAACACATACTTCATTTAAATACCAGGAAAAATAAAATACTGATTCAGTTAAGACAGATAAAATAGTTGTTAACTAGGAAAAATAAAATACTGATTCAGTTAAGACAGATAAAATAGTTGTTAACCCAGTACCACTTCCAAAGACTTAACAAGTACTCCCCACAGGAAATGTCTATGGTATAAACAATGATGGCTTTGAGGAGTGACACACCTACCCTTCAGCTGATTCCCAGACACTGGAAGACGTGCAACTTAAAACTGACAACAAAGAAGAATATTTAATCCTGGCCTTTTAAGCAGGATAAACAAGGACACATGAGTGAGAAAGAAGGCGCAAATCCCAAGACAAGCTTAGTGGTGCAGGGGGGCTAAGGTAATGCTTCTTCCTCTGGCACTTCCACGTAGGACAGGCAGAAACAACGTAAGAGCAGACCAACAGCTCACCGAGCACACACTTCAAAAGAGGGAAGATGATGAACCATTCTGACATTTCTTGGCTTGCACACTGAGCCCTCTTTGGTTGTAGGTCACCGTGTGGAATTAAAAGCCCCCAAGGAAGACTCAGGTAAGTTAAAAGCAAATGCTGTCAACAAATTTCTTTCCTTTATCTAGAGCTCTGTTTATGCACAAACGCTTTTACATGCACAGGTTCTGGTGTCTGTACAGGAAAGAGAAGAAGGCTCATATTTCTTGGCATCTTAGCCTTAGCTTGAAAATTATCTCCAAGAACGCCTTCTAGAGCAGGTGGGTGGAAGGATAGGGTAGAGTTTACGAACAGAACACCGGTTACCTGCCAGGATTCTTATATCTTCACTCTACAGATAATCCTGACTCCTAGATACTGCTATTTTGTAAAATTTAAAATATATTACTGACTACAATATAAGAAATATTTCCCTTAGGACTAAAGCGGGTCTGTCATCGTGCCGACGGACCTGAAGTGATCCTGCTTCTGATTAAACTGTTTTCAAAGCGCTTTTTCTTGTCTAAAGGAAATAGTGCAATTAAGCAAAGAATTTGAAACAATACTGTTTCCACCCACTTATCATGGCATACAGGGAAATCATCGGGAGTTACAAGTCCTGTATTACCAGTGATTGGGAAACACCTTCTATCGAGAACATTTTAGCAGAGAGGTGTGTGAATGGTATTCAGCAGTGTCTGCCGCTGGTTCATTAGACCATATGGGGTGCTGCCCCACCCATCTCCAGTTACTCATGTATACTCATATTTAAATAGTGTCTTCCAAGGATACCTTGGGTTCTTTTTAAGGAGAAAGGCGGGGTACAGATACTTTAAATAAATAAATAAAATTAATACTGCCAGACAGTTTGCTTCTACCTATGTCCTTAATAGAGAGACAGAAGCCCCTACCTATGTTCTCCTCTTACTGTGTATAGGTGTGCAAAGATGCCTGTCTGCCTACAGACATGTGCATCTCCGTAGGTGCATGCATTAATACCTATTTTCCCCCTTGAACCAGCTTGGTCGCCTCTTGTTGTATCCTCCTACGTTGCGCCTCCCATCCTAACCCCCACAATGAAACCCAGATGCCACTGCTCCCTGGTAAGTCCATGTAACCACACCCAGCATAAAACATCCAATCCAACCCTTTTCCGTATAAAACTAGGAACTCATTTTCGTTTACAACATTTTACATTCGCTTGGATCCAGGACTGAACTGTGCAATCTTTGGTGACACAGAACTTGTTGTGGAAGGACTCCTGGGAAGAGATGAAGCATGTAGAAGGAAACCTAGTCAACGGTTGGCCTCTCTCAACCAAATGGCATGGTTAAATTATTTAGATATAACACACACAACTCACTGTGCTTTCAGTTACACTAACCTCATGTCTGAGATTTTATTTTATTTGTATGGATTTCTCTTTCAGTCTAGGAATCTAGGAAAGCTAATTGGGCTAAAGTAGCAAAATCTAAGATTGAAGTTGCCAATTATAAAGTCCACCAAAGCAAACAAAGGCATGTGTTGACCATGAGTCTGGTTAAGACTGACACCAGTCCCTTATCTTAAGAGACCCACAGCTGAAATGATACCACATTATCCCCTTATTTCCACACATTAGCTATGAATAACAGCAACCCTCATCGATACCCTAAAGTGATCCTGGTTTTTGTTTATTTGTTTGAAAGAAAAGCTGTTACACATGTGACATGGCTTGGGAAAGTAACAGCAATTTTTTTACAAACTGCATAGGCAGCCATTTTGGCTTTACTTCACAAGGTATAGCATTACCAAACAGAGGAAACTCTTCCTCCAGCAGGAGAGGAAAGCCATTTTTAAAGAAGTGAAGGCCCAAATCTTCTTACTTGTTATCCCACTGACAAGCATAATCCAGTTCTAATATACAGTATTTTGTCCAGTCAGGGATCTATTGTTAATTATTTACAGACTGCAATGCTTATGGTGCCATGCTATTATGGAGAATGTCAAGAGCAGAGACGCTATTTAATATATTTCTGTTCTACGGTATATAATTTACAATTCTCTCAGTCTGAAACAAGATCGTAACATAACCCGTCTGGCTGGTCTTTTGACCGTAATAAAGTTTTATCTTATAACACAACCCTTCCAATGTATTCCCTTTCTCTCTCTCATGCAAAAATATACACATGCCTAGCCTTATCATTCACTCTCCTTTTTATAAATATACATTTACAAAATGACAGGTCACAGAAGGGTGGTTGTTATTTTTAAAAAAATCATCTATGTACTGCAGAATATACTTCTATCACTTTTTGCCAAAATCTAGATTTTACTGTACTCTTATACCACATTGATCTTAGAATGCTAGAGAAACACTGTATCTCAGAATCACAAGTTACACCTTCAACATCTTTTCCTTCCTCAAGACCTATTAGCAGGCTTGATAAATGGCACAAGAAAGTCGCTCACAGCATACACAAGCGTGTGAAAGAAGCATGTTTCTGTTCTCATTTTTTTTGTCACTGTTTCTATGCAGATGCCAGAAGGTGTTTTCCACTGCCGTACACTATCTATAAAGAGGACCATTCTACCCGGCTGCCCGTTCACAGAGCACATTGCTGGTGATGTGATCTTTGTATGTTACATGCGCACACACCTGAAGACACAAAAGCAGAAAAGAAGTAAGGGATAACATAAAGTGAAACTGGAAATTACAGAACCCGCCAGTTAGAGAGAAACAAAATCTCTAAGAAAAGAGAGTGAAATTCCGTTAAAAGTCTCCAGACATCCAACCTTCTGAAACCAAAATATACACAACTCAGGGTCCCCGTACCTGATAAAGACATGGAGGTTTTCAGTAACTCTGCAATGGCATTCATAATCTTTTAAACACTCGTGGCAGGAAGTAGCGACTTACTCGGTTCCCTTTGGCCAATAGAGCTTCCACCCTGCCACTGATGTCATGAAGCAGACTGCACACCAGTTGATTGCGGCGTCTCTCTCTCTCTCTCTCCCCAGTTCCAATGGCGCTGTCTGTTCGCTTACAATTGCTTTTGTGTCGCGAAGGTGAGGCAGGCGGGGTGCGAGTGGGGGAAGCGCTTTTGTCCCTAACAAGCAGCGACCTGGCCAAACACACTTCCAAGGTGCTCAGCGTACAAGGGGACGTACTGCACTGTTCTGCTTTTTCTTGCATATGCTTGTGTGTCTGTGTGTCTGGTCTGGTCTTTCTCTCTCAGGCCGGAGCTGTGCCCAGTGACCAGTGGAACCTGCTGCTGTCACCCTAAGCAAGAGATCAGATGACTTTTAGCGCAGCCTGCATGGCTCAATTAGCATGCCGACGGATTGTCCACCTGGCCCTCCAACCCACAATGACCCCTTAACGCTCCCCACAATTCTGAGAAAGGAGAAAATGAGACCAGGACGTTTTCTCTCTCGCGCCACCACATACCCTGCTTCTGAAGAACTTAACAACCGTCCTTCTACCCCCCCCAAAAAAATGAAAATGAGAAAGTTTACAGCCCTGAATGCCCCTCCTCCCGAAGCACATTTTTTTTCAGTCTCTATGCAAGGAACAAAGCTAAGGGACACTGCACCGTCACTCCACGTTACAAGAGGGGAACAAGATATACTGACCGAGGCTTAACCCCACTGCCTTTCATCATCCTTCCATCCTGAAGACATGAAATCCAGCCTTTCCCATGCAGCTGCGAAGCCCACATACACAATCAACATGTCGCCCCTTGTAAAAACCAAAAAAAGAAAAGAGACCCACAATCAAGTGAAACAGGATCACATACCGACACGGCAGCCAAGCCAACTCATCTGGGCTTGACAAAGTAGTGTGATTTATCTCCCCACCCCACACACACACCCTAAACTTAACCAAGCAGGTGGATTTTAACTGACACCTGGAAAGATGGGGGGGGGAAACCAACCCAAAACGATGGCTTTTTTTAAAAAATGGCCATTCTGGCAAAGCAAATGCAATCTAGACTGGAAAAAAAAGCTGAGTTTCCTTGGGCCCCCTCCCCAAATACATTCATTTTGCTCTAAAATGCATCCTTCTTCTGTGAGAAAATGAACCTATTCACCATCCCCACAATGCCGGGCAGGCCATCCCACCCTTCAGAGGAGACCCCCCCTTCCACAAAGGAGAGGGATTTTTTTTATCTGAACCCCCCCCAAAAAAAAGCCCTGTTATTCTGGACAAAGAGCGGTTCCCTCCAAGCCCACATGGAGGATGATTGTTCCACCTTGACAGAGCACACAAAAGAGCTCAATTCAAAAGGTGGCAGAAACAGGGTCCGCTTGTTTGTTCCCCCCCAGTCTCCTCCTGAGTAGGACAAAAAGAGGTAAAGAAGACACCCCCCCCAAAGATCCAACCACAACACAAGATCCAACCTCCAACACCCTCCCCTATTAAATTGGGGTGAGTGGGTGAAATAATAGGGTGAGAAACCTTTGAATAGACCCCCCCAAAATCCCCAGCCCCGAAGAAGCACCCCACAGACAAAAAAAACCCTCATAACTCACCCCCCTCCGGAAAAAAACCCGCATCTACCCGCCTACCCTTAGGATTACCCCCCTCACACATAAAATACAAAAAACTCAAGGCTTGGGCCCCATTGAATGGCGCCCCTCTTGCCACCCCCCACTGAGCAGGCACCAAGCCCCCCCTCAGACACACACCCCAAAAAGGAAGCCCCCCCCACCTTTCTCCCTCTCTTTTCCTCGGCGGGGGGGGAGAGGGAAAGGGAGAAATAAAGAGACGCCCGCCTCGCCTCCCCTCCCTCAGGCCGCCCTCTTTTCCCCTCAGCCCGAGGCCAGACGGAGGGGAGCGAGGGAGGGGCGCGTCTCTTTCTTCTACCCCCCCATCACAAAAAAGACAGACATACACACACCTGGGGGGCAACCCCCCTCCCCCCCCCGAGGCGGCTCCCGCCTTTTTTTTATGATTATGATTATCATTACCGCCCGTCTTCGCTTCGGGTCGCCTCGGCGGCGCCTGCCTTCTCCGCCTGCCGCCTTCTTCGCCTCCCGCCCCGTCCCTTCTTCTTCTTCCCCCTTCCTTCCTTCCTCCTTTCTCCTCCCAGGCAGGCGCCTCCTTCCGCGCTCGGTTCCTCCCCGGCTCGGCGAAGAGGAGGAGGCAGAGAAGGGGAAGGGACCCCGCCGGGCTGGGGCTCCTCTGAGGCGGCCGCCCGGCGCCCCTCCGTCCTCCTGAGGCGAAGGCGACGACGACCCCCGGCCTCCTCGCCTCGGTTTCATGGGCGTCCCTCGCTTCGCCTCAGGCTGGGTTTCTCCTTTTCTTCTTCTTTTCCCCCCTCCTCACACCATGTTTGGTGGATTTATTTTATTTTTTTACCTCACGACTCTCTCTCTTTCCCCCCCCCTCCAATTTTTGGCCCGTTTAATATCAGCCCCCCCCTTTTGTTTGCCCTCCCGCTAGGAGTAAAAGGCGAGGCACAAGCAAATAAATAAATTTCTGTTTCATACATTGAATGCATATATCATCAATAAATAAATTCAGGGGAAAAAATCAATTGATCGATTGGTTTCTATACGAATGGTCTCTATCAATCGATTGATTGGTTTCTACATGGATGGTCTCTTGGGTTCTAACCCCTGCTCCCCTCATTCCATTTTTATAAAATTTTAGTTTTTGTTCCTTTGCACTTTTTAAGGAGAAAAGCGGGATAATAAAAAAGTTATTTTAAATAAATCATCATTCAACTCTGTAGGGATGGAGCAGGAGTTTACACATAAGACTTTTGGACACTACAAGGCCCAGAATCCCCCAGCATGGCATGGTACCAAAGCTTGTCCATGGCACCGAACCAGAGCTGGCGGAGGGATTCTGGGCACCGTAGTCCCAAAAAGCGTAACGTTTCCCAGCTCTACATTGCATGATGGAGCTTGCTTCCAAGTAAAAAAGAACTGAGGAGGTTAAAGTCTCAACAGTGCAATCCTATATATGTGGGTCTCCTAATCAAATCCCATTTTTGGGGTCCCTAGGGCCTCCTGACTTAGCAGGGCCGGCCCTATCCTTAGGCAGAGTGAGGTGGCTGCCTCAGCCAGGAGATCCTGGTGGCTGTCATCCGGTGTTCACTCAATTAACTTCAATTTTGAAGAACGTTTCAACCGCCAGTCCAGTCCAGATTTTGCACATGGTCAGCCAGGAGATCCTGGTGGCTGTCATCCAGTGTTCACTCAATTGACTTCAATTCTGAAGAACGTTTCAACCGCCAGTCCAGATTTTGCACATGGAGAGATGCCCTTTTTTGCCTCAGACAGCAAAAAGGCTTGGGTCGGCCCTGGGCTTCCTTCTCTGTTTCTTTTCATTATTATTTCTTCAAGGGTGCAGCTTTACCCTCTACTATGCCTCAGATGGCTTCTTAGGAGGACATTGCTCTGGCTCAGGCATGGTATTTTATGGGGCAGCACCAGAAATTAAATACCTCCTCCATCTACCTTTTCCAACTCTCCCATGCTTTTCCTTTACTCCAAAAGATCTGTTCAGGACGATTGGCACATGATCAGTATCAACACGTCACAGTTCAATTCGGCTTTCCTTAAGTCTTCTGTTTCGTTCCCCAAGACCTTTCTCGCTTCCTTTTTTAAAATGTAATTTTTTAACATTTGCTTTTACTTCCTTCCAAAGACAGCTTTTTCACTAATTCCTGGTTGATGGCCACAATCTTTTTTTTTTCTTCAAAAATTAACTGGTTTTTTTAGAGAGCCTTAGGGTAAAAATATCTGTACGCTTTATCTAAGGAAAAAAACAAAATATTTCAAGGAGGTAACTCTGTTAAACCTGCCGCAGCAAAACTAAGAAGGACACATTTCGTTTTGCATGAACTTTTGTGGATTTTCCTTCTACAGATGCAAGTACCTTTAAGAAAGCAAATCATATAGAACATATAGAAGAGAAAGGCAAAGTTGGTTCTTCAGCTGATAAGATGGTGATAATGCATATGCAGAATGAATTATGAATTATGAGAACTCTTAAGTGTATTAGAGCCACAGTTTTTAAAAATCATTTTTTAAAAACATCTGTCAGCTCCAACATACAGTCTTCCTATTCCAGGCGACCATTAGAATACCAAATATTTATTTATTTTTAACAGGAGTGAGGGTAGAAATCCAGAAGACCTGTATAACTTTCAGCAGAAGAAAAATGCTGTTATTATATGTGCTGGCACAAGAATGGGAAGAAGCACATTTACTGATAAAGGGGGAGAGGTTCCTTAGCTTTGATAGCCACATGGTCATGAGTTTCTTCTGTCTCACACTTTATGAAAATAAACACACCGTTCGCCACCTCCTCTTCTCTAGCTGTGAAAAAAGCACAGCCTATTAATAGCAAATTTCCTCCCAGCCCCATAGCAATCAGCAACATGACTGCTGTTATGCAAAATATATAAATATATATATATATAAATCTGTAAGGTCACAAGGCATTTCTTTGGTTTTGTTCATTTTGTTGGTAAGATTTGCTTAAATTAAATCACAGAGCTGGAGATTACGGGGGTTTTTCTTGGGGGGGGGAATACGGTCCTCTAATTTCTATTTGGCCTGCTAATTGTCCTCCAGAATTCAAAGACATGAATGTACTGTATTGTTTTATTGTTCTGCAATCTGCTTTTCTTACTGATTCATGTCAAAGTGATGGTTCTTATCTTGACAGCCTTATACTGTACAGGTTAGGGCCTAAATATGGAAAGATCTATCTACCATCCTGCATGCTGCCTTAGGTTATTTTTTAAGGAGAACGGTGGGAGAAAAATACTTTACATAAATAAATAACATCATCTTCCAGGTCTCTCTCCTTTGGCCCCCTCACAATACTTAAGGTCTCAAGATCCATCACATACTACAGAGAAGCACAAAACATCATTCCTTGCTGGAAAAAAAACAAATTAAAAGAAAATTTTTTTTGAAGGAAACATAATTGTCAATTAAAATATTACTATCTGCCAATTCCACACCGCAATCAAGATTGTGATGTGGTTAAAGCTGGCAACAAGGATGTGTGACTTATCTCTGAAGGTAAATTCTGGGAACCAATTCATACCATTTGTTATCAGCCATGGACAAATTCTTGTAAGTGACAACCCCCCACCAATGGCACCACCAGCCCTATAAGGACAGGATTTGGGCTGAAGAGTGTTCCACATCCAACCCTGAAAGGATGATTATTAAGCAACGTAATGCACTTGCCTACCTACTTTTAAAATGAGCCAACCATAAAATAAAATGAGTGGTCGACCAGACCAGATGGGCGGGATATAAATCAAATAAATAAACAAACAAACATAGCCAAGCATAATGTCCATGCAGGAATAGGTGATGGTAGGGCATCCACCCTAGCGATCATCATTGCTGTTGCTGCTTATCCAGCCAGATGGCACCACCCACTCATAGGGAGGTGGTTATCGGTAGATTGGGAGGGGAACCCCTGCAGTTTGCAGAGACAAAACAAGTATTTTTGGGGGGGCAACTCACACACACACAGAGAAAACCAAGAAACAACAGTGGCCACAGCACGCTGACCGATTATTTTTCCAGGGAGACAGGAAAGCCCGGGACGCCACAGGAATGGAACGGAGCATCTGGGGATTCTGACGGAGGTACAATCCTGACCAACATTTGCTCATGAATCTTTCAATTTAATACAAGTTATAAGTAGGCCAGTTAAATCAGAGGAGTTTAAAAAAAATGCTTGCAGTGTACAGAAGTTACTTCCACTGTTCCTTCTGCATACTTGTAACACATTATTATGGACTGTGCTGTTCTCTTCTCTTTGGCTTGGCCACCGACAATGAATGTTAATTAATGGGCAATCAAAGCCAACCAGAACTGACAGTTAACATCTTCCAACCGGGAGAGTGACTGAGACCGGCATTCCACTGCCATAGAATCATAGAACTGTACGGTTGGAAGTGGCCTTGCGGCTCGCTTAGGCTCAAACCCCCTGCCAATGCAGGAAATTAAGAGCTACCGCATCCTGACAGATGGACGTCTAACCTTTGTTTTAAAACTCTCAACAAGGGAATTTCCAGCACCCTTTGAAGTGATCCGTTCCGCACTTCCACAGTCCTCGCCTTCAGGAAGTTCTTCCTAACATTTAGTCAAAACCTCCTTTTTCCCTAAGATGAACATGACTAGGATTTCCTTCAAAGCCTTACTCACCCTGTGGTCCAAGCAGGTTTCATGCTGCACAAGAGGAAAGAAGATGTACATTAAGATTTGTTAAGAGGCTACTGTTCTAACAAGGGCCAAGTACGCTTGGCTGAGATGAGCACAGCTTTCCATCTACCCCTTTCTTTATATTCTTACCTGTTGAATGCATTTTTGCATGCGAGTATCATCCATGCCCATTGATTACCACGAGACTGCCATCTTGAAACTTAAGGTCCAGCTATATACCTTACAGCCTATCGTCAGAGAAATTAGAGCATATAGGCTAGAATACAGTTTGTTCTAAAGCCATTAAGTAACATCATTGGAGTTTCTTGCAGCCTCGGCCATCCCTGATGAGCTAACCAGGGGAAACCGGCAAAACTGGAATGTAAAGATCTCAAGACACTCAGACAAATTAAGCTGGCGGCAGTCATGGGACGAGGCAATGCTGAACTAAGAAATATACAAATGGCCGTCAGAAACTGTGTTAATTATTTTGTGATTCTATTTTTTAAAAGGGCCAATTGTCATAAAATTTGAGCAGTTTTCTTCTAAGCATTCACTGCTGTTTTATATATACTGTGTTTCCCCGAAAATAAGAAAGGGTCTTATATTAATCTTTGCTCCAAAAAATGCTTTAGGGCTTATTTTCAGGGGATGCTTTATTTTTTTTCATGTACAACAATCTATGTACATTTATTCAAATACAGTCATGTCATCTTCTTCTGGTTGCTGCACAAGGGTGGAGGGTGGGGTTTTACTTAACATGGGGCTTATTTTTGGGGCAGGGCTTATATTACGAGCATCCTGAAAAACCCTACTAGGGCTTATTTTCAGGTTAGGTCTTATTTTCGGGGAAACAGTGTGTATTTGCATGCTTTAAGGGAGACACTGTCGCCCCGGAAAGCACCATATATATATATATCAGATGGGTGGTCTAGAAGTCAAATAGATTAATAAATAAATAAATGATTGGCCACGCCAGTTTTAAGGAAAAAACTGTCAAGCTCTTCCCAAGCGTTGAATGTGAAATTCTGGCAACATATGCCTTGTAAAGCGCTCCAGAAGGGTGGGGTTTCAGAACTTGGGAGAGAACGGCACAGTGTGTATTTGCATGCTTTAAGGGAGACACTGTCGCCCCGGAAAGCACCATATCCGACAGCCTCGGGCAGCCCAGCTCTTTGTTCAGTGACTTGCAGCAAAGGCTGCGTCCTCTTAAGCTTAAGACTGAGACATGCTTTGCAGCCTGTAAAAGGGGGAGAACGTGTGCCTAGGCCTCGGTTTTAAAAAGCCACTCTGCAAGCTCTGGGTATATGAGCGAACAGGTGAGACAAGGCAGTGCTCAGAAGGATGCTAGAACGTAAGATGCAGGCACCCACACAGGTAGGCATAAAACATTCAGATGGCAAATGGAGGAGAAATAGCAGGCTGGAACGAACGTGACCAACCGTGTGTGGGAAGGCTTTAGCAACACTTGCTCAAGTCACTTTTTCAAACTGAGCACGATTACTCCCACATTCTAATAATATCAGCCTAGGTTTTGGATTTTAAGATGTTAATCACCTTTGGAGCCCATTTAATGGAAAGATAAGCGACAGACCTGCAAAATTTTTCTTTAAAAAAAAATGAAATAACTCAACACACGTCTCTCGGGGAGATGGAAAGAAGGCTGTTCTCTTTCCCTCTGGCAAAACAGAAAACTCCACAGCAACAACAACAACAAGAAGCCCGGGTTCAATTGTTTCTATTTGGAGCAAATCCTAGAAACCGGACAAGCCACAAAGCTGGAAACTGCTGAGACACACACATTCCAGAGCTCATACACAAACCAGTCAGAGCATGAAGATGTTGCAACGACGTTTGAACTCCTTCAAATATTTCTGATCTTCTTTAACAGAAGCGGACAAACCTTCAGGGAATGGAGACTCTTTTCACATGGTTTGGCTCTGTGGCAACATGCCTGCATGTGCACACACGCACACGGTTTAATGAAAATCGTCTAAAAAGAAAAGGCTGGGAAGAATTAGTGCATGTGATTTCTTAGGCTCTTATACCAGAAGGATACCTTGCAGTGCAAACTGTATTATTATTAGTATTAGTATTAGTAGTAGTAGTAGTAGTAGTAATAAAATAATAATAATAATAATAATAATAATAATAATAATAATAATAATAATAATAATAATAATAATAATAATAATAATAATAATAATAATAATACCACCACCTTTTAACGTCACATTCTGTCCAGACGAAACTTCCTGGTGGTGGTTGGAAACTACAGATCAGGGATGGGGAGTGCTTGGCATTCTGGAGGTTTTGAACTACGGTCCCCAGAATCCCTTTCCCACTTACTAGGGGCTTCTGGGAGCTGAAGTTCAAAACATCCAGAGGTCCAGTGGTTCTCCTCTAACTCCTGCTGGATGTGGACCATGGAACAATATGGTTTAAAAAAAAAAACCCTCATGCCCTCTTATGTATTTTCCTACTAAATAAAGAAGACTTAATGCTTATTGTGACTCAAACAGGAGAAGAGAGGAAAGGTGTGGGATGATCATGCAAGCCGGAAGCCTCTTCTGAGAGATCAGATGTAAGGAGGAAATAACCCAGACACCTCACTGCAGCTGAACAGGAGAAGCAAAGGTTTGGTGGGTGAACGTGAGACAAACACGCCACCTGATTTCGAAGACACAAGACCTAAACATGGAGTTTAAATGTACCGAACGGTCAAACAGCTGAGCGATGCCTGTTAGGCAAGAGAGATGTAGATGTTAAAGAGTGTTGGGCTAGGACTCAGGGGGACCTGTGTTAAAATCTTCCTGCAGCCACAAACCTCAGGCCAGTTACCTTCTCTCACCCTGACCTACATCAGAGGATTGTTGTGAGAATAAAATGAGAATGGGAGAGCGTATATAATAATTGGAGTTCCTAAGAGGAAGGGCAGGATCAAAAAGTAACGATTAAACAAATCAGAGTGTTCAGTTTGGTCATCTGTGGATAAACACGCATGTGCTGCCTAATTACAACACTGGAGTCCTTCTTAAGAAAAGCTAGAATAAAGACTCTTTTCCTACTTACCTTTAGAAAACAGCAGAAAAACGTACTCTGCTTAACTGCAATGAGATTTTCAAGGTTGACTTTCTAACATTATAACAGCTGCATACAAACAAAACTTACAAAAATCTTGTTTATTAAACCTCTGTACACAAGCACTGGCATATGTACAGCAAGTTCAAATAAATGCCAATGTTATCAAAAACAAACGTGGCACTAAAAAAATTGACCCACATAAATTACTTATAAAACTCCTGAAAAAGGGTAGACACCATCCCTGATTTATTCCCATGCGATTGCCACCATTTCTCTTTCTTTTTTTAAATGGAAGGAAAAGTGTTTTTAAAAGTTTATATGGTGTTTTTTTAAAAAAAGCCAATGATAGTAACCTTATCTACAGAACAAACAGCTCAAGGCAGAAAGCACAGGCTTCAGGTACACAGCACAGAAAATGACCTCCACTTATTGCTGCTGCAGTAACGCACAAACCAAAACGGAGCCAGGAAAAAAAATTAACCCATTACCAGCAGAATGTCTTCAAAAGATACAACACAGGATGATAAATTCACTTAGGAACTCTTTCTTCTATGAATGGAAAACGTTTATCGTCAGCCAGCCTGTTACTGAAGTCAACGTGGAAGCCCTCCGCATTGGACTTCTCAAAAATAAATCACGTCAAGTTTAGGGTGGGCAAAGTTGATGCTTTTCTAAATTTCAGCTCTTCGCAGTTCTCTTATATAAAGTACGGAACAGCACTGCAAATGAATGAACGCAGCCGGAGTTTCTGTCGGGCAAATCTGTGCTGTGGAAGCCAGGCCATCAAAGAGAAGGCTTCTTGTTCTTCTGTTGGTTCCGGGGAGAGTTTTTCAGCACGCTTCTTATCCGGAGGTAAACTCCAGTTGACTCTGCCATATTTTCAAATTCGAAAGGTGTGATGCCTTCCGCAAACTTGCTCATATCAGGCACGGGGCTGGCGTTCTTGTAAGACGCGCTGACGCCGGCAACCGCAGGAGGGTCGCTGTGGTGGACCCTGCTATCTGAAGTCGAGGGGCAGTTCTCAGCGGTTCCTTCGGAAAGCACATAAGGGGGACCTCCCTCTTCGGTTAAGTCAACCAATTCACTGGCGGACGCCTGCAGAGGCTCGGGTTCTTCGGTTAAATCGATCAATTCATCCGCCGAGATCGGATTATCCTCAGTCTCTGCTTTTCCTTTGGCTGTCTGCTCGCCATTTCCAGAAAGTCCAAGTGCCGAGACCTCCAACTTCTTGCAAGCGACTTCCTCCAAAACCGCACACGGCTCCGCTCTGGCGGGTGACGATGCCACCGAGTTCCCTGTCAAAGGCGTCCCCGCGGGAATGTCAGAGTCACTGTTGACACTATCCGCCTGCTCCAGAGCAGCCCAGATGAGGCGCTGCTGCTCCTCCAGTTCTTCCAAGGTCAGAGTATCTTCATCCATGGTAGAGCCCTCAGCTCTCAGGGCCGCCGAATCGCTGGAAGGGGTCAGCGGCGGAGTATCTCGGGGAAGCGGAGGGGGCGTACGTGCTGGAGGATGCGGAGGGGTGAAGCTGGGGGGCGTGCATGGAGGGGTACCTCGTGGCAGCGGGGGAGGAGTCATGTTCTGCGGGGAGCCAGGGGGCAAGGGGGGTTGGAACTGGAAGCCATCATAACCCGAAGAACTCTGTGACATGTCTAGGTCTGAAACGAGGAGAGAAAAAAATATGATCTTTTAGTGACTGTCTTGCTTCAGTTCCTATTAACCCCTGTTCTTCTTCAGAAAGAAGTGAGAGCTTTTTGATCTTTAGGGGTGGCTTTTTTAACGGCTGGGGCTCAGCTATTAAATGACCAAGCGGGACTGGAATTTTTGAAGACACAATTAACCAAATTAAAAAATGGGACAAAGACGGCAGACGACCTCATCCCGTTTTTTTTTAGTCTGATTGACCAAGTCTTCTGAAGAATGCCCCCAAAAATACTATGTGAGTTATGGATGTTACAGGTTGGTTAATTAGAGAATTATAACTGAAAAGGTATACCAGAATCCATCTCCATGTCTGCTACTGGTACATCGGTGCTGTTTCCTTTGTGTCTTTTTGAATGATGAGAGCTCTGGTGAGAAGATTGCCTCTTACTGCTGAACTTTGCCTGAACAAAGTTAAAAAAAAAAGAGGAGAAAGTAAGAGCAGTCAGTGTATTTATGGAAAGAGCATTCATTCCGTGTGACCAGACTTGGAAAAGGGTAGTAACCCAAAACTACTCAGGATACCTTTCCTGAATTTCCATTTAAAAGCATATTATACTGCAACTTATATTCTGCTTTCTACCAGTCTGGCATCTACCCACATCTTGCCAAATTTAATGTCTGCAATGTTCAGGAAAGGTTGGGCTGGGCAGGAATACTTTCGTTAAGTCAAACTATCACCGTGCAGAGCACGTTCAAATATATTCACCGAATGGTAAGTGGAGAGATAGTGAGCGAAGATTTCTTTCTGCTGAGATGGCTGGAGAGGCACAGAACCAAACAATCTCCATTCCTGTAGCAAAAGAAATAGAGGACTGCCAGTAGGAAGAGGTGGTGCGAACAGATGCTTAAAAAAAAATGACAGCGACTTACATTCAGCGTAATGTATATGGGAAGAGGGACCTATAGCCAAATGTTTTATTTAATACATGCATACTCTACCTTTCCAAAGGAACCTTCAGAATTTGGCTTTTATAAAAATAACAATCAAGTTAAAAACAAAATATTCACATTTAAAAATAGAATTTTAAAAGCGAGCATGAAAATATCAAGCCATTAAAATCCCTTAAAGAGGAGTGGAATAAAAGTATTTTGGAGGAGCCTATGAGCAGGACCCTGTGCACCATTAGAGGGAGGGGAATTTGAAGTTGGAGGGGGTGGGTCTATCCATCTGCCAGCCTTTATGGCAGATCAGAGAGCAGGGCCTTTGAAGCTGGCATCATCCGTTAACACATAGGCAGCAGATAGCACATGCAGGCGATTCTTCAAAGTAAACTTCTAAAGAAGGTCCAGGTGAGTAATACATACAAGAATCATGTAGGCTACCTGAGGCCTTTGGAGAAAAGAGAAACAGGTACACGAGCCTTTACTTACGTCAGTTACTCCACTTGGAGTGGATATGTTAAAACCTGGATAATTGATCAGCTTGGAGATGTCGTAAGTGACATGTCGATTCTGCTGGCAGTACTCCTCCTCGTTGGGTTCATTCCCAGGCGATGCTACAGGAAAACATACAGGAATGACAACAGTACTGATAACAGAAAACTTCACAATTTTAGTAGCCACATTTTCTTGCCTCTAGCCAGGGTCACCCTTTGGTGATAAAATGCACAAATTCTACGATTCATTTACAAGAACTGCAATCAATATTGTAAAAAAAAAGATCAAGAAAGGATGAGCCATTTCTCCATGTGGCATATCCAGAACTGGTAAATTGAACAGTCAACGTCTCAGCTCCTGAACGTGTCAGCAGGAAAAAGCACTAGCGAAAGCCTTATGATGTTTTAAACAGAGTGAAAAATCAACGAGATCTCAAGCAAGCAGCCCACAGAAAAACCAAACCAACATTATTCTATCTCCGATACAGCAAGGAATTGACAAATATTTGGTTGCTCTGGAAAATATCCAGCAGGGGAGGGTTTACTGGAAGGGCTGCAACAATTTGTAACACTGCTCTGCATTGGGTGGGAACCTTTTCAAAAGGTACCGTCAGAAGGTACCATCAACAGACCCTCTTTCCCTGGCTGCAGGGAGACACAAGGAATATCATGATCAAGGGAACCCTGAACCTCGCAACTCCTTCTACCTTTTCCATCATAAAGCGTTAGTCCAGATTTCTCCATTTCTGCCTCTTTCAGCCAGCCTGGGGGATACCCCAGCTGCCGCATGCGATAGATGAAGGGAGGAAGGGTATTTTCTGTCACCCCAAGGGCGTCCTGAAGCTCCTCACTGCAAAAAAGAAAAAAAAAAGTAAAAAATAAATCCTGTTGGAAAGTGAAGGAAATGGAAAACACCTCGAGGGCAATTTTGCCAGGTTGGAGTTTGCAAGCTGGTAAAAGACTGGGCCATGCTGGAATCATTTTTGCCATAAGTCTCCAGTTGTAATATATATTTGTGGTTCGTGACTGGTTAAGTGGCACATTCGTGGAGGGATCCAGAATTGTAAGCGTTCTAGAGGATAGGTTTAGTATTGTAACACACAGCACTCTCGCTTGAAGCATTTGTTAACTCGAAAAAGATTTTCAATTTGTACAGAAGAGCACGAGAAACACGGGGCGTCCCTATTTCTTACTCTCAGGCTCGCTTTGGGAAACCTGTTTACAGCAAGAGGTTTAATCTGTGTTGATACTGAAACCTCATAACTGAAGATTTCCCAGAATAATCCACTTTTATCTTACCCATAAACTTCAGATTGGCCATTTAGCTAAGAAAGGCACAGTATCTGCTTAGTGGGGGAAAAAAATAAATACCTAATTATTCCTGGTCTGAACCGTCCAAACCTCTCTTCAATTTCATCCGCATGATACCGCTGCTGGAAGTTTGGGTTGCCTGCTTCCCCACAAGCATCTAGAAATTGTTTTCTTTTTTCACTTATACGGGCTGCATTTCGTGGCTGAAATACAGTCGGAGGAAGAATTTTTTAAAAATCAAGATAATTTCACAGTGCCATTGATTAGGCCTCTACAAGACAACACTCTGCTCTTTTTCGCAAGCACTACTGAGCCACTTTATAGACAAAAGACACTTTATATTTATATAAATAAATAAATTTATATTTATTATATCCATATGCTATGAGTCTGTTGGCCATACATGGGCTACATAGTAAGTACAATTTCTCTCCTTTTTCAAGACTGCACAATATTCTGACAAAATACCAGCCAGAATCCTGTTAGCTTTTGCGTAACATAAAGTTACACCTGAGTGAAATGCTCTGCCTTGGTGCAGTTAAGAGCTACTCCTTGCAGGACACTCAGTTATGCAAGCTTATCTGCTCAGAAGGATTTCTGCTATTGTTTTTGAAGCTTGGAAGACGTTAGCAAAATAAACCTCCACTAGACACAATTGTATGTGTCTTTTCTAAAACCCAACCCAACCGTTATAAATTAACTATCAATAATATACCGTATCTGACCATTCGTCCCGAGGACAGAAATGAAAAGACAGAGGAATCCTTACCTGTGAGCAATCTTTCATTTGGTGGTCTTCAGATCCACAATTGAAACAGTGGGCTTTTGGCCTGCTTTATAAAAATAATCAGTTTCTAATGCAAACATTTAACTTTAGCACAATTGAAAAACATAATTACATTTATCTGGGAAACATAAACAAATCTAGATAGTGGGAAAAACAGTTCCTCTAAATTATTCAACTTCAATTTTAAAATAAATAAACACTAATAATGAAACGACATTTTAGCAGAAGTTTGAAAATTTCTGTGATTATTATTAACAGGTTAATTCTTGTTTCTAGAAATGGAATTAAAATGTTGGGTCAATCTATTTTTATACTTTAATACTTTTCTAATGGGTTTGTCCAGTTAATCTCCTAGGCAAGCCAATGATTCTCCAGGCAAGCTAATAACTTATTGCAGAAAAATAAAAAACAAGTTTTTCCCCTCAAGAACTCTAACCATAAAGATGAAGCACTTGAGTTAGATCTAAACAGAGCTAATAAAGTTACTTTCTTGAGCTACATCACTCAGAATCTTTCTGCAAGTACTCCAAAGAAATATTATTTTCATTTCTGGAGTCTAAAACAGGGACAAACAAGTTGGGGAGGCTTAGGGCCAAATTTTCACCCCCGCGACCTGTAGCAGTCCTGAAATAAGAAGCAGAAATGGCTTTTCACCCAGTTCTGCCCCACTTTCATAGGCTTGTAGGAAAGCTGGAGGGGGGGGAACTAATACAAAGCTTATCTGCAACACATTTCAGTTTCTCTTTACATTTCTTACTTGTAAGTTTCAAAGAAATACAAACCTTTTTGTCTTTACTTGGATCTCTTGTCCATCTAGAGAAAGAATCTGCGTGAACACTTGCTGGTATCTTAGAATTCAATAAGGAATTGCCAAGGTAGGAAGCAGAGTGGATTTTTCGGGAGGGTGCGCGTACGCACGTGATTTCCAATCCCAGCCACAAAGTATTTGATGCAAACTGTTATTACACAATATATACATTATTTGATTTTTTAAAAAAAGGATAAGATCAAAAAAAAAAAAAGCGTGACCGCGAGGCTCTTCTTGAAAGAGTGGTTCTGTGAAAACTGAAATCTCGCCCTCTCTTTCAAGGAGAAATTCACCTGCTTTTGGGGTTCTCCTTCCAAAAATGCAGTGGTAGTAGGGCACAGAAATACCCAGAATTATTTTATCACCAAACAGATGTGCCCTTTAAACCTTTTTTTAAATTACAAATCCCAGAATCCCCAGGGTTCATACTGACTGAGAGAGGCTGAACTGCAGTCCAAAAACATCTTGCAACACCACAACGATGAGGTGAAGATATTAAAAATGCACAGACTGAGTCGAGTCTTGTTTTAATACGGATTGCATCGAAATAGCTGCGGCAGCAGAAGGGAATGACATTTTAACTAAATAGGATACTTGGGTATTTCCCATCCGTCTGTCAGCTGAGGGTTTTCATTTAATAGAGGCTGGCCCAGTTTATCAAGACAAAAATTGGCAAAATAGAGCACACTTCCTACAACCTGCGGGAAAGAGTCAAAAAGTGTCAGTATTTCATCAGACTGAAATAAAACATTTATTTTTCTTGAAATGTACTTAAATATTTCATGAATATCTCTTTTGATATAATTAAGTACATTAAAATATTTGCTCTCTGTTTAAGGATGTACACATAAAATCTAATGCTCTTTATTTTAAGATGTATACACCCAGACAAAAAGTTATAATATAACCCAAATTATAAGAGGCAATGAGAATGACATGCCTGTTTAACAATGGTGTCGACTAGTTCTTTAAAGCCATGTTAAGGAAGACACAAAACCTGAACGTATATTTCACAGAACAGGGAAGTTGACTTACACTGAAAGCTTCCTTGATTTTTTTGGATGGGTTTCCGCTTTCCACTTTACAATTTTCTTCCAATACAAAACTAGACGGCTAACGAAAAGAAAACAGGGTTGGTAAATAAAAGTCCCTTTTGCCAAAAGGAAGTCTACATGTGGTTCGTGTGGGCCAGTGACCACTTTCAATCTATTTTATCAAATTTAAGAAGACTCCAGAATAGAGTCAAAAACTTCCACTGCAATGCACGATTCACTCAAACAACAACATATTTTAAAGCACCTTTAAGCTTTCTGCACTGTTTCATTCGAAATAATGTAATTTGTCTGAAGCACCACCACCAAGATATGACATTGCTGCAGGATTCTTTTTTAACAAGTTATCCATAAGAATAGTCACACATTCTTTCTAAGAAAAAAAGCGGGGTTACATGCTTCTCTCTTCTTTTAATATTTTTAACATGATATAATAAAGGTGTGCACGTTTGTCCTTTTAGACTACAATGCCCACAATTCCCAGGTGACACCTAAATTGTTGGGACTTGTGGTCCAAAAACACAAAGCTTCGCAACTTGATGTCATTTATTTCACCCAATAACAAAGGTCACTAAAGGCGAACTATCGCACTGGTTAACAGTACTGTACCTGCCAAGAAAAAAAAGTGAAACATGCTTTAAAATTGCTGCATTGATATATAAATACCTGCGGCTTGACATTGAAGGAGATTTTGTCAGATTCAGCTCTCTGTTGCTCCTCGTATCTTTGAACTAAACTAGATATAAACTCCTCTATTTCTTGATGATATTGCCTAGACAGGAGATTATAAGAATAGATAACATATAAGTGGCCCTGTCTGTTTTTAAACTCTGTTATTTGCTCTCAAGTTAGAACTGGCATATGCCAACCCTCACAGCCCTTGCAAAGTAACTGAGATATTTTAAGGAATGGGTTGTTGTTTTTTTTACCAACTCTACCCAAACCTCCATCTGGTAGGTTCCCATAGCAAGATGAGGATTCAAATCCACACTTTCCCTAATCCGTCACTAAATACACTACATAACACAGCTACATGAAGGGGGAAAAGTCTCTCTCTCACACACGGCTTGCATGCATCATTCAAGCTGAGCAGTTCATGCTACACGGCTCTCATGCAGAAGAAATAATCTGTAGATCAAGCTTCCAAAGACAAAATGGGTAAAGAGACTGGTTTGCGTGGCACTGCAGAAATTAAAATCTACTTTTATGCCATGCACCGTTTGCTTTTTCTTACAAACAGTAAGCTTTAAGGCCATGCGTTTCCTCTTTGATCTCCACTGCAAGAAACCTGACCAGGGAATTTCAGGAGTCCAAAACACCAGAAGGACCCAAGGTGGGAATCTATTGGAAGAACCATCGTCCTTCTTTCCACGTGTGAAAAAGTGAGTTGCGAGATGGGATTTTTCAGAGCCTAGGCGGGGCTGGGGAGGTAACTCAGCACAGAAGTCACCAGTAAAGCATGATATTATTCTATCTGCTCTCAGCAGGGCACTGCCCACAGTTTCAGTTTCCTTCAGTTTTGAGGAACACCAAGCCTTTACGCAACCAAGATTGTTAAGGGCAGCTCACTTAACAATTACAAAGCATGAGCTGTTCCCCCTTTTTAAGGCCCAGGACAGCAAACTGGGAACATATATTTTATTATATTTTTAACTGTAAAGGCCTTCTTCCTTTTACTTTGGCCCACCCAGAGTTTCCAGTTCTTTTTAGAAAAAAATATATAACAAAAATATGGCCATGAGTTCCTGCAGAAGGCCCACAATAGATTTATGCACCTTGAGTAACCAAACTGAAGCTCTACATTCTAGAATACATTCATTCATTCATTCAACTTCACAGCCAAATATTTAGAACAGTTAGACCAAGGTAACACAAGAAACATACTTACTTGGATATGGTGTTGTTCATAAACAAAATCTGTAACAAAGGCCCCTCAATTTTAGAGTCGTCTACTGTAAGCCCACTAAAAAAGGAAGCGATAAACTTATCTTAACAGTAGGAAGTAATTCAGTCAACTTGACTGTGATTGGAAACACTATAACCAATTTATCTGAAATAATAACATTTTCCCCTTCCTTTCCCCTCCCCCCCAAACAGGTCTTTTTTGTCATTATACAGAGGTGTACAGCTTGATGGTTGGACAGTATCATCGAAGTGACCAACATGAATTTGACCCAACTCTTGGAGGCAGTGGAAAACAGGAGGGCCTGGCGTGCTCTGGTCCATGGGGTCACGAAGAGTCGGACACGACTTAACGACTAAACAACAACACAGCTTGATACACTATATCAACCTAAAATATACTTGCCAATATTCATAAAAATTCTGTAACTATGAACAGTTTATTATCCCCTATACTTCTATTTCGTGACAAGTAATTCACTAGTTATCTTCACAGTTACATATTTTAGAAAACCACCAAGATGATTCCTGTGGTCCATTCTACACGCAGAAGGATATTCCCTAGCCCCTTGCATGCCTGTCAATGCTTTTCTAAACAATTAATGAAAATGAGCAGAACGGACAAATATAAAGTGTATTCCGCTACACACCTATATATAAGACAGCAAATAATTTTTCAAAAGGAAAAGACTTCTATGGAGGCAGAACAGCCACATTGGGGCATGTCCCAGTGTCTAAAGCAAAGTTGCTCTATAGCTCTCTCAACTACTGCTGCCAGGCTGAAAAAAAAGGACTAAAGTTCTTACAGAGAGCCAAGACATCTATACATACCTTGGTCGACTCAGCATGTTCAATTTTCTTTTGAGTTCGCGATGTAAACTATTTGTTAAGGAATTTCAAGTCATGCTATAGCTTCAGAATAAATGCAAGGGTCTGGATCTGTCTTCACAACCAGTAATACTACTAACAAGTCTCCAGACGTCAATGTAACAAGCACGGAAAAGGAGGTATGTTCTTAAACCAGCCTTCTGCCCACATACTTCAGAAAACGCTGGCATCCCACATTTCTAAATGACAACTCCATCCTCCTTTCTCAGCATGTTCAATTTTCTTTTGAGTTCGCGATGTAAATTATTTGTTAAGGAATTTCAAGTCATGCTATAGCTTTAGAATAAACGCATCGGGAGCAACGACTAAGGGTCTGGATCTGTCTTCACGACCAGTAATACTACTAACAAGTCTCCCACATTTCTGAATGACAACTCCATCCTCCTTCACCACTGCCTATGTTGACTGAGGTTTCCATCCACCATACCTGACGGGTTGAATATTTCCCACTCCTCCTGCGGGTATTGCAGATCTTTTACAAGAGGTGAAAGTGATGGGACAGGTGTAAAAGTGCAAGAGGGAACACTCCCATACACCACCTTGTTATAATCATCTTAATAATCATCTCAGAACTGCGGAACTGGAAGAGACCCTATGGATCAAGTCCAGCCCCTGTAGATCCTTGAAGAAAGGGCTGACTAAGTTAAAAAAAGTTCGTCTTTCACAACGCCTCATGGTACAAGAGGTGAAAGTGATGGGACAGGTGTAAAAGTGCAAGAGGGAACACTCCCATACACCACCTTGTTATAATCATCTTAATAATCATCTCAGAACTGCGGAACTGGAAGAGACCCTATGGATCGAGTCCAGCCCCTGTAGATCTTTGAAGAAAGGGCTATGTAAAAAAAATTCATCTTTCACAACGCCTCATGAACCAACCTCACACTAAGAAAGGTTTCAATTCCCTCTAGATAAGAAACACTCGCTCAGCACTCCCTAAACAGCCACAGGACCCGTGTCCTGGAGTAACCATCCCCAGGGAGGAAGAACCAGCTACATTTCACATAATTCTTCTGAAGAAGTAAATACAAAACATATTCCCTTGGAAGCAGTAAATACAAAGTAAGTAAAGAAACACATCACAGAGTTTTCTCTCTCTCTCCTCCTATTCATACACTGCAGGCAAAAGGAGCGACCAGGAGCCTAAGCGTTCACCGACCAGACCTCTCCTTTTCACCAAATGAGAAAGAGATGCCCTAACAAATCCATTTGAAGGCCAAAGACTTCCTCTGCGAGAAAAGCGCCTTCGTATTATTGCCCGCTCTGGTGGGTTTTATGTTTTTCTAATCGTTTCGTAGCCTTTGTTATCTATCTTTCCCGCTTGTCGTGGACCGTCCAGAAGAGTATACATCACACTAAAAGAGGGGTGGTGGTGGTGGTCAGTATATAAAGCTAAGTGAATAAGTAAACCAGTTAAGTCAAATAAAATAAAAATTCTGCCTTTTTGATGGACCCTGCCGCCTGACGACCAAGAATGGATTTAGGGAATAGGAGAAGGAGTTAGGCTAAGAGGAACCGAAGGCGCCTTGACCTCCCCCTTCAAAGCTTGATAAACCTCCAGGCTAAAAAGGGCTCCTTCCATATAATAATAAACATACAATTTCTATCTATCTCTCTGAAATAATACTAATCCTTTTAAAGTTCCTCAACCCCCTCTTCCCGGGCGTTATGGACCGAAGAAGACCAAGCGGAGGAAGGAGTGAAACCTCCCTCAGGGAGGACAACCGGGAAGGAAGGGGAGGCCCGTCTCCGCGCCTCGAAACGCTGCACCTGTTGAGCTCCTGCCTCATTTGGGGGTTCTTTCTCCTCAAAACTGTGAGGGGAAGGAGAGAGGGGGGGGAAGGCTGCTTTTCGGCGACCAAGGGAGCCTGACTGCTCAGGCCCTCAGGCTGCCCCCCCAACCCCGGTCAGGATATTCTCGGCCTGCAAGGCGCGGACTTCCTCCTCGCAGCCCCTCAGCCTCTGGCGGAGCTCCTCGGTGGCCTCGTCGAAGCGGAGGTGGAGCGGGGCCCCGGTTGCTGCCGTTGCCGCCGCCTCATCGTCGTCGTCGTCCGCCTCCAGCTGCTCGAACAGCTCGCGGTCCCCGAAGTCCACCTCGGCCGCCATCTTAGGCCCGGGAGAGCGAAAGGGGGGCGGCGGGGCCTCTTCAGGGCCCCGGAGGAGGAGAACCTCTCGTCGTCGTCGTCCGCCTCCAGCTGCTCGAACAGCTCGCGGTCCCCGAAGTCCACCTCGGCCGCCATCTTAGGCCCGGGAGAGGGAAAGGGGGGCGGCGGGGCCGCTTCAGGGCCCCGGAGGAGGAGGAGGGAGGAGAAGCCGCCGCTTAACGGGCGCCCGGCGAGGAGGCCGCCAAAAAGCCTCCCTTCGGAAAGGAACTAGGCCCCGGGGCGTCGAGCTCGGCCTTCGCTTCCTCCGCGGCCCTTCAGAGGGGGGTGAGGACTACCGCTCCCAGCATGCCCCGGGGCGAAGGCCCGTCAAGCGCCTATAGCCCGGCGGGGTACTTCCCTGCCGGGGGTTGTAGTTCAACCTGCGCATCGGGAAGGGGGCGCGCGATGCACGCTGGGAGCCGGACAGGACGTCCGGCCTGCGCACTTCCGGGAGAAGGATGCATGGCGGGAAACGTAGTTCGGGCGGGGCAAAGAGGCTCCCTTGGTTTTCTACGCAACTGGAAACATGGAAAGGGGCCATTGCGTGGTTTTGTGGTGCCGTCAGAATATAAACCGGGGAAGAAACCAAGGTCTGTCTAAGCCAAAGCAAAGGGGGGGGGGGAGATTAAAATTAAAAACCGATCTCACGAGCTTTTGTGGAGTAAAATAGGGATAATACATGAAGTGGCCACAGTCCCTTATTTAAGACTTCCAACACTGAGGGATTACAGGAGATTCTGCACTCCCAGTGTCTGAAAACGTGGATCTGGAGCCATGAAAGCTTGCATTGAAAAAAATGCTAGCCTTCATTTCTGCTCCCGTTCTCACCTTCATTTTTGCCAAAAAAAACCAAGGTTTCAGAGGGCTTCTGTTTCAGCAACAAAGACAAAACACCATGTATTGCGGCACTCCTACATCTACCAAATCTGTTGTATAGTGAGCTGTATGGGATGGCAATCTATTTTTCCCAGCCGTGTCTTATGTCCAAACAGATTGCATTTAGCAGTTCCCGCTGAAATTAACCCTAGAAAATACCCATACTGTATTTGCTTTGTCACAAACACAGCAGTCTTACACAAGTGTTTTTGCAATTTCTATTCTGTTTGTATTTCAGAGAACAAACTTAGCCAGAAGATTTTTTGACAAACTGTGGTACACTTGGCAGAACATACTTGTACTGTATAGCACTGAGAAGTGGGAGATTGAATGCTTGTACCGCTACTAGAAAAATGAGATCAGACATGTATCTGTGTTTAAAATCTCTATTTTCACATGTGTATGCCACCATCAACCTTCAACCCATAGGCATAGATCAAATATTTATTTTCATCCAGAGAGAAACTGATAGGAAGTTAGTATTGACATCAAGTCTAATTCATTCAATACGTTTCCTTGATTTGGGGACAGCTGTTGGATTAGCCTACCATGTTGACACCTCATAGATGACAATTTTTATTAAGGCCAACCTCTCTCTTGTGCCCATTCTCTAAATGGACTTCCCACCAAATCATACTTGTTCCATAATGCTGGCTGGCGCCAAAAGACTTGATATTTTTACGTGCTATTGCAAGAGTCCAAATTATAGCAGAATAAACCATTTTAAGAACCACGCCATAACTGATCTGCCTTTACTTCACTTACACTGGTCATATCGGAACCAAACATGACCCAAGACAAGAAGATGAATCCTAGTAAAAGAATCTTTGGATGTCAGCAAGAGGCAGTATTAAGTAGATAAATAAGAACAGGGAACAACCGAGAAATATTTAACACACTCTATATGCTGAAACCTGCTCTGCATAGCTTGCGACAGAAAATGGTCTGTGAAGAAACGGATGAATCCTGAAAAACTACTGCCCGTACTTTTTGCTCCTATTTTTCTATATTTATTTCAATTTTTACCCCACCAATCTAGTGGCAAAGCCATTCTCAAACTGAGTAACGTTGAATGAACTTCTTTCTAGCATTAGCATGAAATCAAATATGCTGTGCAAAATTAAGTTGGAAGTAATGCTGAATTTAAAGTAGTACTGTTAGAGAAAAAACATTTTTATTAACCAGGTTTTTGCACGGCATTATGTACCCATCGGCCCAGTCTGCTAGATTAACACCTACACAATGTGTTTTATGTTTCAAAAGTTGAAAATAACTGTACAAGATTAAAGTACAAAAGTACACAAGACAGCGGACACAAAATATCCATGTATGAGTTTACCCTTAGCTGTTCTGCATTGAAACCACAGAACTAAAAAAAATGTCCTCCTACAGTTCTGTCAAGTATAATGGAAGGGAGTATAACCTGATTACAACATGAACACCAGTTAAATCACTGATCTGATATTTACAAAAATTGTCATGTCAATAAATTAAAAGTCAATGCAATACCCATGCAAGCTAGGATGCCAGCTTTTGGTGAAGAAGGACCCAACGTCGGAACGAGAAACTCGGACAAAGTCCCGGCTTCAAGATCACATTCTTTCAAACGGTGTCCATTCCTCGCATGGAAGATGTAAACCCCAACCCCATGCCTCTTTGGGTGTGTGTCTGTGACCGTGCCATTTCGTACTGTGCGTCTAGGTTTCGGAACACTTCTTCCTGCTGCTTCAAAGTCTTATAGCTCTCTTCATCGACCGAACTGCTACCGCCCGCTTCCTCTTCGCTCTAGGATCAGAACAGTTTTTCAACAGGTGAACAGAGACGTCCTTCCGCCGGTACAAGGCTCTGTCATGTTGACAGCACTATAGTCGTAACTGAGTAAATAGAGACTCTAAACTAGGCTTGAAGAAACAAGAGTCCCCGCTCCAAGGATGTATAGTATATATCAAATTCATTTGGGGGTAGGGACAGACCAGTCCTTTGAATCTGACTACATCACAGTGTGTCTTACAGAAAGATACACGGCTGTATCCCATGGAACACGAAGCACGAACCCAACTGATCCCACACCCAGCGTCTTCCAAAGCTTCTCTAGAGGGTCACTCATTCCCCACCCCTCTTTTGAACTAGTGTCACCTTGTCTGAAGTAAAGCTTACAATCTAGTTTCAGAATTCTGAAGGAAACAGTGTCTTTGTTGAATGGATTTAGGCATGTTTTTAAATCTCTTCTACAGGCCGACTTAAGCAGAACTCTCAACCATCGAGATACAAGTTTTATCTACATTTCAGAGTTACATACCTTGATACCCATCAGTTTTCTAAATTTGACATTTTGGTCCTTATTGCCAAAGTTCAGCTTCTCCCAGATTTCTGCAGATTGAGATTTATCCTACAAAATATGAAAAAAAAAACACCCTTACACACAAATCCAGCATGTAAATAAGTTTTTAACTCACTTATGCCTATGTCTGCTCATTAGCAAGAACACACAGCAGCCTGCAGAAGACAGTAAGCTTTTCCAAATACAGACTGACGATGTCTCAAACTTCCCCCCAGTTCCAGTTGTTCTAATATCCCTGCCCTCCTTAACTTCTTACTACGGAGAGCCTATTTACCAAGCCAGCTAGGCTGCGTGGCTCGTAAGACCCTCAAATGTGAAACGTAAAATCTGTCAAACTTCCGGAACTGCCAGGAATCAAGACACCGTCTTGTCTGACTCCAAATACAGACTGACGATGTCTCAAACTTCCCCCCAGTTCCAGTTGTTCTAATATCCCTGCCCTCCTTAACTTCTTACTACGGAGAGCCTATTTACCAAGCCAGCTAGGCTGCGTGGCTCGTAAGACCCTCAAATGTGAAACGTAAAATCTGTCAAACTTCTGGAACTGCCAGGAATCAAGACACCTTCTTGTCTGACCCTCCTGTTGCCAGTTGCACTTGCTTGGCCGGCAGCTAAACTTTCAGGGCCCTGATCCAACACACTTCGCTTCTTGCACACATACAGCTTGCAGACCTCATCCCAAAAAAATCACACACTTCGAGTCAGCAGTATCAACAGCTTTTTTAAAAAAACAACCACCTTGAAATAATAATTAGGAAAATTACCCCTTCTTTTTTTCCTTGCCAGAGCATCTTCCGCTTCTTCTCCTGCTCAGCAAACTTCATCGGGTTCACAGCTGCAGGATTATAATAGCTTGGCACAGCTATTCCGGTCTCGGCCAGAGCCTTTGCTTGCAAAGCTGCCATCTGAGCCGCCATGGCTATCTGAGGAGTGACCTGCGTCCCGGAGGCCAGGAGAGCCGCAACGTTGATGACCGAACCCCCCGTGGCAGCCGCTGCTAGAAAGGAACATGAAAAAACAAGGCACAGCCTTTTAGAGATTCTTTACCCTACATGCACTGACCAAGTACAATCCTTAATGTATTTACGAGAAATCACAGAAGCTAGCTGACTGCAAACTCTTTTCTACATGCACTGACCAAGTACAATCCTTAACGTATTTCGCTGACTGCAAACTACTCTATTGACTGCTTTGCGTCCTCCCTTAGGCAGCATATACAGCGGTGCCTTGCATTACGACGTTAATTCGTTCCAGCGAAATCGCTGTAGAATGAAAACATCGTAATGCGAAAATAAAAAGCCCATTGAAATGCATTAAAACCCGTTTAACGTGTTCCAATGGGCTGGAAACTTACTGTCCAGCGAAGATCCTGCATACGGCATCCATTTTCGGTGCCTGTGCAGCGAGGAATCCATCCCAGAAAACAGCGGGGAGACATTTTATTTACCCGGCGGACATTTTGAAACCGCCGATCAGCTGGAGGAAAATCGTCCTTTTGTGAACAATCGGTTCCCGAAGCAAGGAACCGATCATCGCAAAGCGAAAAACCCCCATTCAGACCATTGTTTTCCGATCGCAATTGCGACAGCAAAAAGATCGTCGTACTGTGGTTTTGTCGTAATGCGAGGCAATCGTAAAGCGAGGCACCACTGTATCTCATGGTATAACTAATCCAAGGACTTAGGAGAAAATTTCAAGAGCTAAATTTAAAAAAAAGCCCTCTTCTGTTAGCTTATTTAAAATCTGTCGATAAAGGAAGCACAATACTGTTTTTGCGTGTTCCCATTAGGACTCAACTAAAAGCTGAAAACGCCCTCACTTTACTATTCACTACAATCTAGTTGTTCAGAAAAGATTTACCAGCAGCTATTTCTTGTTGCTTCTGTTTTTCAACCAGTTCTTTCTCTCGCTGTTCTTGCAGTTTTTTGGCTCTTTCCAACCTAGGAAGAACACAGAAACCAGTTTAGGAGGAGCTCCTAGTCTTCCTCACCCAGCAGCGCGTGCCCTCCCTCCCCAACCCTTTCGTAAAACCTCAAGGATGTCATTCCCTGAGGACTTGCACGGAACCTCCCACTTCACCACACAGATTAAGGCAAGAGATGTCGGTCCGATACTGAAACAAGGTCACTGGCCCAAAGGATACGTGGCCCTAGTTTAGACTAGACACCGAGATAAAAGTTGATCTCCCCGTTTTACAGAAGTTAATATTCATAGAGGGGGAAGCCATTCTTGTGGCTCCCTGAAGGCGACCATGAAGGGCATCTAGTCTGGAAGAGGAGGATTTCAAAGACGGTTTGTCTTTTGGGGCGGGTGGGAGACGGGTGGCAGGGCTTAATGATCTTAAGAAGCCAATCACCTTCTGGCCAGTGCTTCTTGTGCATCCATTGCTGTGTTTCGTCCTCTAAAAGGCGGCGGGCTCGGAGTCCTGCTGTGACTTCTGCTGAATCTTCTGGGTTTTTCAACCCTCTTCTTTCTTTCCCTGCCAGCAACCAAGTTTTAAAGTCACAACTTTCTCCTTTTGTTCTGTCATTATAGGACTACTTTACCATTAAACTTAACTTCTATATCTCACTTCAATTGCTACCACCTGTTCTGTGACTCAAATAGTATTTAAAAAAAGAGAGCAAAGGCTAACATACCTGCTTCTGCTCCTAGTTCTGCTCCGGCTGCGGCTTCTAGGCCGGTGTCTAGATCTTGATCTAGAACGTGACCTTACACGTCGTTTTTTCTCTCTGCTCCGAGATCGTGACCTTTTTCTATCACGGCTTCTACTACGATGACGTCTGAAAGCACATTCCAAATTCCTGGTAATATTTTATAATTTTGCTTATACACATTTAATACGAGCAAAATGAAAGAAAGCCCAATTCTACTGAAGAAATTCTAATAATGTGTAAGCGAAAGATTGAGCTTCTACATAAATATGTGTATTGCTGTGCAAAACCAGTTACTGGCTTACATATTAATTTATCACTCCAGTTCTAGAAAATAAATTATTTTAACAGGATTACAGAGCAAGACTCCATAGCTAGCGTACAGAACGGTAGACTAGGGGTTCAGGAGACCTGGATTAAATACCTGCTTGGCGATGGGAACTCATGAAGGAGTAACATTAAAACCACTCCTTAAAAATATCACATACGTTCAAAAAAAATTTAGGATTGTTGTAAGTAGGATGTGAGCCGATGGCATGTAACAACTTAAAAGCCTGCAAGGCTAGAGAGAGAAAAAGGCTTAAAATAACAAGCCTGCCTGGTAATTCTCAAAAACTAACATAGAGTAGTTAAAATCCAGCCAAAATCACAACTACAGTAGGTCTACTGAGTCAAAAGGCCTACTCTAGATGTGACTTACTACTTACTGGAGTTTGGCCAAAACACCTTCTCACTCAAATAATACATCAATATTTTCATCAATCCACACTGAAGACCATTGCCAGCAGTTCAATTATATTGTACTCGTACTGCAAGCGGATATGCTTGAATAAACCTTTAAACCAAGAGTGTTAGCTTGGCATTCTTAAAAAAAAACTGATTACAACCAATAAATGGTGAACTCAAATATCTAAAATTTCCAGATTCTATCTGCTTACACTTTATGAGCATGAAAGCTTATGATGAAATCCAACAAATTAGGACAAAACTGTTGACTGCGATACCTTTCGCGAGACTTAGACCTTGAATGGCTCCGTCCCCTCGAGGGTTTCTTCTCTTTGCGCTTATGTCGCTCCTCTCCGTTCTCGGAGGTGCTCTCCCTCCCTTTATCCGAAGAGTGCTCTCTCTCGCCATGGTCTTCTGATTTGTGCTTCTTGGCCTTCTCTTTGGAGCCGTGTCTTCTTGCCTGTTTTAAGAAGAAGGTGGTTCTTTCAGGAAAATAGTGCAACAAAGAGAGTTAGTATGGGCATCAGCAGATAAAGAATGATTATGTTGTGATGCAACATTAGTAACCGTGGGAGCGCGGCCCAGTCAACTGTGATGGCTTTAACACCACCATCTACCCAATGTTGCACAGAACACGCTACCATTTCTCCCCCAACACACATACACACACACACACCTCCACCCTTCCCTGTTCCTCTTAAACCTTTCCCTGCGGAGTACAACAGCACAGTCGGTTTTACGGCATTAAGCAAAAGGAGTGTTTCTAGTGTGTTGTTACCTCAAATATAACATTTGGGATATAGCAACAGATGGGAACAGCATACACAAGAAACCTATGCATATGTTTAGGTATGTCTTTATCAGCAATTAAGACTTCTAGTGTGTTGTTACCTCAAATATAACAACATTTGGGATATAGCAACAGATGGGACCAGCATACACAAGAAACCTAGCTTAAAAATAGATATATTGACCATCCATATAAAGTACGATTCATCTATGGAATGTTTTCAGTTTGACGCCTTGCACTACAGATGACCTGTATTTATTTTGTGTGGATCCTATTTCCCAAAGGTGACTCTTAAGAAACAAGAGTTCACTTATCTGTATATTCATTAGAGGTTTTCTGTAGCTTGCTTTCTTTGTAAGTCTACTGTATATCAATGTTGCTCCTTTAAAGTCCTTGGAAAAATGTATTTCTTTTGGAAAAGAAAATCCAAGAGACATACCCAACAATCAGAGACAAGGTAAATCCCAAGTGTTTCATAACTTACAGGCATAACTAAAGAGAAAGCCAATACTGCGAAGACTTAAAGCCCATAAGCTCACTGCTGAAGACAGTTGGGCATACGGAGTCACTGCAACCTTCCTACCTTAACGTTAGGTCACTAGACAAACTAAGTGATTGTTTCGCTTGAAATGATTTATACAATCAATGGCTCTATCTGGACTATTCTTCCAGTCACTTCTATAATCGCTGCAGAAAGATGAGTAGACCTTCGCTGCAAAATACAAATGTAGTGTCTGCCTCTAACGGAGAGAAATTGCGTCAAGCCCACCAACATGGAATGAAGCGTACTGCAAGGCAGAAGTGATTCATGAAGTAGCTATTTGTTGTATAACTCTACATCTGTAGAATTTCCACAAAAATCTGCCATTTTCTTTTCTTTCTCACACTGAAATATATTACTTGAGCATTTATAAAATGCCAATCCAACATTTAAACATTAAAAATCACACAAACATCCACCAAATTTCACCAGTTATTCTCACTGAATTTATAACTTAAAATTACATGCAGATTTTTGCTTGTACATTTGCACAGCAGTCAATTCTTATTACCCATAACGGAGCAGTCTTTTAAACATACACATTGTATTAAAAACCACCATTATATCCCATAACCAATTTCAATTTTCTTTTTAAGGGAAATATGAGTTTGAATGACTAATAGTTACCTTATCATGAAGTAGGCTTATAATTTTGCTATCTGAGTCTGGAGCGTCTTCAGTTCAGTCTCTTCGCGCATTAGCACGCTGAGTATGATTTATTATAGAAATGTTATCATGTGATCTAAACAATATAGTCAATTTCACAAATACTCTCCTATTTTTTTTTTAAACAGAGCTTCCATTGAGAAAGGGGAAGAAGTATCCCTGGGCCCCACACTATTCCTCTTCTCCTATCAGGCTGGCCTTTGCTGGCCTTCACATTACAGTACTCCTGATCCTTCTTCACTGAACCAGTAATTACGCTAAAGGGCAACAAACTTACCGAGCAATGTTAACACTACCGAGCAATGTCAACTCATTCCCCATTCTCCTTGCTTTACACCCGTTGTGTCTACCAGCCCTGCAGGAATACCTTTAAGAACTGGGAAGAAGTAAAGGTAAAGGTTCCCCTTGACATTTAGTCCGGTCGTGTCCGACTCTATGGCATGGTCCTAATCCCCGTCTCCAAGCCGTAGAGCCAGCGTTTGTCCATAGACAGTTTCCGTGGTCATGTGGCCAGCGCGACTAGACATGGAGCACCGTTACCTTCCCACCGAGGTGGTACCTATTTATCTACTCGCATTTTTACATGCTTTTGAACTGCTAGGTTGGCAGGAGCTGGGACAAGCGACGGGAGCTCACTCCGCCGCGTGGATTCGGTCTTACGACTGCAGGTCTTCTGACCTTGCAGCACAGAGGCTTCTGCGGTTTAACCCACAGCGCCACCACGTCCCATGGGAAGAACTAAGTAGGTTGGGCTCTAAGATGAGAAAAAGAAGTCTGTCAGCTCAAAGTAGGTTAATGGAAGCTCTGTGAAAATAAAATATACCAATCCTAGTTCTCCAAAGAACCGTTTATTGTAACTGTTTTCACAGTTAATCTCGGAAAGAGCTTCTGTCAGCTATTACCTTTTTGTCATAATGATGGCTTCACATGCTTCTCCAAGCATCTCTCAATTTACAAAACTTTGTACTTACCATTTAGACAATTTTATACACACTAAGATTTAAATATGCTATACCATATTCAAAAGTAAGCCTTGCACAATTACCCAAGCACTACAAAGTACTAATTACCTCTTTGCTTCTGCTCCGGCTTCTGTGTTTCTTCCCATCATGATCTAAGGAAGAAAGCATGACCCATCAGAATTTACCCTGCCTTACTCCTTAAAAAAACCTAAGGCACCTCTCATCATTAAAAGACAATATTAAAACTAACAACAGTGAGTATATAAATATTAAAAAGGATCAAACAAATGCCATGCTAAAGACACACATAACACGGAAACACGTTCAAAGGAATAAGGTGCAACAATACATTTAAAAACTCCACTCAGCTTGCCTGAAGAGAAAGTTCTCCACCTGCTTGCAAAAGGACAGTAAATATGGAGCTATATGCTATTTTTATGCTTTATGTTATTTTACTGAAGTTTAACTTGACACTTGGATACCTTTTAAAATTTCCTATTTGTTAAAATCTAAAGTGTTAAACAGTTCAGTATTTTAAAGGAGCTAATTGTGATGCATGGAGCACAAAATTTAAAGTTTTGCAAATAAATTATCAAACTTTGTATATTTACTTGGAATTTGTTGATTTGTACAGGACTGACTCAAAAGTAAACAGACTTCAATGCTTCATGAAACACAACACAAGACATCATAAAACCGTGTTTCTTATTCTACCACATAAAAACATGGGAACAATTTACAGCCAGAGGTTTCCATACCTGACTTTCGTTTTCTTTCTCTTGACCGTGAGCGTGACCTTGAATAATGATGTTTGGAAGTTTTAGGAGAACTAGATGCATCTGAATGATCCTTTTTCTTCTCTCTGTCAGGAGATGACTTTTCTGGGACTGTTGCCTCTCGCTCTGAATCACTAGCCTATGTTAAATGACATAGTATTGAATATTACGCAAATGAATGGCTAGCTACCGATCTTCTGAAAATGGTTATAACAATTCAACTCTCGGGAACATTCTCAAGAGTCTTCCCCCCCCCCAGTTAACAAATAATAATAATAAAAAAACCTACAGAAAACATTTCATATACTAACTTATTCAAACAGAATATTCTAACCATGATGAATATTTTTAACAGCTGTATCCCAGCACTATGACTGAAAACGAGATTCTTTATGTTCCCCAGGGCTTCTACAGAAAGGAATCTTCTGTTATCACCTCCAGACTCATCCCACCCTCAGACACAGGAGATACCAGTACCCTGTTAACAGAGCAGTGATCCTTGGCCTAGTTACTACCTGCTCCCCCTACCACTGCTTCACACCTAACAAAGGCTACCTTTTGTTATTATTACTAGATCTGGAACACCACTGTACAAGAGGTTACATAAATCTTCTAGAAGAGCCAAACTACTCATGAGAAGAGAGTGTGTATATGATGCTCCCACTGCAGGAGGCAACTTTTGTGCCCACCTTTGCCCCTCTGCAGCCCTCCCAATTTGCACCAAAGGTAGAAAACAAGCTTCCAAATCGCCATCCATTTCTAGTGTACCCCCAGAGGATTCTGGACCAGAGGGATAAGCATCCTAATATTCTTGTCATCAGCACCATCTATCATAGTCAAAGCCAGGGACTTTAACAGCTCTTCTTCAACAACCTAGTAGAGGCCCAAAGTTGATATCCTAGGACTCATTAACAATAAATTCATTTGAACATAATAGATGCCTTTCTCCTTTCATCCTCTTCCAGAGCAAAAGCTGTTTTCATTTAACAGACAAGGTATAAAAGAGCAAATCCTTCAAAGCAACTCCTTGCTTTCCCTAGATATTTTAAACACTTATGCTTCTGAAAACCCAGGAGACAGAAAATGAATATGGGATGGTAGTGACTGAGAACTTACGATGGATCTCAGCGGAATTTACAAACATGCGTGCATAAACACAGTAAGATCAGCCTATTAGACTCTAATAACATTGTCAATTTGGTATAGCGTGTTTTAAGCTAATCACGCCAGGACCTCCTGTCTTCCACGGCCTCCTGGAGCTGGTCGCTTGGATGACACTGTCCAACCACCTCGGCAAAAGTAGTGTACGAGTGATATACAGTTACAGTATATTCATTCCACTGTCGCTTGTGCTGAAAGGATATAAGGGCCTCTGGTCTTTTGTTTTAACCTATACAGTAATGCTTGCACAGACTAACGAGGCTGCCTCTTCTACAAGGACAACTCTAACAGAAACCCACACCAGAAACTCTGTAGGTTTTAAAATATACAAAGGAGGAACCCCCTGCATGTTTAAGAGGCACGAGATAATTATCCTCCCGAGCCAACATTCAGGAACAGGCTACAGTGGGATAAATACTTTCTATGAGACCACCCTCTTTTTAAGAGCTTGAGCAGTCCTAGAATTGATTTGCCCACCTTTTCTGTCAAAACCTCTTTTAAAAAATAAAATAAAATACAGCGTGTCCCCTCCCCATCCTCTTTTCAACATAGAGGACCCTGAACAGCCCCTAGAAACTACCAGTCCACCCTCTTAAAAATTAAAATAAAGAAATAGTGGGCACTCCTTCCACGCGCACACACCCCCCCATACGATCACCCTCATCCTAAAATAAAGACCATCCTCTTCTCAATCTGGACTAACTTGAAAAAACTTCTAGATAGCTCAGTGGTTTAGGTCTCTGGCTGTGAGGGCCGAGGTTGGGAGTTCGAATCCCACCCACCCCCGGGGCCTCCTGGACAAGAGCTGGGCCTGATGATTTCTGCAGTTCTAAGACCACGATGTTGATGGTGATGACGATGTAAAATATTCAAATTAGGGTTCAGTAATTTTAGCTGCCTAGGTAGCTCAGTAGTTTAGGTAGGGTTGGGAGTTCGAATCCCCCACCCCTACCCCCACTGGGCCTCCCTGAGAAAGGCTGGGCTCCATGTTCCATAAGGGTCCCCTTGGAGTTCCACAGTTCTAAGTACCTATTATTACTAAATGCAGGATCGCCAGGGGTTGAGAGTTCGAATCTCCCCACCGTGTGCCCTCCTAGGCAAGGGGCTGGACCTGGGGATTTATATATTGTACAATCCCTTCCAGCTCTCCCGTTCCATGGGCGAGGGTGGTGATGGCGATCATCATCATCCTTATACACCCTACAAACTACCCGCCCAAGCTTTTCCCACCAGACTTAAGAAATAGCAATATTAAAAGTAAATCCAAATATAAAAAAAAAAGTTCGGGAAGTCCGAGAAGGTGCCTGTTCGGGAGGAGCCCCCATCATCCCCCCCATCATCCCCCCCCGCAACCCGCGCAAAGGCCCAACATGGCGGCGGGGTGGGGGAGGGGGAGGCGGGCGCCATCTTGTCTCGCGCCTCCCTCTCGGTCTACCCGCCGCCCGACGCCCAGGAGGCCGAGGAGACTCACCGCCATGCCGGGGGTTGGTTGGGTCGGGAGAAGGAGGGAAGGGGAAGCGGGAGGAAAAGCCCTCGTCCTTTCGCCCCCTCAGGAAGGCAGCAGCGGCCGCTTTCCTCCGCCTCAAGTCCCCTCAGAAGCCGCGCCTCGGCCGACTGAGGCGAGCGGAGCACGACGGAGCCACGCCCACTCCTTGGGGTTCCCGGATGTAGCTGCGGAGAGGCGGGGCCGGGAGAGAGAGAAAGACAGAGAGAGAGAGAGAGAGAGGGGAGTGGTGACGAGGGAAGGCCGCGCCTGCGCACGGGCGGTCCGGCTCGAATGGGAGGGAGGCGGAAAGGGAGCGTAGAGCTATGAAAAGGGTCGAATGGGAAGAGGTGGCCGCGTTGGGCCCCAAGGGACGAAACGAAACAGAAAACGACAATAAAATGGCGTCCTGAAAGAGGAACTGTTATGAGGGGGTGGGAGTGTCTGAAGACTTTCTGTCTCCTGAGGAATTTTTTACAACAGAGCCCCAAAACGACCTCAGCCCAATTATAGGGTTTTTTTTAGTTTTTATTTATCGAAAATATAAACATAAAACACACAAATCAAAATACAATATAACTATGTTCCCCACCACCGTAGACGGACCTCTTGTTATAATCTTCGGTTCCCCACCACCGTAGACGGGACCTCTTGTTATAATCTTCCTCCTCCATTTATATTCTAATATGTTTTGCTTTCTTATGTTTCTTTGAGTTTTGCCTGGAAAGTGTATAAAAGGAACCACAACAACCATGTGGCACCTTAAAGGCTAATTATTATTCTATTTTAATGTGAGTTTTTTTGTGGGTCACCTCCACTTCTTCAGACCTATGGAATAACATGAAAGACAGTATTCGCAAGTAAGGAAGGATCCAGAAAGCTCACATTAAAATGGAATAGCACAGGACGTTGTGAAGGTTCGCCTTGTGAAGGTTGTGAAAGTTTCATTTCACATTAAAATAGAAGAACTAGTTTTTCCCTTTTTAATTTTTGTCCTTTGTGGGGGAGGGAATTCTTTGCATCTCGTCTACATTTTTCCTATCTCTATGGGGCCGCGCTCTTCTTCTTCTTCTCCTCTCGCCCCCTCCCCTCCCCTTCGCGCTCCCGGAGGAAGTTTGACCCACGCGGAGCCCCGTCGGCAGCTTCTCCTCCGAAAAAGAAGCGGAAAATTCCCGCCAGTTTGAATGATCGTCGGAAGCGGCGCGCAGAGAGGATTGGCGGTGTGTGTGTGTGTGTCTTTGGCCGCTGGGAGAGGTCTGAAATTTGGGGAGAAGGGGGGGGAGAGACTTGTGGGCTTGGGCCGCAGGGCGGTATCTTAAAAGCTGGCTAACAGGCAGGCATTCAACAGGTGAAGCTTCCCCAGCACCACTCCTCCAGGGCAGGGAAGTCAGTTCTGCCCTATCAGGTGGCTGTTAGTTGTGTTGCAAAAACCCACTGCAACAGTTACACACACACACACACACACACACACACACACACACGTGTTGCAAAAACCCACTGCAACAGTTGCACACACACACATACACGGGTTGCAAAAACCCACTGCAACAGTTGCACACACGTACACACACCCCACCGTGTTCTTCAGTACCACGGGAGGTGGACAAGATACGGCACACACACACATACACGGGTTGCAAAAAAACACTGCAACAGTTGCACACATGCACACACACCTCTCCGTGTTCTTCAGTGCCATGGGAGGTGGACAAGATACAAAAAGTCATTGCATGAATAAATAAGATCATACATACCTAGAGATGCTGGGGTGCGGGTGTGTTGGTGACATACCTGCTCACTAAATAGTATAGAGAAACTTAAAAAAAGAGAGAGAGTCTCTTTTGCAAGTTGTGTTTTTAAAAAAGAAATTGCATGTAAAGCTTGAACATAAATCGGATCTCAGCCGTGAAAGCCTCCGAGAATACCTTGAACATAAAATTGGAAAAAAAGAAATGTGTCGATAACTAGGGCTGCAGTCTAGGATGCAAGATGTTGTAATGTTTTCTTAAACAGTCTTACTGATTATTCTTCTGAAATGCAGAGGCATAAATCATTGTTTTGCTGTGTGGCTTACATGGCTCATTTTTCTGCTTCTCTGATTTTTCACCAGGCCGCTGTTTCTCTTTAAAATGTGGGATGATGTTGAGCTCTTGGCAAGTGATGATACCGGAAGCGGACGCCTCGGCATCCAGTCCCGTCAAGAGAGTGGAAGAGCGCTTTACCAAATCAATACACTTGTTAAAATCACCTCATCTGAAAGGGTAGGATTTCCTTTTTAATGGCTCAGCCCACAAGGGTTTACTGCCCAACCCCACTGCAAGATGCTGCACACTTATAATCCCATTTTTTTAGCTTTCGTGTCTGGACATCTAGATGTTGATGACATCGTGACGATATGATGCATTTTTTCCTTACAACAAAATGTTTCTGATCTCCGTTGTAACTTTAGAAGATGTGTGCCTAAATAAATTACACACACTTGTTTTTATTTACTGTGGTTGAATCTGTTCATGCTTTACGGCAAGAATTTAGTTGTAGTGGATTCCTACCTCTTTCGGTTTCTAAAGGAATACTGTATGGTTTATATTTGAAAGGTTTTCCCTTATTTGCAGGTCTCGTCTAATCCAGAGCTGTACGCATGTCACTCGAGCGATGGCTGTGTTTTGGTGGCTGACAGAACAGTGGTTGTGTTGGACAATATTTGCCAGTCTCTTCAGATGTTTATTCAGTTTGGTGAGTTTACAGAATTTGTAAAGGTCCAGAGAAAAATTGCCCATGTTTAGCATAGCTGAGCGTTGTGAGGAACTGCCATCTGGGTGCTTACATTTTGTCACTATTTTTAAGAGATTGGTTTTATTGGTCTATAAAAGTATTGCCTGTACAGTGGTGCCTCGCTTAACGATTACCTCGTTAAACGATGAAACTGCTGTACGAAGACTGTTTTGCGATCGCAAAACGATGTTTTAATGGGCAAAATTCGCTTCCTGATGATCGGTTCCCTACTTCGGGTTGAACGGGTTTTCAATGCATTTCAATGAGATTTTTTTTATTTCGCTTAACGAGGATTTTGTTCTACAGCAATTTCACTGGAACATTATCCTCGTTAAGCGAGGCACCACTGTATTGCTCTATAGAGGTACAGCCTCCTCTTGCATCAGTTCTATTGTGTTTATTTTTACCGTGAACCTCTTTGTGATTTTTTTAAAATTTAAAATGAAAAATATCTTAAAAATTCAAAATGTTCTTCCGTCAATCTTTCTGTATTCCAGAAACCGAGGTGGACGTTGTCAGCTTGTGTCAAGAAGGGAACTTTCTCGTGGCTGGAGAAAGAAGTGGCAAATTGCATCTGATTCATGTCTCTTCAAAGCGAACCTTGTTAACGAACGTGTGTAACTTCTCACTTGTTTCTTTACTGCTGAGTTCTAACAAATTTATATTTGGATGTTAAACTAAACCGCTGTTTAGTGAGCTTCGTAATGCCTTTTTGTACACTGCTGGGAGGAGATTAGAAACCCACAAAGCCCATGTGCCTTCACGGGAGGGAAGAGAAAGGAAAGTGCATTCTTGGTTTTTAAGCCAGGCGGGGAAGTTGTAACTGCATTTATGACTGGACTTTTCTTCGACACTCTCTTTAGATGCTGGCTCAGAACTCTTCAAACGGCAGAACGTACCTGAATCTCATTCTAGAGAAACATCGTTCAGACAGCGGTGAGATGCCTTAAGAACAACCACAGTCGTACTTTGAAAATGGTCCTCTCGCAAGCCACCCTTTTAAGAGCAGCCTTTAATGTCATGTGACTTTGCTTTAAAGTTGTTGTTTTTTTAAAAACATCAACCTTCTCTCGAGCATTTTTTTCCTGCTTTTAGATTCACTGTAATAATCTTAAAATCAGATTTCTACTCCTGCCCCCCCTCCATCAGTCGTATTCCTCTGATTTGCAGACTAATTCTGGGAATACTAGTAAGCCAGGCTAGCTAGCGATTTTCTTTTCTTCTTCATAGTAAGAGAAATCTAGAGTGTTTCTTCCTTAGGGATGCCTGCTGCCTTTGAAATACAGTGGTGCCTCGCACAACGAGTGCCTCACACAACGATAAATTCACACAACGATGGCAAGTGCCTTAAACTGTTTGAAACCTGTTTTAAATGCTTGGCATCGATAGTCCAGCTTGTGAAATGTATGCAAACTTAATTTGGTGTTGTTCTGAGGCGTCGTTAATTTTTGGTGATTTTTTGTTTTCTCCATTGAAAGCCATTGGACGGACAAAAAATCACCAAAAATTAACGACGCCTCAGAACAACACCAAATTAAGTTTGCGTAGGTTTCAGGAGGTGGGCTAACGATTGCAAGCATTTAAAACACTTTTCAAACAGTTTAAGACACTTTTACAGGAAAAAACATCAACCTTCTCTCGAGCATTTTTTTCCTGCTTTTAGATTCACTGTAATAATCTTAAAATCAGATTTCTACTCCTGCCCCCCCTCTATCAGTCGTATTCCTCTGATTTGCAGATTAATTCTGGGAATATTAGTAAGCCAGGCTAGCTAGCGATTTTCTTTTCTTCTTCATAGTAAGAGAAATCTAGAGTGTTTCTTTCTTAGGGATGCCTCCTGCCTTTGAAATACCTGTCATGGGGAAATAGCTTGACTTTTTGCTTTGATCTTCTTCTAAAGGGACCTACCATGCGTTCGTTGTCACAAACAATGGGTTCTTCTGTATTCTGCACCTCCCTCTTGCCAAAACGCAGGAAGGTAAGACTTTTGATTGAAAATACCATTTCAGATTATTGCATGCGTTTAAAAAGGGGTGATATGTTCTCTGTAAAGATAAGGCATGGATTATACATCGCAAGAGGTAATTGTCTCTATGTGTGTGTGTGTTTTGTTGTGTTTGTACGGTATGAACCATCAATTTTAGACATGTCTGTTCAGAAGAGGTAATTGTCTCTATGTGTGTGTGTGTGTGTTTTGTTGTGTTTGTATGGTATGAACTATCAACCTGATTGCACAATGCAATTTTAGACATGTCTGTTCAGGAGAACTTCCCACGTGGTTCCTCGAGGCTTTACCTCTGTGTAAGTGAGAACAGCACTTGCTGCTTTTAAAGTGCTGTTAAATGTTTCCTTTCATGACGGAAGGAATAGTAAAAATCAACATTGCAAGGTGTAACTGTTGCAAATGTTTCTAACAATATATAGTTTTAAAAAAGGTGAGGAGCATGTAAACGAGTTACGAGGAGCCGGGAATTTGCACATACAATTTCCTTTTCTAAATGAGTGGTTAAAACGGTGCCGTAGAAAATGTCTTCCTTTTTTTCAAAAAAAAAAAAAAAAGTAAAATTCTTCTTCTTGATGCTTTTTAACTTTATTTAGCTATCGGCAAGATGGACGTCCAGACTGCAAAGAAGGTAAGCAAGACCTTTCAAAAACAAGGTTTGTTTGTTTGTTTGTTTGTTTGTTTGTTTATCTATCTATCTATCTATCTATCTATCTATCTATCTATCTATCTATCTATCTATCTATCTATCTATCTATCTATCTATATCCCGCCTATCTGGTTTAGCAACCACTCTAGGCAGCTTGCATTTTGATTTTAAGCCTTTCCCGGCCAAGATTCAAAGCCACGTGTGTACTAGGGTTTTAACAGACGTATGGTTTGATTTTAAGCCTTTCCCGGCCAGGATTCAAAGCCACGAGTGTACTAGGGCTTAACAGACGTATGATTGCTATTTATATCAAATGGCTCTATATCAAGTACAAACTGATAGTGGGGTTTTTTTAAAACGGCCATGGTTCTTTTTCTGTAGTTGAGAACCAAATTGGGTTACGTTTCCTACTGGAGGTGCGGTTCTCTATTTTAATGTTACTTGGACAACCTCCTATTACGTGGAATAAATAAACTCTGTCCTAAGGGGAGGTGGAAACAATTTTAAAATTGTTAACTGCTCTTATAGCCTTTTACAAATGCTGTTTAAAGAATATTTGTCTGGGTTTTTTCTCCTCACAGCTCCAAGGGCAAATTGAAACCTGCTTTATTTCTACCGAAGATTATCATACTCGTGGCTGCCTTACTGCTGTGGCTCAGTATACAGCAAACAAGATATCTCTGATAATAGGGGTAAATAAGAGCATTATTTGAATACTTTAAGCAGCAAATATCCTGCGTGTTGATATAATGAAACGGTATGTTTGTTTCTTGAAGGGTGTCGGTAATGACGTGATAACTGTGTGGGAGGTGGATCCTGATAAAAAGCTGATATCCATTCAAAATGTCGCGGATTCAAGCATGATTAAAGGTATGAAGGAACTTTTGAGGAACTTTTCTCGGGCCAACCATTCCCTCTAGGAAACACCCCTGGCGCTATAAGTTTCCACTCCAAATGCTACTTTTCTGAGGTACAAATGTACAAATGTGTGTTTGTTTGTTTTTGTTTTGTGCTACTTTTCTGAGGTACAAATGTACAAACGTGTGTTTTTCCTTTTCTTTTCCAGCTGCAAAAAAGCTACAAGTTGTAGATAGCTTGTTATTTGTCTTGGATAACGAGGCAAGTATATTGTGTGTTTGTTTGTTTTGCCGCCTACTCTAACGATTAAAGTTTTACGTGACACAATGTCATGCGCTGTTTGGACTCCAGTATTTCAACTTCGTCTGAGATGCAAACGGGGCTTATATTTGCACAGTGCCTTATTTTAGACACCATAATTAAACCCAGGAAGCCTTTCATTAATCCTAATTGCTCATTTTCTTCCAAACTGGGAATATATGGTTAACAGTTTCCAAATTGTAATGCTTTTGTTTCTCTTTCTGTTAGAACGTTTTGTCCTCGTGGGACATTTACTCCCTCATTATGACATGGGACTGCCCGTCATTTCTCATCGAAGATTTCCTTCTGACTTCCGAATCTGATGTTTCAGCAAACGCAGGGTAAACTCTGTATAATTATAAATTAGAGCAGAACTGAGAAGTGTGGAAGAATATCCCCTGTCAAGAATAATTCTATTCCTGTCAAGAAAGGAGAAGAATGAAGCTAGATTAATTCTCGGGGATGGGAGTTACTAAGGGCATGAAACTGGGTTATTCCTTATTCTAGCACTTAATTTATTAGTTGCGTTTATGTTCTGCCTTTTCTCCAGCGAGTACTAGCTTAAATTCCTCCAGAAGTGCAAGGAGCCACAGATCAGAATAGTTACAAGTTGCTCAGATGAGTCCACCCCTTTTTTTCTCTCTCATCAACTGGCATTGACAGTCTCAGTAATTCACTCTCAGACATGAGTAAGAGAAAGAATAAAAGGTTTCATTACCTGGAATTGAATAGAAGTGACAGAACATGACTGCTCTCAGCAACAGGCCTCAACGGACTCAAGCGAGGAAAGGAAAGCTCTGTAGAGAGGTGGGGTCCTCTTTGAATTCAGAGACAGGCAGGAATGATCAGCTGGGGCTGGACAAGTTGTCAATTCCCTCAGACCACAAACTTCCCTCCCAGCCACACCTTCTCCAAGCAGCCTGCGAGGTTGTAAAAAAAAAAAATCCCTGTTTCTCCATATATCTCAGCCATCCCAATAATTGTCATTTTGATTGTCCTGAAATAATGCTTTTGGTCAGGCACCACTTTTAACACTTGTTTTATGGATTTTTTTGTTTTTGTTCAGACAGAGGATCGCCAATCTTAAACTGGTTGCTTTAACAACACCCGAAGGGGATAAACAGGTATTAGCCTTTAGTTTTTACCACGAGAAAGACCCACCATCACCAAACAAATGTTTGATCTGCTTTTATTTTGACCGCATGATATGCAGGAGCCGTACAGCATAGGTTATCTTGACTAGTAAGACTTCAAGACCCATTTTAAGGAGGCCCCCACCTGTTCCGATTTCCTTAATTTTTTTTCTCTCTCTCTTTATAACAGATGAAAAGCATCATGGTGTTTTCCCTGCCTGCAATGCACCAGCTGTATTTCTTGGAAGTAGCAAATGTTTCCTCACTGGTTCGAAGTGGAATAAATACAGTATGTTTAATTTTATTGTTGTTCAGTCCCAAGTAACCTGTGGAAGGGAATCTAGGCCAGACATAAATATGAATACTTTTTCGCGCTTGGGAGAAAATTGCATTCTTAATGCGTATAACAATAGTTCAGACCATTTTACACCCTCTTGAGGGAATCAGAGGCGTGCTTTAAAAATGTTCATCTAGCTATTATGCTATTAAAACAGTTTCAAAGGATTGTTTTCCAATTATCCTCTCTCCCACAGGATACAATATATTTTCTAGAAGGGATGTGTGGAAATACCCAAATGTAAGTTTGTGTTTGAAATGAAAAAAAACACCAATTTTACTTGATTTATTTCCAGTTGTGACCGTTTTGTGGTTTTTTTTTAACCAGATGTTTCTTCCTAGGCCTTGCGACGTTCTAATTTCTTTTCTGGTCATGAGGTGCCTAACAGAAGCGTTACCTGAAAATAGGTAAATAATATAAAATTAGTTCTATATAGTTACTCAGGGGTAAAACGTGGTCTTTGGGCAAGAGGGAGCTAAGGTGAAGTTTCAACCTTTTGAAGAAGAGGATCGAAACATATGCTTACTCTCAGAAATCAGTGAGAACAGAAGTGCCTCTTGGTGCAGTTTTACTGGTGGTGGGAACAGCACCAAGCAAGGGTGTCTAGAGAAGCTTGATGTATATTTGGCCGTGGGTTTGAATCCCAGTATTGGCCACAAAAATATCTTGGACAACCATCTTTAGACAACGCAGTGTGTGAGCCAAGGTGGGGGGGAGGTTAGGGCTTTACTCTGCAACCAGTCCAGATGGCACATCATAAGCTTATGACTACCTAGCAGATCTTGTGAGGAAAACACGCTTCATTTTAATCTCTCATTTTAGATTGAGTCGTTTGCTTCACAAGCAGAAGTTCACCGAGGCGGAGAACTTTGCCGTTCAGTTTGGGCTGGACGTGGAGGTAAAAAGCTGATCTGCCTGACGACCATACAGGATGCGGGTCAAAGATAAGGAGCTCTTTCAACTCCAGAGTATAATTTGTTTCAGATAAGTTATTGAGGGGGGGATCCCTTTCAGCAGGCATGCGTCTGAAAATACACCTTCTTCTGGGTTGGAAGCTCAAAGAAGCAACCGATCTCTGGAGCTTGGCCGCATTCACTTACAATATGACAATTCTGACTTAACCCTGAACCATCTGACAGCCAACACCTATAACTTGTCACCCACTTTGCTCCCCACCCCACTGGCGTATCTGCTGAGGCTGGTGGAAGTGGCTGGCTAAAAAAGAAAAAAAAAACAATTTTAGTGGCCATATTGGTGAGAAAGAGTGAAGAATAAGCAAACAGGCAACATAGACAAGGATGTCGCTCATTCGTAATAAATCATGGATTGTCTAGAATCCAAGCTTTCTGTTCAGTGACCTCTACAGTAGGATCACGGGATCTGCAAGAAATCGGTTCCACGTCCCACACCCCACAGAGGCCGAAAACGGTGGAAAGAGTGAGCCCTATACAGTGGTGCCTCACTTAACAATTACCTCGTTAAATGATGAAACGGCTTGAAGGGTTTTCAATGCGTTTCAATGGGCTTTTTCGTTTCGCTTGACGAGGATTTCACTTAACAGCGATTTCAATGGAACGAATTATCCTCGTCAAGCGAGGCACCACTGTACATAGCATAGTTTCTGGCTCCTGCTAGTGGCTAATTCTCATAATCTACATAATGGAAATATGTAGTTACTTCTGAGGTTTTTTCTTTAATATTTTTAGGCAGTGGATAAGAGAATCCACGGATTCTGATCCTACAGATGGGAGAGTCCTATTGTAGTTGATTTCAAAACAACTTCTATTTCAAAATGGTTGACTTTATATGTGTTGCTGGAGGTATTTTGTAGATTTCATTTTGAGCATGTCGAAAATGTATTTTTTTTAAATTATTCTTTCTGTGGGTTTACCTCAACAGCTTGTGCACAAAGTAAAAATGACCTGCCTCTTGGGTAGACTGGTTTCAGAATCCGCCGAGGATGATCCACAATCAGCCTGGCCCGAATTCGTGGCTCAAGCAAAAGAGACCCTGAATAAAATAAAGGTTATGCTTCCACTCCCACCTACACCTTACCCTCTTATGTACGTCCTCCAAACTGTTGGGAACCTAAGAAGTTATATTTGGGTGTTTTTTTCCTGTTTTCTTTCTTTTTTCTCTTTTCCAAATAGGACGACCCGTTTGTGGTTGAGTATTGCATAAAAACACCGTGGCCAACGTATGAAATTACTCAGGAGATGCTGAGTTACGCCCAAAGCAGGGTCAGTTTCATTAAATACTTTTTGTGCAGCCTTTGAAATCAAAGCAGGTTCATTATTTTTTTCAGTTGAGATGCTTGCATGCTACTGTTGACGGTTTTGCCCTGTGGACTGGGAATTTAATTCAACATTTCTGTTACTCCTCAGCTCCTGAAGAGAAACGATACAGCTGTGGCTTCTTTTTCAGCCAGGGACCCCGTGTCGCTTACAGAGGTAACGAATACAAATTTGGGCTGACGTTTATATTATTTCTGGAGCATAAGGCCCTGGAAAAAGAGCCTCAGGATATTTATAAAGTCAACATGTCTCTGAGATGGGAAAATGAGCCTTTTTTAAAGACTTTGGCTGATTGTAGATTCCCCCCAAAGTCAACATTTCCTGTCTCTGGAAGGAACTAGGATGAGAAAAAATGCTGTGTTTCTGTTCACTCCGCACACTTTTTCTAAAAAAAAGAAGCATGGTTTTTAATTCCAGGAAAGACAGGTAGGCATGAGAAAATCAGGGACAAGCCAGCTATGTGGCAGGGAGGCTATGAGGAAGGACTAAAATTATATTTCTTAGATGTTTTGCCCACCATAGCTCCCAAAGCAGTGTACAGTTTGTTTAAAAAGATTCTTAGAAAACAAAGGAGAACAGCAGTAAAAGCCAGTTTTTCCAATCTGTTTTTTAAGAAACAGGAAGCGTTTGCTTCAAGCTGTTGTCTCACTGAAACCCATTATCTTTCCCATCACGTACAGTGTTGGGTAATCCTTTGATTTATTTGCCCAGTGACAGATAAATCTCCTGATGAAAGCCAACAGATCGAGCATTTATACGTGGGAAGGAGAGGAAAAAAATCGTTTAAAAGTTTGGTCGCGTGTTCAAGGATTTTTCCTGCAAAACGAATCTTTTTGTCTTGATCCTAGGTGTTGAAGGCACACGCAAGACTTATTACGTTTTATGGAGCCTTTGGGCCAGAAAAGTTCAGGTTGGTCTTTTTACATTTTTATTGCTCTTTGTCTCTCTTATAGTCCAAGAACATCTAAAATCCAGGGTTGGGAACCACTCAACCAGCAATAATCTGAATTTTTGCCTTTTCTGTAAGACTATGTTTCGGGGGATATAGTAAGCAAAGATTTGATGTTTAACACTTCCCATGAAGATGAATCTGTGGAGTTCTAGCTTTTGTTTATGGACCAGCATGCTGATTTTCAGATTTTTCCAAACAATACTATGAATGATCTTTGTGCAGCTCATTAACATACCTATATAATTTCTGTGTGTCTTCTGAGCCTGTAAGTAGGACCATGGTAACTTGATGATTGATATCCCACCTAATCCGTACGCCAAGAGCAGATTACAGTATTTCAAAAGCAAATACTTGAAAGGCTGTCATACAGAGGAGGGGCAGGATCTGTTCTCGATCCTCCCATATTGCAGGACACACACCAATGTGCTCAGGAAGTCAGATTTCGGTTGGATATCAGGAAAAACTTCCTAACTGTTAGAGCAGCACGACAACGGACCCAATGACCTCAGGAGGTGGTGAGCGCTACAGCGCTGTGGCGGCCTACACGAGAAATTGAGACAACCACTGGCAGATCTCCTTTGATTTGTACTCCTGCATCAAGCAGAGGGTTGGACTTGATGGCCTTCTAAGCTCCTTCCAACTTCACAGTTGTATGATTCTGTGAAATTCATTCCTGGAGAAAGAAGCCTCTGAAGATCATCAGAAGAGCCTAAATCCAAGGTTACTCCCAACTAAAGTTGATTTGTTGAGTCCATAGATTTTGCCAAGTTCTCCCTGATCCTGCCAGTCTACTCTAGTTGGGATTTATAATGAGATTTGGACGTTTGCTTAAATATTATGCCTGTGTAATATAGTGGGTTTTTTCCCCCCACCTTTGGGCTGTGCTTATAAACACACGTTTGTTCTCCTTAGTGGATCTGCTTGGCTTGAATTTCTCAACAATAAGAACACCTTCATGGACGTCGTTTTACAGCTAAAGGAAGGAAGTCTCTCTTCTGCGCAGTATCTCTGGCTGAGACACGAGGTAAATGGCCTCAGAGGTTTCCCATCCTCTGTGCACCATCTCTATCAAAATAGCAAAGTCCTGTGTTGTATCTTTTAAGACTAACACAAACATGATGTGATCTGTTGCGAACACAGTGGAATAAAGTTTCCACCCTACACATGCAGACGTACAGAGGGCATCTGAGAGTTGTTAACATTTTACCTGTTCTATTTATTCAGTATGTTTTAATTAGTTTTATAATTGTTTGTAAAGTATATTCCATTGTGTTTTAATCCTACTCTTTGTGATATTGTGAGTTTTGCCTTTGAGTCCCGTTATCTGGAGAGCAGTGTCCTATAAATAAGACAAAGGACTAAATTCACTAAATAAATATGGTGGGGATATAAACAGGAGTTAGGGGTTGGAGCTTGGACTATGGACAGTACAGTAAAAACAAAAATGAGATGCAGAATGATTTGTGGTGAAGATTTTATTACTTATTTAAATTGTTGTTTTAATTGTTTTATGATATTTTTACTGTAAGCCGCCCAGAGTAGACATGGTCTAAATGGGCGGGATGTAAATTTAATAAAATAACTAAATAAAACTAAATATTAAAAGAGAAGTCCTTGCTCTTGGTGAAATGGGAGGAATTTCTACCTGTAGCTGCTTAATAAGGCCATCTCTTTCCACCGGGAACCTAATATTGTAAGGTAATTAAAAGGATCTAAAGGCGTATATTGTTCCTGAAACCTCAGAGAATACGCAAAGCTAGGAAATAGACACCAGACCCTCGGGCCGAGTAACTCTCTTGGTGGACGAGGACGTTTGAATACATGCTGGTGCTTTGCTTCAAAAATAAACCCAGTGAACCGCTCCGGCTGCGTGCCTTTCTGGCTCCATGAGCATTTGTTCCAACTGAAAGATGCCGTAGAGAGCATTTCCTACGGATGCTAACGGTCCTCCCGGAAACCTGCCAGAGCTTCCCGGATAAAATCCTGCTGTGCCACCGTCTGCTCCTTAGATCGCCTCTGTCGGTGTCGAGCTTCTCAGAAGGCTGGGCTGGTGATAAGACTCTGGCTGAGACACGAGGTAAATGGCCTCAAAGGTCTCTATCAAAATAACAAAGTCCTGTGTTGTATCTTTAAGACTAGCACAACCATTATGATGTGAGCTGTGGTGAACACACAGTGTTTTCCCTCGGGTGCATGGAATAAAGTTTCCACCCTACACATACGGATGTGCAGAGGGCATCCGAGAGTTGTTGACGTTTTACCTGTTCTATTGATTCAGCACGTTTTAATTAGTTTTATAGTTTAATTGCTTGTAAAGTATATTCCATTGTGTTTTAATTCTACTCTTTGTGATATTGTGAGTTTTGCTTCGAGTCCTCTTATCTGGAGAAAGGTGGCCTATAAATAGGACAAAGGACTGGGCTGATGATAAGATGATGTTTCCCTTCACTCTTCTAATCTCCTCCAGGCCGACTTCCGAAGCGGCTTTACGGCGACGATGCTGGAGAGCTTGCTTAACGCCATCCTTGCCGCGGTTTCCCTCAGAGACCTCTGCCGGTGGCTGAGAGAGGTGGTTCTTCCTTTCCTAAGGCAGGTTGTGCCTCACGGACAGGTGAGGAAAGAGGAAAGCCCTCCTTATGAAATCTCTGTGACTTAACCCGTCTTTGTAGGAGGAGCCATAGGTCAGTGGCCTTGTGGAAGTGAAAACTTTTTTTAGAAACATAACCTCGTTTGGTGCTTACCTTCCAGAGCAAAATAGCCAAATGGCTGGAGCAGCGTGCTCGGGACCTTGAGTTGACGGACAAGGTAAAGCGTAGTCATTCTCTTGACCAAAATCTTGGATATTGCTGTATTTTTGTCCCTTGCCGGAAATGGTACCCACGTTTCATTCTTCCCGACAGGCCAACTGGCCAGAAAACGGGCTTGAAAGGGCCGAAGTGTTTTTTACCTGCAAAGAACGGGGTGAAATTGGACCGGTGGCTTCGTGGCACCTGTTGCCTTCGGTAAGTATTCAGCTGCCACAAAACCACATTCGAGGGAGAGAAAAATAGAATAATTATATTCAAACACACACCCCACTTTCGCCTAGAGTGGTCGAAACGACTAGATAGGCGGGGTATAAATACAATAAATAAATAAAAATAAAAATTATTCTTAAAAAAAAAGCATGGTACTATGGCACTCATTTCCATTAGAGAAAAACTTTAGAAGTGGTTGGGCTGCTCCCAAGAAGAGTTTTGACTCAGGAAAATTACACCCTCTTGTTTCAGAAGGAGAATAACTGCACGGAGATCCGTAGTCTGAGAGAGCTGGTCACTGCTTTGCAGGGCTTGGTGGACCTCTACAGGAAATTCAACTGCAAGTTGGCGCTCTGTGACTTTGAAAAGGTATGATGCCTTGATTTATTATTATTATTACACTTCTTAGAAATCTTGGCACTAAATTGACTTCATGAAGAACTGAATGTGCGGTAGGCATTTCTGAGCAGCAGCAAGGAGAAACAACATGGTATATTAGGATGTGTGGTGTTGGCTTTTCTTTGGAGATCATTGCATTTCTCCTTGTTGTGTTGTTGTTTTTTGCTTGTGCACTAGGAAACCGCAAATAGAATAGCATTCCGTATGTTCGATAAAGTTCTGGCTGCGGAACTCATTCCAATAACTTTAGAAAAGTACATCGGCCCGTATATGCACCAGCATAATCTGCAAAAAGATGAAATTCTCTTGCAGTATGTAAAGGTACGTATAAGGAGCGTTAGTGTTCCGTTAAAGCAACAAGGAATCTTTTCTGTTCACTCTGTTGAATTGAAAGCTGCTGCCTCCGGGTTCAGGGAGCTTTCTTCCAAGTTTACACGCTCAGGAACACAACTTTAAAAGTGCAGTCTGGTGCGGAACAAGAACATTAAGGCCTCTGATTGGCTTCGGGGATTCCTTTAAAACGGGAAAAGGTCTCTGGCCTGATCGATTTCAAAGAAGCATTTCTTTAAAACGTTGTTTAGGATTTGCTGCAGCGACACAGCGTCCGGTCCACCTCGGTTCTGGACACCACTTGGGAAGCGAAAGCCATCGCGGTCTTGAGCTGCGTGTCGGACGTAGAGGTGAGCCTGCCACGGGGGTTGGGTGGGGGGGAGGATGATGAAAGGGATGCTTGGGGGAAATGCCCTTTGGAGGGGCCGTGGCTCATCATCGCTGGTGTGTGTGTGTGTGTGCGTGTGTCCTTCTTTGCTTTGCAGCTGGTCTTTGAAGGGGTGCTGGCCATCATGCAGAGCGCGGTGGTGCCCTGGAGCCCAGAAGTGGAACACCTGGTACAGCGGTACCTCAACATGAATCATGCCAAGTAAGAGAACCCGAACCCACATAAGCCTTCAGGATGTCGTCGGCCTTGGTCCGACCGGCTGGTGGCGCTTTGTGCTCTTTCTTCGGTTTGAGCGGCTGGGGAGCTCCGTGGCGGAGGTCTCTGACTGTGGAGTCAGAGGTTGCGAGTTTGAATCCCCCCCGCCACTGCGCCTCCTTGACAGGGGCTGGACTGGATGATGCTTCCCTTCCAGCCTCTGCAGTTCTGTGGTGATGGCGATGATTTACTCGGATAGTAGACTTGGTAAAACAACAGCATAAAACGTGGAGGGGGGGGGAGAATCCTTCGAAATGCTCTGAAAATACCCTTTAAAAGTAACTAGAGAACCTCACGCTCTGCGCCCATAGAAGGACTTCCTTTCCGGTCGTGATGCTCCTTTTGAAGCATGGTTGCGCGACCTTAGCGGTCTTAGGGCCAGCTGGCTTTTTCGCAAGAGAAGCAAGCCGTAAAAGAAAAGCAGGCTTGGATTCCATGAGAACACAGTCCCTGTGTTTCGTGGCGTTGTTTTGGTCACGTTGGGGCGAAGAACTTGAGCAATAAGTGGCCAACGGAAGTAGAACGATGTTGTTTTAGCTGCTTTGTTCAATGTCCCGGCTGTGGCGCAAAAAGCATTTTCCACGGAGTGTCCCGTTCAAAATCCTGTCTGGTCTAACTCGGGGGGGGGGGCCCTCCCCGACTCTTTTGCCATAGGGTGAAACTGCTGCAGGAGGGTTACCGGCTGATGGAAATGAAGAAGGTTTTGCGGAACTACGGCATAAGAGACACCAACCTTTTAAACGACAAACACATGATACTGGTGAGTGGTCACATTGGCCTCACTCCTTCCGCCCATCGGTTTCAGATCAGTCGGGAAATAAATCCTTGCAAGATCACGGATTCCCTTCCAGGCCGATTCAAGAGCGTGTGTCTTAACAAACGACTTTCTGCAAAAGGTAGGTCTCGCTCGTCGGTGGTCCATGTGGACATTTTTGGTCACATCAGTGCCCAACAGATGGTTGTGTTTTTTTTTTTCCAGAGGCTGGTAAAGTACATTCTAAAGCAAGACACGTCTTCTTCCCTGGACGACGCCTTGAAAATGGTCAACGCGTTCATGTTGCCTGCGGCGGAAGTTTACCTCTGGAGGATCGCGAACCTTATTGATAAAGAAAAAGTGAGATTCCCGCACAATTCCTTGCATGCCTAAACCTCTTACATAGCAAAAAAAGGTGGTGCCTGGACTTGCAGTGTACAATTCTGCTTCGTGCGTGGTTACAGGTAGAGGACGTTCTGGACTTACTCAAAGCACTGCCTCCGTCCGAAGCTGTGGAGGTTGCCGAGAGAGCGTTGATCTGGGGGCGCGAGGAACTGGAGAGAGGAGCAGGTGCCGGGGAAGAAGAGGTAATCTCTACGAAACAAACTGGAATTGATAACATCAAAACATACCATGAATTGTGTGATCAACATTATGCATCTGAACCAACGGTGGGGCGTTCGGTGTGGTCCTGAGCCCTCACTAACAGAGCTTATGACATGGGAGGGTTAGAACTGGAGCCGAATTGTTGCTGAAAGGGCCCACGCCAGATATAAGGTTATACATAGCATTCATTAGCACCGGAGGGCATATCTTTGGTGGAAGGCCATTAAGATGGTGTTTTTGCAAGGGTAAGGAGGTCAGTATGAGAGGTGGGTGGAGCCCCAGACCTTGGAGGCGGAGTTAGTAAATCAGCACCTTCCCCACGACGCCATGCTGCTCTGGAGCTACAGTTCCTCAACAATGAGATGGGTAGTATAAAACAGGGAGGACAAAAAAGTTATTTCTCTGGACTGCAATTCACAGAATTCCCCCAATCAGCCTGACCACCTGCTCCTTAATTGATTAATAATAATAACTATGTCGCAAAGTCAGTTCTGACTGACACCGACCCTTTCCAGAGAATAACATATAAACTATTAATCAAAACAAGGTGGTGGAGCAAATAATATAAGCACTGCGCTTATTAAGCTGAGGTTTAAAACTCCGTTTCTGTTGTTAACATGGTTTGTAGCAGAAAGTAAGTTGCTTTTTAAGACTTGCTTTTCGTGAAACGTTTCCTGATGCAATAAGTGAGTTTCTCATACTTCCTATTGCCACCTTTTTTTTCACCCTCTTCTCATCCTGACACCAGCAGAAAATGCAACTTTATTTAAAAAAAGGACTTGGAGAGATCGTCAAGTTTCTGCTTCGTCAGCCTGAAGGTAAATCCTGCCCTGTTTGAATTTCCTTGTGTGGATTCCAGCCGACAGCTCTCGGTCACCCTGTCTGTTTCTTTCTGTTTTGGGGGGACAGAAGACGTCGTGAAGAAAGAGGTGTACAAAGCAGAGTTGAAGCTCTTTAAAACCCTGGCTGTCTTGCAGGTGAGGATGACGTTGACGTTCTTAAAGAGGTTTAAAGAACTTCTGTGAGCAAGAAATCCCTTTTATGTCTGTAGACCGTAAACCTTTCCCCCTGCCACCAGAAAACCCCACCACCCACAAATTAGGGGTACATTTTCTTCCGTTTACCAAGGAAAATGGATACTATTCTATTATTAATATATATTAATATTCTATTAATATTATTATTCAATTCTATTATTTCTTGTTTTCGTCTTTTCCTCTCCTTCTCCCTCCTCTTTCTTAAATGTTCTCGTTCAGGAGAATTTTGGTATCTGCCTTTCGCCCAAAAACTATGGGAATCCGTCGGTAAGGTCTCAGTTGCTAGAAGAGAATATTGAAACCTATGAAAACATTGGGGATGCCGGAAAAATGCAGAAAGAGGAGACCAGCCTGGAGACACAACGGAGGTGGAAGGGAGGGTTGACTCGGTCAAATCTTTGGCGGCTGGCTTCCCTTCTGGACAGGACAAAGCATGAGATGGGAGCCGAGCTGGCGAGGAGAGCGTTGGATACCGGAAAGGTTGACGAGGCCTTAAAGATATGCAGGTTAGAGGGGAATAAATGCAGACCGACTCCTGTTTCTCCTATTGAGACGCTCAGGAAAGATAGGGAGTGTAAATGTCTACGCAACGTTGATCGTCTTGACTTCCTTGCTGTTATTTTCAGGCAGACAACTTCCTTTGCTTGATTTCATTCTTTTGTGTGTTTTTTTTTTTAAATCTCCTCCAGAGACTTTTACGAAAACGACCACAACGAACAGACGGGCCAGCTGCTGTTTTCAACCTGTCAAAAGCTTTGTCACGCGTTGGGTTCTGACCCTCTGATGGTTATACCACAAGAATTAAATCTTCCGGCCGAGATCCACAAGATAGCGTGCCAAGCGGCGACCCTTTGCAGTCCCGGTAACTAGCTGGAATTCTTAACTGAGTTGGTTTTTTTCCCAAAGAAATTGGTTTTCTCCCATTCACTTCATCTGACCCTCTTTTCCCTTTTATTCATTCATTTATTTTAAGCAGTCCCGGTAACTAGCTGGAATTCTTAAGTACCCATTCATAGTTGTTTTTTTCCAAAGAAATTGGCTTTCTCCCATTCACTTCATCTGACCCTCTTTTCCCTTTTATTCATTCATTTATTTTAAACTTCAGAACTGTGGCTAAATTGTCTTTATACTTGCTTTTTTTTTTAACCTTGGCGTTGGTTGGATTGTTTTTCAAATGTGATATTTACATAATGTTTTGAAATTTGTCATTTTGAATCTGTTATGAACCGCTTTGGGACCCTTATGGGGAGACAGGCCGCATAGGCTTAGTTTTAGAAATAATTGAAACAAATTAGTTAATTAAATAGCTAGGAGAATGGTTCATAAGGTGTGCTAAGCCGACGGTTCTCCTGAAAGCCATTTTCCTCTGTCTCTTTGAGTGGTACGACAGAACAAATCCATGATAAGCATGTGCGATTGTGGAGTTAGGCCTATTTCTGTGGGAATCGTGCAGAGTTTCCCTCTTGGGGAATTTTATCCCCTCCGTGTTGGGTGGAAGAGTCTATTTCATCCCCTCCGTGTTGGGTGGAAGAGTCTATTCCATGCCCACTCTCTCTCGCTCTCACCAGACCTCACTTTGGGTACCCTGGAACTTTGCAAATATACCTCGTTTGCCTTGGAACTTTCCAGAAAGTGCCAGATTGAGGAAGACTATGGATTCATATCAAAGGTAATGCAGGCGCCATGTTTGTTGGGGTGTGAGCCTTGTTCTCTTCAATAGTCTCTGGAAGGAGAAAGGAGAGCATCTGATTTTCCTCCTCTACCAAGGAACTAACAGGATGGGGGCCTCCTTGGCTTGTTTACGGCGCTCGTCGTCTTGCGGGGCTTCTGAAAAAATGACCCGTGGCTTCTGCCCCCGATCCAGGCAACCTCTCCAGCCGCTGATAAAGACCCTTATACCGAGTGGGTGTTTGACGACTTCTTCGTGGAAGACGGCGCCGTGCTCGACCCGCCAGCTGTGCTACCTCTGATTTACGAAATCACTTCTTCCATGGTTCCTGTGACAGGTAATTTAAAAAAAAAATTATTATTATTATTCACTTGCCTAAGCTCGTTTCCACATTCTCTCTCCCCCTCTTTAAATCCCTTCTCAGAATCCATCATGTCTGGAATAGCCCACCACACACACACAAAATCCTTCCACCTTCCTGTCACTAAAGCTAAAATCGAAGCCGTTGAAGCAATCCTATTTCTTGTTAATTCCCCAACTTTCTCCCATCCCTCACCCCATCTCTCTCCCTCACTTCTGTTGCTTCCCTGGGTCCGTTTTAGATCCAAAATCCCTCGGGATAGGGCCGTACCTGTTCTTTGGCAAGGCTGATGTATCACAACTGGTCTTTTGACCATGGATGAAATACTCAAAAATCACAACAAGGCAGGGATCTGTAACTAGGTTTTATCTGAAAGGGGAAAGGAGCGGTATATTTCTGAAATACTGAGCAGAGTGATGTTCTTGGTCAACGGCGGGTGGTATCCCGAAGAATTTTATTAACAGTGAACAATTAATTCTTTCCTTCCTCCTACAGAACAGAAGCAGCACCCTCTGGATTCGGTCAGTTTGCCATATTGCCCCTTAAAACAAGGTATTAACGCGAGCAAAAACGGTTAGGCGCACAGGAACATAAAACAGAAATGAAATCCTTCTAAAATTTCCCTTTGGAAAGCACGCTTAGGGGCCTAAATGTACTGATCTGGAAGGCTTCATAGTCTTCTACCAGCCCTTTTCATAACAAATTTTCCCACCCCCTTCCATCCTATAAACTCTTTTGTCTTACAACTTCTGTGCCCCTAGCTGCCTAGTTAATTAGACTCCCGATTGCTTCTTTGATTTCGCTAATCAGTTTTTGTCTTGCACCTTTTCTGCCAGATGTTTTTAATTACAGCCGAACCCTCTTCTCTGTGAGACCAGGATCCGTGGATTCACTTATCCACGGTCTGAAAACATTAAAAGAAAAATCCCCTAATTAGACTCCCGATTGCTTCTTTGATTTCGCTAATCAGTTTTTGTCTTGCACCTTTTTTGCTAGCTATTTTTAATTACAGTAGAACCCTCTTCTCTGTGAGACCAGGATCCGTGGATTCACTTATCCACCGTCTGAAAACATTAAAAGAAAAATCCCCCGGATATGTATTTCTAACTAATATAGTGTTCCCAGACGGACTGCTGGAGAGAGCCAGAGATGCTGCTATGAAGAGCATTCGCTATTATAATACTGTTTGTTATAATCTACATTTTTCAGGGGAACGTGGAACCGATTGACCACAGATACAGGGGTCCTACTGTGCTAACTCACATGAATGAGGTCAAATAGGAATTTTGCTGTTGGGCTGTCGGTTTTTGCTTAGTGGCTTTAGTCGCTGAAATCAGCCCAGTGCTAAATCGAGATGGTCCAAAAAACCTTAATGTCCAGCAGGAAATTCAATGTTATAATAACCTAACCCATTTCTGTCCCCCCCTTCCATAGGAATGAGTCTCTGCTTCTCCTGCCAGAATCCCATCTCTGTCCTGCTTAACAACCTGCAGGAATGCAGTCAGCACGAGCTGGCTTCTGGGCTGATCATCCTCACTTTGAGTTCGCTGTTTCAACACATGATCACCAACAATATGGATATCGCTCTGGGCCAAAAGGTAGGAGCCCAACGCGGAAGGAGGCTGTGCGAACAAGACCTGCCTTTGCAGAAATTGTAGAAACTGCGGCAAAAACAAACCCTTCAGCATCTCCATTTTTGCCCCGGAGATGAGTTGTTTTTTTTTAAGACTGAGAATCCTTTTGATTGTCCCCTACTAGCTCTAAACAGCCACGTTCTTCTAGAGTTATCCCCCATAATAAGATTTTTTTTCCCCACCTCCTTATTTATATCCCGCCTTCAGGATCATTGGGTGCAACAGCTCAAGCCTAAAATCTTTGGAACAAGCACACGAAAGGCTTAACTGCAAAAACGTTAACATTTTAGCAGAGCCAGAGGTTGGCTGTTTGATTCCCACCCCCACCATCCCGGGTCTCCCTGTTCGGGGTTGGATTCAAGGATCCATGGATTCCCTTCCGGCTCTTAAGATGATGCTAAGGAGGAAGAGGAGGAGCAAAGATAGTTTTGGGGCGTCCTTCCAGTTTTGCAAAAGAAGCAAACGGTCTTTACAGCTTGAATGCTTGACAAAAACTTACCTGACCTTTCCAGTCCTTTTTTTTTCCTGTGCCCCGCAGCTGCACGACCAGAAGACACAGGAGGATGCCAGGGGATTCTTGCTCACGATGGTGCAGAGTTCTCCGTTACTGATCAAGGGCATCGTGACGGCCCTTCTGCACAAGGTGAGCCGCCGGGTCGGGAGAGGGACCCTGGCCACGGGTGTGGCATGAGCTTTCCCCAGCCTCTGGGTCCAGCTTGTGCATGGTTGACCTCCAACAGCAGGGAGCAAGGGGCACCGGGAGCTGATCAAGAGCCCAGCAGGCCAAGCCCAAGCTCACCTGCGGACGAATTAGCCAGGGTAGGAGCCGCAGGAGCGGGAACGTTGAGGCAGAGGATGGAGCAGAAATGCAGGGGTCAGGAATACCGGAGTTCAGAAGAGGAACCAGGACAGCCGAAGAGCTGCGTTGCTGAGGCAGCTTCTGGGCGGGAGAGTCCTTCCTTAAGTAGGCCTTCCCTCGGGACTCCCAGGTGGCCCTCATGAGAGGCCGGGCATCTGCAGCCCCGGCAGGGCTTGATCCTGCAAACACTGGGCTCTTCCTGGGACCGAGCTGGCCCCGATCCTGCCGCTGCCAGGGCGGTGGTGCAGGGGAAGCCCGGCCAACCCCCCAGATCCTGACACTCAAGCTTCCTGGTTTCCTCTTATTCTTTTAATTGGTTTTGGGGGTGGGGTCCCCGATCCTGCCGCTGCCAGGGCGGTGGCGCAGGGGAAGCCCGGCCGGCCCCCCGAGATCCTGACACTCAAGCTTCCTGATTTTCTCTTATTCTTTTAATTGGTTTTTTTGGGGGGGGGGATAATCAGAAATGGACCGTCATGTGGGAAGGTCAGACCCCCCCCAACGTGGCCGTGAAACCCACCAAGCGATCTTGGACTAGACGCACGTTTTCAGCCTCTGACCCACCTCACAAGGCTGTTGTGAGGACTAAGGAGAGGAGGTGCGAGTTGTGGAGATTCGCTTGAGTTCATTGGAAGGAAAGCCAATGTAAATGGAACAAATCAGTAATAAAATAAACGAAGACCTGAGGGCAGGGACTTCAGGATTAATTGGTACAAAAATGGATTAAATAGGTGGGGATAATCCAGTGAATTACAGTAGGATCCCTGTATTCACAGGGGATCGGTTCCAAGCCCCACCCCCTTTGTGGATGCCAAAAAATGCAGATTATAACAAATAGTACTTTAATAGTGACCGCCATACATAGCCTGGTCTCTGACTCCTTTTAGTGGCCAGGGCTGGTAATTCCATCTTTAGAAATCTGTATTTCTAGGATTTTTCTTTTAATATTTGTAATATTTTCAGACTATGGATAAGTAAATCAGCGGATACTGATCCCGGAGATACAGGGGTCCAACAGTATAACATAAAGGGCTGTATGTGCGGCCAATACATCCACCCTAAACTGCTGAATGGGGGGAAAGCCAAACCATCAATACGTGCAACAATGGAGCGGGGGAAGGATGTGTCTGTATTTCTAGGATTTTTCTTCTAATATGTTTAGTATTTTCACACTATGGATAAGTAAATCAGCGGATATTGATCCTGGAGATACAGGGGTCCGACTATATAACATAAAGGCCAGTACGTGCATGATGGCTTCAATCTCGGCCAATACATCCACCCTAAACTGCAGAATACGGGGAGAGCCAAACCATCAATGTCCACAACATACAGTGGAATTTTTAAAAAAAATCTGCTCGTATTAAAGCTTGGGGGGGGGGTCCCCATTTTCTAAAAAAATTGTGCATCTCCAAAAACCAAACACTCTTCATACAGTGAAATCTTTTTTAAAAAAATCTTCTTGTATTAAAGCCTGTTTGCTCCTGTAGGTGTTTAACAGTTCCCTGGTCGATCACAACCTTGCCCTGGGATATTGTACGCTTTTGCCTAAGGAAGCTGTCTTTCAAAATCTCTGGGACATCATCAATAAAACAGCGCAGAATTACAGCAAAATTCTGGTAAGTCTTGAAGCTTCCTGAACATGAACAGTTTGTTGGCCTTTACCCATCATGGCCAACGGGTGACGAGGATGGGAATTGCTTTCTGGAAGGCCAACATTTCCCCATTCCTCATATATTATGTTGGGATATAGAAGATTCCAATAGCATTTTGTCTTGCACAGAAATACCCTCGTTCGTAAAGGACAGTCAACCTATGCAAGCCCGTTTGTAGTTGATGATTTTCGAATGACGTCCTGTACCATTGGCTCTTCCATTCAGTGATAACTTTGAATTCCCTTGTGATTGTTTCATGAAACACAGGTTGTGCTGAGCCTGCTTTTATGAAACATTTTCATGAAACACAGGTTGTGCTGAGCCTGGTGTGTTTACTTTTATGAAACACCCCTCCGATTTCAGTGTTTCCTGAGCAGGTCTTTGGAAGGGAGAGAGAATATTCTCCATAAAATAAATGGTTTAGCATCCGAAGGACACGAAGAAGGCAGTAAGAGAGAAGAAGATGGGGGGTAATTTTATAACGACATAAAGAACTGGTATCTGATTGCGCATTGAGTTGTGCTGGTCTATTTTGTTTCCTCTGGAACAGGTGGTCGGTCTCGTTGGAGCGCAACTTGCCCGTCTTTATGAAGACGTGAAGGAGAAGGAAGCGTTTGAAGAGTTAATCGTTGATGCCGAGTGGGGTTTCCAGCTGGCTAAACTCGGGGTGCGTATTCCTCCTTTTCATATTTGAACGGAGAAGACATTGGTTGGTTGGTATGTTGCTGGACTGCTGGTTTCAAAATAGCCTTTGCTGCCATTTTATTTCAATCCGTGTTTTTAAATTTCTTGAGGTTGGTTTAAACACAGACCTTTCAGAGCAAATAAGAAAAATGGGGAAAAAAACCTAAGTAGCATGTGAAGGGTAAATACCGGGGAAATCTCCACCCTAGATTCTCTGTATTAAAAAAATCTATCCATCCTCAGAAATCCGCCCTCCAAGATTTCATCTGCCACATGACTGGATTTTTTTTTATAATTATTAATGTCCAATAAAAACAAAGAATACGCAAAACACTGCTAACATACCAACTTAAAAAGAATAAAGAAAACCACAGTTATCAGCTCTCTACCCTCAGGACTAGTTTTCATTTTTATTTTTCTTATGTTTTCTGCCACCCCGTTTCTTTCCAGAAATACATTGATTTGTCTCTAGAGGCATACCCTTTCCCTTTCTCAGACACATATACCAAAATAAATTCCATATTTCTTTAAAATGATTCATGTTCCATATTCCTTTTCTAATCTTGGTTTCACAGGGTGATTTGCCGTTAATGGCCATATTCGAAATTTCTTTATACCGTTCCTCCATATTAAATTGGTGGGTTTTTTTTCCCCAGTTCTTTACAAAGATCAGCTTTGGCCACAATTATTGTAATAATAATTAATTCTTTTGACGGGACCCTATGGCAAGGGTTCACGATTCACAATTACAATCATTAGGAACCAAACAGATGGGAAATGTCCTTTGGGGACATGTTTTCCATAAAGGAAACCATTTTATTTCTTGACGCATACCTGCAGTGGGAAAAATCCCTGCTGAATTTGGCTTTCAGATTTGATGCTTTCTTTGGTCTGCAGATCTCCTTCCAGAACTTATTCCGGACACCACCAGTGAGGAAGAAAGAGCTTCTAAAAAATTTAGTTCAGCACCCAGATGTGGACACCCACCTCGTACTGAAATACTGCAGGTGAGGCTCAAAGGCCCTTGTTGCAATAAAAATACAGTTTTCTTACAGGAACTGCAACAGGACCATTAAGTGTCATTAAAATAAAAGCAAATTTCCTTCCTAAATGTTGCCCTGGACTGAATCACTGGGCTTTTCAAATAGGGCGATTTGATGGGTCTTTCCCCCTCCAGCTTTCTTTCTTTCTTTTTACATTTTTCCAGTACTTACCAGTTAGACACCGATGCCGCGTTGCAGCTGTGGATTGAGACACGCCTCTGGAATGCCAGCACGAGCCACGTGGAAAGGGAGGCGTCGGGGAAGACCTCGAAGCCTCCCGACACGCACGCTGCGATCGTCACCAAAGCGGTGGAAGCCATTCCCCTTTTGAACAGCGCCACAGGTTTGGTTACCAGCCTCTCGGCGATGTTGCACAAGGTAAGAAGAACAAGGCAGTCCGTTAAAGGCCAAAATCTCTCCCCTTTCACAGAGATTGAGAAAGCAAGCCGGCTCCAGACCGGAGAGAATCCGGCTAACCCTAAAAGCCGTCAGGGAGAAATGGTTTGGGGAAAAATAGATATTTTTGTCCTTGATGATAGAGAGGCTTGGCAGAGGGAGCAAATCAAGCACTGATCGTGACTGCAGGATGAGATGGGATACATAAGAGGAATATGTGTGGGGGTTTTTAAATAATCATTGTCGTAGAGAATGAATGGTTTTTAGTCTGCTTCTAATTCCCGCAACAGCTTGATCCCTACGACTACGAAACTATTGAAAGCCTTCTCGCGATTATAGAAAAGGCCGGGGCAGGGACAACAGGCCTCCCACTGAATCGGGTAGGAGGAGGATGGTTCCTTACTGGGACAGAGTGGCCGTGTGGCTCTTAAATTCTATTCCCAAAGGTGTCTCTTAAGAGTTAGGAGAAGGAGCGCTCTGATTTTGTCTTTTGTGTGTCACCTCCAGGCCCTGATGCTCATAAAACATCTGAAATCGTATAAAAGGCTCTCCCCTCCTGGAGATCTGGAGCTTCAGTATCTTTTCGAACAGGCCATTCCCCTGTCGCCAGCGGCTCAAACCAGGCTGCCTTTCCACTTGATCTTCTTCAGACCGTCTCACTGTTTTTGGAAAATCATTCGTAAGTTTGCAGAATACTTTAAAATAAAATTTAAAAACAAAAACAACTTTCATGGGTGACTCTCTAGATCCTTTGAATTCGGTTCCCAGAACCCTCGGCCAGTTTGTTCATTGGCCAGAGACAAGAGAACGGCAGTTCAACTGCATGTGGAGAGCAAAGGTTCTGCTATTTTAGTATTCATTTTCTGGCGTTGTTGTCTCTTTCTTGCCACAGCTTCAGAGTTAAGTGAAGAATCGTTCCCGGAGCTACTTTTGATCTCCAAACTTATGAAGGTAACGATAAGCATATTTTTAAAATTCCCTGTGTCTTAAACTGCGGCGGTGAGCATGCCAACGCTGGAGGCCTTCAAGAGAAAATTAGATCTTTCTCTTTCTTGGATCTGCTTTGGTTTGGATTTCGGCGTCGAGAAGGGGGTCGGACACGATGGCCTTAAAGGCCCCTTCCAACTCCACGATTCTAGGATCTTAGGACATATTATTTACCTTCAACTGCGAGACTTTACCGTGAGACGAGAACACTGTTTGTCTAAGATCACTGCCTGCAGCAGAACAGTAGGAAGAGGCAGTAAAATACTGGATTGTGAAAAATGGAAAAGGCTGGTCAAGAATACCCTTCATTGCAATGATTTCTTACGGGGGTCCCCTTTGTGAATTTCCTTAGAAGATCTTGCTCCAAAGGTGACCTCCTTTTCCGTCTTGCTTTCTAGTTCCCCTTGGATCCCCTCTACGTTTCGGCCGCCAACCACCTGTTCCAAAAGAAGCTGAAACCGAAAATCCTGAAATCCGCAAACAGCGGAGGTTTGCCGGGAGACGACAAGGACTTGGGGAAAACGGTCCAGACCATTCAATCTTACTTGGCGTCCATCGCGAACCCCGAATGGGCCACGGCTCTCGCGCTCAACATCGCTCAGGAACTTCCCGCAGGTATGCGGTGGGGGGAGGGGAGGGTTTCTGCCTCTCGAGGAGGGGAAGTAGGTGTTTTTCTTCCCAATGTCTTCTCGCCTGGATCAGAGCAATCCACACCTGGATAGGGATTGGGGTCGTCCTGCAGGCTTGTTAGAGGCGCCCCTCCCGCTTAACACGGGGAGTCTGACGAAGTCTGTTCCTTTTGGCAAGACTTTTCTCATGGGCCCCTGCTGTTCGTCACCGTCCCGGACGGAATTTTCCTTTGGCCACAGAAATCGGAGAGTAAGCCCCAGGCCCAAAATACGTCTGAAGTCTAAGCGGAAGAGTCTTTGTGAGCAACCAGGGAAAGACACTCATGTCTGCCATCCTTTTCCTCTCTCTTTTCTTCCCCCCCTCCCCACCTCTAGGGCCCATCAAGGTCCAGGCTTTGAAAATCTGCCTCGATTTGGCTAAGAAATGGCTGAAGAACACGACGGGGGAGGTACTGGGGAGCCTGGCATCAGAAACCCCAAGCAGATATTTAAAGAACCATTTTGGCTTACACCCTTACCCACTCCATGGGGACCAAGAAATGAAATGGGGTGGGTGAGGGAGAGACAGTCAAGATCCGTGCAGCCACCCCGAGAGAGGCCCGGAAGTCTTCTACTGGAGGCAGGGCCTTCTTGGTGGTGGCACCTATGTTATGGAATCCACTCCCAGAGGAGCTGCACCTGGCCCCCTCCCTGGATTCCTTTAGGAAGCTGTTAAAAGCATTACTTTTCAGGGAGGCCGGGTTGAATATCCCAACTCCTGTTTCCCCTTCGAGCTGTGAACTTTTTTTAAAAAAGTTTTTAGATGATGCTTTTGTTCCTGGTCTGATCATTTAATGTTCTTTGTTTAACTGCTTGTAAACCCACCGGAATGGGGCTTTGGCTCTAGTAAGGTAGTAAATGGGTGGGTGGGTGGATGGGAGAAGACTTAGTAGACAAAAGTGGGCCCTGATTCTCTGAGCCTCGGCGCAAAACTAGATGGAAACCAGTTCTGTCTTCTGGTGAAGGGAGAGTCTCGGGAGAAGGCCCAGGTTCATCTAAAGAAGCTGCAGGTCCAGCACCAGCGGTCGGCTACAGAGGCCGTGCTTACCACCCACCGGCTGGACTCCGAGGACCACCTGAAGCTGATCGGGAAGCCGGCCAAGCTGATCGTCTTGCTCTATCAGCACAGCAGCATCGCCGAAAGGCTTCACCGCCCAACCGCTAGAGACGACCCCGGTGAGCTCCCCCTTTCGCGTCTCGGCCCCTCTGCAAAAAACAGATGGCAAAGGGGATGGAGAAATCTCTAGGTCCTCCAGAGAACCCTGAAGGATAGAGGAGTTCGTTCTTTAAAAACTACAATGCCCAGAATTCCACAGCCCATGTCTGCTTGGGCTTGAAAAAAAGGAAGCAGGTTTCTTGTGTGAGTCTTTGCAGGGATTTTCAAACCGTAAACATGGGGAGAAGGAGCAGCAAAAAGGGGAAGGAGGCCAGCCATGCGTGGCCACGGCTCTGGAAGAGCTCCACGCAAAGGATGGGAAGCCGGCTCATTTAGCAAAACTTTATTCACAGGGGTGTTTGCATCCACAAACGTAACTCGTAGAAGAACCTTTTTCGTTCCCCCTTATGGGTAGGAAATAGAAGGCAGGGAAGCGAGATTTTTTGTCCTGCTTCTTAACATTACTCCTTGTGTACGCCTCTTAGATATCCATGCTGCTGCTAAAGAAATAGCGGAGATCAATGACTTAGATATGAAGAAAATATGGGAGATGCTGTTAGAAAAATGGCTGTGTCCCAGCGTGCTACCGACGGATGTAAGTATGCTTTTTTCCCTAGAAAGAGGCCGCTGGCATTTGGGGCACCTCTCGTGACTCGTAGCCCCTGATGATTTTGTCCTCCCATCTGTTCTTCCCATTATAGTTTTAATGTGGTTGCAATAGCCCACTGACATGGTACAGTACGCTGAATTTATGTCTCGTTCGTTGTACCTGTCATTTGTTTATTTGACACCTTTACTGTTGGGTCACTGTTAGTGTGTTGCTGTAAACTGCTTGGCATCAGCGGTATACAAATGCACGAAATAGATCCATCCATCAATTCAGTCTCCTTGTTCTGAAAAATGTAGTTTCTCCCTTATTTTATTTCCTTTTCCTTTCTCATTTTCCTAGAAAACCCCAGAACACTTTGGGAACCTCCAAGAAGACGAAGATTTCAAGAGGTAGGTTTCTGATGCGAGCCTCCGCCGTTTTGATTGCCCACTTGGTTTCCTTTCCACGGCGCAAGCAAATCGAGGACTCTTAAATACAGTCGACAAATCAAGGACCTCGCCGGACTGTTGACGTGCCCTTGCGTAGAAAGAAAAATGTTCGATTTCTGTTTCTTGCAGAGTCATATATCTCCTCCAGCTGCAACCTCTGGATCATAGCCTAAGAATCCTCTACGAATATACAGTATCTACCACCTCTGTAAGTTAATACTCACCTAATCTGAGGCATAGATGTGTACCTGTCTGCACACTTTTTGGACTACAGTTCCCAAAATCCCCACCACTACCACTTTGACAAAGGAGGTGGGGACTTCTGGGAATTATATTCCCCCCCCCCAAAAAAAACCACTGCAATTTTCCAGATTTTGGAAAGAATAAAGATTCTTGCCCAGCTATCGAGGATAATATCTCTGCTTTTTAACGGCATGGAATGTTCAGCGGAATAAATCAGGAAGAAGAATATTGTGTTTTGTTCATGGTTGTTCTCTAAATAAAAGCAAAATATGTCTTTGTCCACCTCCTTACCCCTCTCTTGTTTCAGCCTGTCGGAGTAAACCAGCTGACGTTTGCTCACCGAAGCCGGGCCCTCAAGTGTTTGCTCTACTTGGGTGACTCGTCTGCTGTCGAATCACTCTTCAAAAAGCCTATTGAGAAAGTGAAGTGAGCAAAATTCGGTTTGCCGTTAGTCACAGAAAGTGTCCACTCTCTGTGGAATTCGTGTTAATAAATTTAATCCCCTTCTCTCTCCCTCTTTCCGCAATACTGTAGTTGCGTCCTGTTTAATATTTGCATACTAATTTATTTATTTTTTTGCTTTTAAACAGATATTTCCTGAAGTGCTTAATTTATCTCACCGTGTTTGAAACTCTGAATATTCCTTACACCTACGAATCGTTCCGCAGCGCTCCCAAAGAGGGGATGATCAAAGGATTGTGGAAAAACCACAACCATGAGCCTCTGGTAACTTTGGCGGGGTCGATACATATAGGGAGTAATTAAAAGGCCAGAAATCTTAAAACTAACTTTAATAGAGAAATGCCTTTTTTCTTCCTTTGACGGAACAAATCTTTCAGACTGCCGGATGAGAAAAAGCTTTCGTCAGCCTCCTTGAAGAGCAGGAGGCGGCGTGACTGACGTTCTGTTGTTGTTTTTCTTCTTCCTCCTGGGTTTCAGGCAGTGAGACTGGTGGCCGAGCTGAGTCTAGAATACCAACTCCACGACCCTGTGCTTTGGAATGGTTTGTTACAGAAGCTGATTTACTTCAAAATGGTGAGAGGGTTTTATTTTTTTTTATTCCCCTTGAGTGAAGAAAATCTGGATGCAAGCTGTTATTCTGTAGATAGGTAGAAGCCACTTGGTGCCCATGCTGGGTTTGATTATATTCGGGTATATTTGAGCCCGGCTCTATTTATGAGATGCATTGGACCGATCCTGCAGGATTCAGTGTCCTTCTTTTCTTGATGCTTTACTGTGGGTCTGTCCGCCCCATGTGTGTTAAGCTACTACAGTGGTGCCTCGCTTGACGACATTAATTCGTTCCAGCGAAATCGCCATAGAGCGAAAATGTCGTAAAGCGAAATAAAAAAGCCCATTGAAATACATTGAAAACCGTTCAATGCATTCCAATGGGATGAATACCTGCTCGTCCAGTGAAGATCCTCCATACGGCGGCCATTTTCAGGTGCCTGTCTTGCGAAAAACAGCCGGCAGTCATTTTGAAAACCCAACGATCAGCTGTTTGATCGTCGTAATGTGAAGAATCGGTTCCCAAAGCAGGGAACCGATCGTCACAAAGCGAAAAAACCCCATTAAAACATTGTTTCGCGATCGCAAAAACATTGTTGTGAAGTGGATTCGTCATTATACGAGGTAATCGTTAAGCGGGCACGACTGTACCTTGATGCAGTGCAATGGGGAAAGGATAGTGTAGATTTCAAAAACCCTAATTTCTATAGATTTATCATGGAATGATGTTTGTTGGTTCTCCCTGACGGAATTCGAACCATGCCAGTGTTTAACCAACGCCGGTAAAGTTGATTTTGCAGGAGGTCACCGTGTCCTCCTTCTGTACCCTTCCACGCCTTTTGAAATATCTTTTGTCTTCCAGATCCATCCTCTCAGGAGAGTTTTAGTAGCCATTTCGGGTGTCCATTCGTTATGGCAGGTGTGTCATCCTTCCTTCCTTCCTTGCCTCATGAATCTGTAGCGATCTCTGCTTGCTATTGGTTTGAGCACGCGAGCGAATGTATTGGGTTTTTTTTTCCTGGGAGGCCAAGCGGAAGGACTCGATGGTCCATATCCGGATCGCCTCCAGATTTCATCTGTCTCATGCAATCTATTGTACGCAAAGGCCAGGAAAAAAAATAGGCTCAATATTTTGACCTAAGTAGAAAAGTTTCCCTGGAGACGTTGGCCTCCCTTTTTGCCCCTGGCAGAATTTAAATGCTTTTAAAATCAGAAAGCCCCTTTCTGATGCACGAGGGTCCAATCAACTTAAAAATCCTGGAATAGTTACGTTTTAATAAATAAGTGGATCTCCAAGTGTCCATACGGCTCCTTCTGTTCTAGCTGGTGGTTTTTCACAAAGGTTTTAACTCAGGTACTTAATCCATTGCCTTACCATGGTTGGGTGTTAAATGGTGAAGTTTAATAACAGAATTTTTTTTCTTAAATGATGGGTCCTATGGGGGCCGAAGGCCTTCCCCCTGTTTTCTCCTACAATGTAAAGAGTCCGTTCATCTGGTTGCAAAAGAAGGGAAGACCAGACCCCACTTGGTTCTGGGGGCATCTGCCGATTGGCTTCCCCTGGCTCAAAATTATGTGGCTGCTCGTTAGGAAGAATTAAAGAGTCTCCATTGGCTTGTTTTCTTGTCCTTTTTCCTTTGTAGGGTGTGTTTGATTGTAAGGCACGGAATGAGTAGACCTCCCATCTTTATATAGCATTAAGAAAAATGTATTTTCTAATGGAATAATGCAGTTGATTATTGTTAACAACCTATCAATACACTTAAAAAAAAACCTGGGCATTTCATACAGCTTACTTTGGATATTAAGATGCATTTTACCTTTCCACAGGTTCCGAACTTCAGCCGAGCCTGGCAGAGTGTCATTCTGGCACCGTTTCTCTCAGGTTAGCTTGCTTTTCCCCCTCATCTCTGTGTATTTTCATGCTACCAGGTCCTCATGTGTTTTAGGTAGCGCTGTGGCTATTCTACAGGCAGAAATGCAGAGAAACTACCCGGACAGCAGCTGGGGATGTGAAGAATTCACCAAGATGGGAATGTGGGATTTCACTGAAGTAGAACTTGTCTGTGCTACTTGGTGTTTATGCATTACCAAAAAAAAAAAAAAAGATCAGCAGTTTCTCTCCCCTACAGGGAGAGATTTTCCCAACTGCTCCGCAGATCTCAGGGAAACAACCCAGAATGCATTTAAAAGAAATCCTTTTCCTCTTTTTTTTAAAGCTGTGCATCCGCTAAACGCTAGCCAGCAAGAAGCCTGCTATGAGTCTTTCAAACTGCTGTTAACGTAAGTAGAGGAGCATCTTGTGAAGGCCAATAAATGCTAAATCTAATTAATCTCCATGCACCAGGGTGGGACGATTTAGTGCCCCAGGGTCATGTTTTGTTAGAGATTCCAAAAAAATCGCACAAACCCCTATATGTATAAGGTGGGCATTCTACAACGTGGTCATCTTAGAGGCAGGAAACAGGCTCCCTAAATCTCAGCCACTTACCATATCAAGGGCTTTTTCTGCCAGAAGGGAAACATTAGGGACGGCTTTAAAAAGGAGAGAATGTTCTGTGCCAGCGGGTGGGCAAACCAGAATCCCAGAAACCAGAAGGGCTGCGCTCTTGGCTGTCGGTAGGCGAGTCCCATTTAGGGGAGATGGAGGGAATTGTTTAAAGCTCCATGCAAGGGGGAGGTAACCTCGTTTTTCATCCTCCTCCACTTTCCAAGGTGTCCTGTCCTGGCTGACCTAGATCTCATTAGGATTGCGAAGCAGTACGCCGAGCTGGGTCTGTCGGCTTTGGCTTTAGGATGCCTGTTGCTGATTCCTCAGCCCGAGAAAAAAAAACAGCAGATCCAGGTGAGTGAACACGCACCAATAAGGGTGCTGGTTTCTTAACTGTAAACCCAAAATGATTTGTTCTGCAAAATCTCTGATCCTGTGGATTTTTCTCCCCACCACACCTCTAGGGCTTCCTAGCTTCATGTCATCCGGAGGCTGTTTTACAAGAAGTGGAACAGATGAGCCTGGGCGAAGGAGCGGGTTTTGCTTCACAGGTACGGAGTAGGGAATACAAGACCAGACAGAGGCGGGTGTTTCCATCACTCGTAGACGTTCACTGAGATCATTTTTTTCACTTCTTTCCAGATTAGGCGTTTGATTCTGGATTATATCTTGAATGAGACGTTTGAAGGATTTCCAGCCGCCAAATACTCCTTTTTATTGAAATTCGAAGAGATGGATCCTGACAAAGTGAAGGGTCTGGTGAAAAAACTTGTACATAAGGGCAGGTCAGTGAAGGCAGAATCCCAACATGTGTTTTTCCTTCCATGGTGGAAGAAAAGGCACACCTAAATCCACTCCACTACTGTACACCAGTTGTCCTTAAGGGAATCTTACTATGGCTTTGGAGAGGGACAGATTTATTAATAACAGCCTTAAAAGCTTCTTTTCCTGCTTCGTAAGACACTACGTGGGGCATCAAAGCCTGCAGACTAGAACATTTAGAGGTCATGTCAAAGGAAAAATTTGATGCACTCATAATTCTGCAATACTAGTTTATAGGTGGCACTTAATGTTTATAGGCGGGACGTGTAAGGAATTGTACTGCTGTCCACCAGGCTGTTATGGCCATTTTATAGGCCTGGGATCTAGACACAAGCAGCTATAGAACTTGAGAAACCACCTTCTTCAGCCATTAGGATATGTTTCACACCCGGCTATCATTCACCATTGGGGGTGGGTGGGAAGAAATGCCTTTCCTTTCTCTGTATATATTTTGTTCTGGTTACCGACTGCAAAATTAAGAGGCCTTCCTTTCATAACAACATACCTGTTTTTACAGGATAGACGATGCAGCAAGTCTAATAACAGAATCCCTTAAAAGATCTGGAAATCCTCTCCCACCAGAGAAGTCACCTTCAGAGGTTGTGAAGGTAGGAAGCATGTATTTGTGTGAATCTTATGAAGGATTCTGTTGAAACTTCCACTGGAAGTGAATAAGAGGCCCAAAAGTTTGTTTTTTTTAAATACTGCAGGTTTTATTAAATGCCAATAACCAATGACTTTTCTGTTTGGTACGAAGGAGGTGTGGGAAGATCAGGGACCAAGTGACCTTGAACTCTGCGGTCTGCTCTTTCCTATGGTTGGCTCAGTTTCCCCTCATTATGACTGCTTCTAAAAGATCTGTCTTTATTAATTTTCCCCCCAGATGTACTTCAGTGGGGAGCTGGCATAGACCTCTCATCGTAACTCCTAGAAGGGGACAGAGCGTCTAAGGACTCCTAGAACATTATTTTACAATAGTCACTATTTCCATTTAGAGTGTGGGTTTTTTTGTAATGTGCATATACTAATTTAAACCCATGACAACTTCCTGCTGCTTTTAAGGCCGACTACTCCCTCCTCAGACATCAAATATAAATAGTTTTACTGAATCCGGTTCACTGCCATCCAAACCCCATTTACTGTATATCCTATGTTTTAATAATGTACACGAAGGTCATACAAAATGTTTCTTATCTGTACTTTGTATGTTTATTTGTTGATGTTTACACTGTAAATAAAATTGCTGTTAGAAAAGTAAAGTCAAAACAAGTGTTTATTACAAGACTGGGACTGCTTCACGGCAACACGCCGAATTTCTCTGTGCACTTTGGACATTATTTACAAGCATAAGCCGCGTTCCGGCAACAGAAAGCCAAGCCAAGGCAGAAGCCATGGGCTGTAAACGCTGTCGTCTACAGGAAGGGAAGAGTCATTTCATAAGCAAACAATATTGCAAACGCTGTGGACCGTTAGGGGCATTCTGCAAAAAAAATGGTGGGGGGGAGAGAGAAAAGACCGGGAAAAGGCAGAGAAAAAAAGCAACTGGCTTTAAGATTTCTTGTATTCGATTCTTTCTACTTTGACGTCATCCCCAATCAGCTGATAAACATAGGTCACGACCGTAGACGCTTGGATGTCCATCAGCACAAATGAAGGAATGATGTTGCTGTGTAGGGAAAAAAATGTTAACATTATTTTGCATCAAGAGTGTGCGGGGGGGCGGCTCTTATTTAAGACTGCCATGTTGTGTCTGGGAAGTTGAAAGGAAGTCGCAGTAGCCTCCCTGGGATTGGCTTCTATATAAATATTCGCAAGCCAAGGGGGCACAAAACACACAATGTAAAGCCACTTCACATTTAATTGGGAGCTTCACGGCACTGTGGTTCAACTGCAGTACTGCAGCCAAAACTCTGCTCACGATCCAGATTCAATCCCAGGTAGCTGGATTGAGCCCCACAGCCTTCCATCTTTCCAACTTGGGTACCATGCTTGCTGAGGAGAAATTGTGCAGCCTAAATAATTAAACTGTGAACTGCTCAAAGTGCTTTAAGCGCTACGGGGTGGTATGTAAGCAGCACAGTTTGCTTTGTTTTAACTGAGTTCTGCTGAAACCCTCTAACAGTACGGGGTGGTATGTAAGCAGCACAGTTTGTTTTAACTGAGTTCTGCTGAAATCCTCTAACAGCAACTTGTAACACCAATGAATCGTATTGGCAAACTAAGAGTCACTGTCTCCGTCTAATAATTCTGCTGGAAGATGTTTTGATTTCATGTCGCTTTCCTAACAGGAAAACGAGATCTGGGCATTCAGCCATATTTACTCAACCCAACACCACCAAATTCATGCAGGAATAATAATACTTCAAGGCCAAGAATAGCGAGGAAGCACAAGATCCTTAACGCAGCTCATAGAACAGGAAATAAGGCCACCCTGCCCCCCCCAACTGAAAAGGGTCTGCAAAGTATCACTCACTTTTCCAAGGCGCTGTAGGCTCCTGTTGCCGAGCCAGGATTAATGTAGAACTTGTTTTCATGTTCAAACGCCTCGAATTTGTGTGTGTGGCCGGAAATGAGGATGTCCACATCAAATTGCCTCTGCAGTAGCGCCAGGCTGGCCACGTCGCCCCATGGAATAACTTGATGGCCATGAATCAGGCCAATCTTAAACTGTCCAACGGTTACAACTTTCTGTTCAGGGTAGTTCAGGTTCTGCGAGCAAGGACAGGGCAGGTAAATTACTTACACGGAAAGAGTCCCTTAATATATTTTTTAAAAAAATCATCCTGTACAAAAATGCTATCACGTGTTCAAACGACAGCAGACTGCAGCCATCTCATGTCCTGACCAAAGTAGGCGGAGAAAGCCGAACCTTGGCCACCACCAGGAAAGGCGGTGCACACCCAATTCCCAGGCACTCCTCAAGAAAAACGTGCTATATCTGAAATTTGGGCAGGGGGAGAACAGTCACGTTAAGTCAGAAAACCATCTCCTGTGGCAACTTAAAAGACCAACAGTCCACTTTGGACTAGTTTATTTGGCATAAATAATATAAGAGCTCGTGCCAAATAAAACACAGGCGTCCTCAGGGAATCCACAACACTCTGTGCATTTTACTACAGCCAACGTCGTTCAGAGACACAAGAAACCCATTCTGTTCCTATTTTCTTCTTTAAAATGGTGCGTCTTATGGAAAGGTGCGTCTTATGGAGCAAAAAATACGGTAAATATAAGAGCTCATGGCAAATAAAACACAGGTGTCCTCAGGGAATCCACAAGGCTCTGCATTTTACTACATCCAACGTTCGTTAGAAGCATATAATGCAATAAAAAGGGGACCTTCAATAAGAGTTAGACCTGTTGGATCGGCTGTATTTATTTGCCATTCAGCCGTTGATTCAGTGGGTCTCTTCAGGACCAGCAATCGGGTTTCGTCTTCAGAACAGAACTCTGCACCATGCCCTCTCCAGGCAAGGGTGTGGGTGTCATTACCTCATCCAAATCCCCTCTCACGACATGGACATCGCCCGCCAAGGTCTTGAGGTAGTCATAGCTGTCCTTCGTGCAGAGGTTCCCCGTGCAGAGGATGTGCTGGATCTTTCCTGGAACTAGCAATTTCTTGAATTTAGCCGGCAGGCTGTTGCAGCGGTGGGGGATGTGAAGATCTCCCAGCACTAACACCAACTTAGAAAGGGGGAAAGGAGGGGAAAAGACACCCTTGAGTTTCTGCCAACACCTCCAGAGCTGCAAACCTTTTCCACAGTTCCACGGTTTGACACAGTGCTAGACAAGCGTCACGGAAAAACAGAAGCCGTCCCATCAGCTTCTAGTTGAACCGCATCTCTCCTGCGTTTTCCAATATTTAGAAAACCCCACAGCACAGGGATATCAAAAGGAGGCAAGCAGACATTCACGCCCTTCCTTGGCATGGGTCAAAACCTCCAGCCATGAAACATGCCTTAGCCCAAATGCAGGACTGGGCCGACTTTCAAACCCCACTCGTGAGATTTTCCACGTTGTCTGTGCCAGTTTTAATGTGTCACAAGCCCATCCGCAGGGTCACAACAGACCAAGATGGCTGGCTTGCACTCTGTCTTAATCCAGGAAATTTTTGCTACTTTTTGATATGCCTGCACAGGATTCCACCCACCCACCCAGGTCACACAGAATTCTGGGACACCTCTAAGGGCGCACACAAACTTCTCAGAGCTTTGGACAAGCTTGTATGTCAGGGGTAGGAAATGAGGGCCATTATACGACAGCTGCCTGCGGTGGACCCTACATCATGCACTCTTGCCGTAGGGCCTCGCTATGCGTTCTCTGAGCTGACAGGAGCATCCCGAAGCATACTGTTCATCTATTATGCAGTGGGCAGAGATCAGCAGAGTGCTTGAGGCTTTTCTTGATACATTTTCTGCCTTTTTTTCTCACTGAAAAAAATGTAATATACTTATGACCAACGTCATAATTTAAAGCAAACTCAGCATGAAGAATTTTGGCTCTTCTACAAAAGTTTAGCTACCACTGTCAGTTCCAGCCAGTAAAAATTTTTTCTTCCAATCTATCTTATGAACTCCAAAAGCCACGAAGAGAAGGGTCACCTACCACCGTGTTAGCAAGAGGCCAAGATGAACAAACTTACTCTGTGCCCAGCCTTATGGGATGGAGAAGTTGATTGCAGACAGGGGTGGGAGGAGTGAGAGGATGGGCGGGCAGGGATGGAGTGGGGGGAAAGGGGGAGAAAACAAAACAGGGTGAGACATGAACCGTGTTAAATAAAAAGGAAGCAACAGAAAAGGAAATATCTCAAGCCATGTTAATAAGCAAATCATCAATAAGATTTGAATGTTAGGGAGAGAAAATGTTTTAAAAAATCTGATTTATGCAACGAATGCCATAAGGATTATTGGAAGGGCTTTCCCAGCATTGTCTGATGAAACCGTCGTAATATCTCTGGGTTCGCCAATGAACTGCTAACATTTTAAATTGACATACAATGTGAGTCAGGTAGCTCTCTATTCAGATCCATATTGCTCCCAAAGTGTAAGCGAAATTACAAGAGAGGAATTGCTGCTGTAAGTGCCTTGAATTACGATGAGTTAAGTATTATAGGGAGGTTGTTCAGAGTGTGACTGACGGGAAGCAGGGCAGAATCAGCAAAGAAAGGGCCGGAGCGTGTCCAGTGGTTGCCAAACTCACAGGGAAACTGACTTCCCTCGACTGTCATTCCCTCAACCCTTTTTACCTTCTTGACCCAAGTCTTTGCAGGAGGGCTTAAGCCCACTAAGCGGCCACTGAAACCCAGGAAACTAATTTCTCAACTCAGTGAATTTAAACGCAGCGCATCACATAGACAAGAAAAGAGTCGCCATGGGTCCTTTTGAGGAGAAAAGCGAGGGGAGAATATTTGAAATAAATCAATGAGGGTTGCCTTCCCTTTCTTTCCTCTTCCAGCATCATTTTAAGAAAAGGGGGGGAGGAAAGCATCAATAGACTGGTGATAGTGGGAAAACATAATAATAATTAAAAAGCCAGGAAGGGTGTCTGGGGCAAAGGGAAGGTTACCTGGCTAGGAATACAGCCACCCAATTTGTGGGGAAAAAATGCCCTATAATTCTTCCAAACATCCCATTATTTTAAATAAGCCAGGCAGCTCTATAAAGCGATTCTGGATTGTTCCCCCTACGTTAAGACTGGCAGCCTCTGCCCGGCCCCAAAGCACCACCACCCCCCTTTTATGTGTCCGATTCGCCCTGGGAACCACGAGGGCACCCAAAGGTGAGGCAGAAAAAAAGGGCTGGGGGCCGACAGGCCTGAACAGCCATGAAGGCAATTAATTGGGTGAATTAATTAATTAATTAACAGGCAGTATTCCGACCTCCTGAGCGTCGAGCGACGCCCTCTTGAACCAGCCTGGCGCCCTCAAGATTTATAGATGGGACGACAACAGCCCCCCCGCATGGTTGAGCCAGAGCCACCACCGGCTGTGGATGATGGGGCTTGTAGTACAAACATAAAAGGCAGGATATTGAGGGGGTCGAAGTGAAAGCCCCCCCCCGCAAGCCAACCCGGGGTAGCGCCCCCACCCCTTTCCCTGCCCCATCGCCCCCCCACGCCGTATCTGCCCCCCACCCGTCTCCTGCGCCCCTTTCCGGGGACGACTCACCATCTCGACCCCCCCTCAGCGCCGCTCCGGTCGCCCCTTCTCGCCGCCGCTTCCGGTGTGCCAAACCCAAGGTCCGGAAATGACTCCTACGGAAGCCGACGCGGGTGTCAAAGGGGGGAAAGGGCGTGGCGTGGACGGGGCGCAGGCGCTGCTCAGCGAGCCCGGAGAAGGGAAGGGGCCAAAGGGTAGCGGACTCTATGGAATTGGGAGCGCACTTCCGGCTCATTACGGACGCAGCCGCTCCTGCCGCGCGGGGGGAGCATCCGAGAGGAGGGAGAAGGGGCGGGTCCAACCTTAGGCCACTCATTTCTTTCCCTCGTCTTACCTCTTATGGCGGCGTTGGCATGGAAACCGGACGTAGAGCGCGGAGCATCACGGAACCTTGTCCCTTAGGGGCGTTCCCTCTTTCTCGCGCGCGACTCGCTCCCGCCGCGCCATTTACCTCAGGCGCCTTTTCCCGCCTTTTTTGGCCAGGCGGGCGGATTTTTCGACGTTGTCCTAAAAACACTCGCACGCACCACACATTTTTACACTTTAAACAAAATCTCCTTTTCAGCTGAGCTTTTTTTCTCTCGCCTCCGCCTCACCATGAAGTGTGTGATTGGGGGCGCCCACGTCCGAGGTAGCGCCCACAGGCCTGAGGAGGCAAAAAAAAAAAAGAGAGAAAAATCCTATTATCATCATCATAAAGAGCAGTGATTGATTAATAAATAATAAATCTTCCTGATTTGTTCACATTCCAGCCTTTCGCATTATGTCCCTGGAGCTATGTCGACATAAAATCACAAAAAAGAGCTATAAACGCTCTTTTTTAAAAGATATTTATCAATAGAAAAAATGGGGATCCATATAACAAGCCTTACAAGGACCTTTAAAGCAAAAGTATTTTATACATTATATACAGTACAAAGTGTTATAGGAGAAACACAAACTTACTGTATTGTGTATGTAACATTAAAACATACACAATATAGTCAATTTTAGTTTTGTTTTGGATACCGTGACCAAACGGTATCTGCGGGCATCATTTTCAAGCCACTTCCCGCTCCGTGGATGCTGAAAAACCGCGGAAATATGGAACGCTATACATGGCATGGTCTCTAGCTCGCTCTAGAGCCAATTCTAGTACAGTAAATACACCCTGGGGATACCTATAAAAATAGTTCTGTTTTTTTTTAATTAAGTATTTTCTGACGGGATAAATGAACCAGCAGATATGGATCCCACAGATAGGGGGAATCCAACTGTGATCTTGGAACATGTCCTTGAGGACATCTAAGAGCAATCTGCTGCAATAACTTGAAATAAATTTGGCTTCATTCTGCGTAGACTTCTGGATTGTATGGCATATTGAAATATAACCACCCTATTTTGTTCTGTCCGTATTTTCTCCCCAGTATTTGGAAGGGCCATACATGCCCTTGCACGGATCAGTGACGAATTTTGGTTTGATCCAGTGGAAAAAGGCGTAAGTACATGCAGAGTTTTTCTGTCTACGCTGTACAGCTATAGCAGTTTGATGCGGCTTTAATGGCCACTCCATCCAATTAAACCCTGGGATTTTCAGTTTGGGGACGGGACTTAGATTTCTCTTTTAGGGAGGTCTAGCACCTGTCCTTAAGGGAGGGCAGATAAACTGCAAACCACACCAAACTACAAATCCCATAACTCCATAGGGTAGAGCCGCCACCGTTAAAGTGGCATCAAACTGCAATAACTGTGTGTGTAGATGTACTATAGAACAGTGTGAGAACAACCACATCCTGTATTAAACAGATAAATTTATTTTTACCACTAATTTCTGTTCTGAGCGCTCCTCGGAGGACGTGATCTGATTTTCTCCCAGGTTTCAACCTGGATGTCCCACTTCTGGAACCCTGGTGGGAGATTATGTATCATTGTATATATCATTGCAATAAACAGATTAAATAGATTAAACCACCTTTTCTGGAGCTATTTCGTTGCCAGTGAAATTGTAGCAGATCATTTGTTTACTTACGGCGACATTCTTGCCACTTACTGATATCAATATTTTAGTTTTAATTTTTTAAAGAACATAACCTCTGATATAACCATATTATAATTTGTTTGTTTGTGCCTTGACACGGATACAATTCCCTGCTGAAAATGCATTTGATTGCATTTACAGCTTTCCCTGAGATCTGTGAATTCGTCTCGGTCGGCCTACGCCTGCATCTTCTTTTCATCTACCTTCTTTCAGCATTATTCCTGCACAAATACAGCTGAACAGAGTCGGAATAAAACAAACATACAACCTAGATGCCAATTGGCAATAAAGGTAAGTATGACAATAGACTATCTTTTATCTTATCAGTGTAGTATAATTATTTGGGCAATAAAGTAAAGTAGCAATAAAATACTGTGAGTGGAATTTCACAAAGTGCTGTCTTCAATTAAAAATGTGGCTTTGAACAATGCCTAAGTTTTCATCTGGCACAATAACATTTTGCTAGAGCTGCTAGGATGTATTTTATTTTTATAAAATTGTTTGTATGCAATAAAGGAAGTGTTATCTGTAAGCATTTACTGATGGATTGTTAACCCACACAGTAATATTCTGTCAATATTAATATGTAAGCTTTTCTCTCTCTCTAATACTGTCTTTTCAAGTGCTAACTATTATTCATCTGAGGTTCAATGTTTTTGGCTTTAAAGTACAAATATTTATATACTGGAACAAGGACTTTCTAAAGACCCTGTTTAATATTTGGCAAAGTAAGTTTTGCTCCTGGGAAAGTCCATTCAACTAATAGTACTCCTTCTACTTCAGGCAGTCCTTCCTGTCTTTCGGTGCTTAAACACACTGGAAAGGAATGTGGAAAAATGCAAGATTTATACAAACTTTCACGACTGCCATGTGGTTTTTCAGCTTTTCTGCAAACATGGTAGGTCAGGAAACGGCACATGACCTTGTGTGACCTTTTGTGGGACAGAAAACAAGGTTTAAAACATTACTAAGACTAAGATCATAAAAACAACTTTGTATAATTCTGTTTGCCAATGAGAGCTTTGGGTGTGTGTTTTTTTTTTAATTAGAACTGGTATTTTCCCAAGTAGTTCTGTTATGGCCTGTGGCAGTGTCGAAACATCCTAAGAAAAGTCAAAGCAAATTTGGGCACAATTGAAATACCTTTTTTGGATCCAGTTTCAAATAATTAAATAAAGCTGCATGTTATATTAAACACCTCAGAATAAAAAAAATAACGGGACAAGTTGCAAATACATCTTAATACATATTTTCAACAAAAGCATATGATACAATGAACTAGTTGAGCCATTTTTCCCTGCATTGGGTTTACACATAGGAAAGAATTAGACTTGAGCAGATAAAGTAAATGATACAATGAACTAGTTGAGCCATTTTTTCCCTGCATTAGGTTTACACATAGGAAAGAATTAGACCTGAGCAGATAAAGTAATTAACAAGCATGGTTGTTGTGGGTTTTTCCGGTTCTAATTAACGTGCACTTCTTGAGAACGAGTTGAAGTGCAGTCAGTGGCCACTAGAGAGCACCATATGCCAATTTTTATTTTGATAGAGGAATTAAGGATTGAATGTTATTAAAAACAAATCAGCAGCAAACAGGCAAAGACCTTTCTCTTCAGACAAGCTTTTCCTTGACGATTGGTGGTTTGAGAAGGTTTTTTTTTAAATGGACTGCTGTGTCTTGTCATTTTCCTTGACGATTGGTGGTTTGAGAAGGTGTTTGTGTCTTGTCATTTTAAATGTGTTTCATTACTGATTTTATTTACAATTTTTAATATTATAGTTGTTCAATTCTTTTTAAATATTTGCAATTTGCATCGTCTGTTTCAAGGGGCTACCCAAGGTAAGAGTCCCATTCAGATTGTGATTCTACAATGCTATGAAGTATCCTACTGGAAACTGTCCCCCCCCCCGCCCGTTTCTTTGCATACTTAAAAAAAAAACTTTTGTTATAAGCATTAGGGAGAAACCCCCGTGCTGTTCCTGAGTTAAGACCAAAGAGAATCTTTTTGGGAAGCTGTGTCCTCAAGTTTATGCTAATGAGGGACTGTAATCTCTCTCCTTAGGTGTTATGAGAACTCATAACTTAGCTTTCCAGGAATGTGAAGCTTTGCAAGTTGTGTTTGGAAAACACCTCTGCCCGAATGTACTGAAAATCCAGCCCAGGTACGGAAAGGAACCTCCTGGCTACCAATCAACTTGCTTCTTATCAGAGAGTACAGTATGTTAACAATTACAATATAAAGGCTCACTTCTCATTTTCAAGTCATTTGGCTCTCATTAATCACATAATCAAATTTATTTGATTTATAATACCAACAGCGTTCAAGACAGTTTAAACGGGAACAAATATAGCCACAAGCCAATGCCTTTTTCTTTCTTTCTGTTTCTTCCCCAACCCTTCCTTTCTTAGTACCATTTAGCCCAACAAACAATTGTGAAGACAAGAAAACTTGTATAAGTTTTTTTTCTCCCCATGTTGCCTGGTTCCTGCAAAAGTGACACTAAACCGTGGATTTGGACTTTTCTCTCATGGGTCAGCTACCTTAGTTATTTTCAGCATTGCTGGCGCTTTTTACCTGGTTCATCCTTTTTACTTACGAGGCTGCTTGAGTACTCTGGATAGGAATAGCAAAAAGAGCTAGGAGATACATAAGGCAAAATAGAGTTCTGGCAGATCTCCTTTCTTTCTATCAATAACTCTGTACCCTCAAGTCAATTCTGATTTACAGCGATTCCTTTCCAGAGTTTTCTAGGTACGTATAGAGTACTTGCAAGGGGTCTTCTATTCCCTCCTTCTGGAGGTGCTTTATAACCGTGCTACACAAACCAGCTCCTTTCTGGCACTGTGTGGAATCAAATTCCCAACCCCTGGTTCTAAATGAAGCTAAAACAGTCTACCCATTTTTGCTATTTGTGTTTTTAAAAAAGCAAAGAGTCCAATTTCTGGTCTCAAAGACTTGTCACATTTTTCATGCTTCTCAGGCAGCTGTCCGACATACTGGTTCATTTTCCAACCTATCAGGATGAAGTGACACTCGCGGCAACGCCATTGAAAGTCTGTTTCAAGACTTACCTTGAGGATGACGCAGGTAAAAACGAAGCTTGCACTGTGACATTTACACATTTAAGGGTGAGATAGAAAATAAATTAGAAGATAATGCACAGAATGAAATAAAACAATGATGTCTTAAGGAAGAGCATCTTGTATGTTATGCGGCTCAAAAGTGATTTCATTGTTCGATTAGATTAAGCAAAGAATACATCTGGAAAAGAAATACATCCCAACATTCATGACTCGCTTACAAATCATGGTAATTAATGATGTTTTTTCCACATATGCTATGTGGCACTGGAATCACACCACTCTGTCACACAGTGGGACCTGCATTTTACCATGGGTGAACATATACCACAGCTCAGAATTATGCACCCAATATGATTAGGAAGATATTCACTTGTTTTCCTGTTAAACTGCTTTCTTGTTCATGTCTGTCATTTTCATGCTTTTAAAAATAGATTTTGCCAAGGCCATGCATACAGAAATCCACCTCAGCCCGGAAGAATTTGAATATTTTCAAATTGGAGTCGACTCTGAAGTCACCTTTTGCCTTAAAGAGCTGAGGGTAAAGTTGGTGACCCTTATTTGCTTGGCTGGAGAGCACGTCCAGCTACATTATGTGGCTAGGCTCTTTTATGGGGACTAGTTGGAAAAGTCTTGCTTCAGGAGGTTGGTTACAGGAAATGGGAGGAGGAAAGAACTGCTTAGATATTGACAGTAAATCTAGACGTTTGTCTGTTTCACCCTAAGAAGCCATGATGTTATTGGCACCCAGAGGTAGCCGACTAAGTAGCCCACTGGCTAGGAATGAAAGAACAGGTGGTCTGCAGCCGCTAAAGAATTTTTTAAGAGTCCTCATATTGTCTTATCACTTCAACAGTCACAGGCAGCAGGCTCCCCACAAGTGAGGAATATTCTGGCTTGAGTTTATATGGGTCGTGTTGGCTACATTTCTTCATGTTGTAGCTGCAGAGAAAGAATGAGGTCACGCTATTTATTCACTCTATTTTGATGTTATTCATGAAACTAATAAGAAAATGTTAAAAGTACAGCCGGCTTTTCCGTCTGGAAGAGGTTGCTCAAAGTAAGTACCTAACACTCTATAGTGTTTATTCCCAACCGTGTATTGCCAGAGTTCCCGTTGTAGGTCCTCAAAAAATGGACCCTAACTCTGAGGAAAGGATAGGTTGTAAATAAATAAATCAAAATGGCAAGGGAGTTTGGAAATGATCAGAAAAATGTCTGCTCTGCCCTGCCCCACCCGACTCAGATTGGGAATAAGTACATTTGTGATATGTTGGAATTAATTTAACGTCTTCGACTTCCTCTCAGGGTCTTTTAGCTTGTGCAGAAACTATCAATGCTCCAGTCTCTGTTCATTTTGGTGTTTCCGGAAGGTAAGTTGATGGATACAGTTTGCTCAACTAATAATTGAAACTGCTTAAGCTGATTGTCTGTAATGTGTATGGGGCCATAAGTGAATGTATTATATATAAATGCAGGGACACACAAATATACAAACACATATTGAGTACATGTATCTGTAAGGACCTTCTTGCATATACCACAGAGTATTTGCACTTAAGCAACTCACATGTCAGACTTGTGTATTGAGTGACACATCAGAAAACAATGGTGCCCACAACCCACAATTTAAGTGTGCTATAATTCAAGTTTGCTTTTTTTAAAAGGTTTAAGTCATTGTACTGCCCAGTGGGGTGATAGGAAGCCAAGCCATGCTGTAGTGCTTCTGATCAAAACTGGAAAATGGTTACAGAAGTCACTTCTGATATGTACATACACATATACCTACACACACACAGACATATATATCTGCCAGAAGTAACCAGGAGCTAATTCTCAGCTCAGATTTATGTTTCGATTTAAAGACCTGTCGCTTTCAGCATTGAGGACTTGTTCGTGGAAGCTAGTTTTGTTTTGGCTACATTAACAGAGGCTGAACATGGGGCATCCTCTCAAGAGCCTCTTTCACAAGCTGAGAAAAGGTAAAAATTTAAAGTCCAATTATTATTATTATTTTTTGCCAAGGGCTTGATTTTAGATGACGTGCAGTCTCTTCAGTTTCCAGAGAGCAGAGACGCAGTTGTTGTGGGTGAAGTCCCAAGGAACTGTTAGATAGTAAAAGGAATTCTTTCTTACCACTAAGCTGTCGTTATTACTCAAGAGCACTTTTCTTCCTGGGAGTTAATTGCTCTCATCAGGATAGTAGCCAGAACAGCCGTGTTTATTCAGTACAGCGCAGGCCATTGACTTGTGCTTTCTCAGGTTTTGTTCACATGCTGAGCAGAATCCCAGATGTTGCTGTCAAAGCGCAGAATCCCCCACAGCACCATCAGAATCTAAGAGGGAAATTATTCCCACGGCTGAGCCCCAGGTGCCTACCCATTTCCAGTTAACGTAGGCAACATTGATGTATTAAGGAACACAAGAGAGCTGTTTTATTCGGAGTCAGACCAGCAGTAACCTTCCAAGTGCTTGTTTTAGCAGAAAGGCAGTGAGAATAGGTTTGTGTGTGTGTGTGACTCTTGTGGGAACAGAAAAGTAACGAAGCACATGCAACTCTATGGCAATTTAGGAGTCGTCCAACAGAGAGATGCCATCAAGACACCGTCATCTGTAACAAGGATGTCAAAGATCCAAAAACAGCCACAACTCCAGCCCCTAGGTTTACTGTGACGGAGGGCCTGGCTCCACCTGACCCTAGCCACAACAAGGTAAAAGGGGAAACCAAAGAGGGGCTGGAAGAGGCTATTCCAAGAACCAAGCTTCACGCCCGTGCTTTTTGGTATTTGAATTGAATTGGTATTTTGATACCTTGGCTGTACTGCCCCATCCAGAAATGCAATAGAAAAGGGTTTTATGCTGTTGTGCATAGAATCTAGGTATATATTGGTTCTAGTTGGGAAACCACATTTCCTCCCTGCCAAGACCGGTTCATAACTGGTAAATAGTAAGTAACTATGGTTGCAGACGGAAGTGGGAACGAGGAGGTAAGAAGCAAATAAGCCAAGTAAATTATTTTTTGCAGATAGGCGGGGTACAAATCAAATCAAATCAAATCAATCAATCAATCAATCAATAAAGTACCAGTCCTTAAAAGTTGCTAAGTTCTTATAATGACCCGTTTGAATAGAAATAGTGTGTGTCGGGGGGAGGAAGCAGGGGTACTCTCTTGAGTTGATTGATCCAAGGGGCTCCATCAGACTGAATGGATTAATTACCTAGGAAAAAGAAAGCCACGGGCAGGTAACTTCAACCGCAATCCAGTCTGTACCCGTCATTCCCATAGCAGGCCCTCATCTCTCTGCAAAATTAGAAGGGGGTAACTAAGGACATGACAGTTAACTCTTCTACCATTACTTTTTCTAGTTTCATTCCTTGTTCTTTGGAGCAGTGTCATCCACGGAGCAGGATATCACCCACATATTCCATAGTTTGGCAACCGCAAGCGATACAGAAGAGGATTTGAGCCATGGAGAACTCTCGCCGGCATTTTAATGCTGCAAAATATCCATCTGTTTAAAAGGTTTGATGCCGTCATCAGGCAACCTATGTATCTGCTCGACACCCAGACTACTTGAGTTTCTGCTAGTTTTTAAGACGTGTTTCACAGTATTAGAATATCCTCATTATTTGGTACTCTTGCGAGAAGATTCTGGACAAATATTTTATTGCCTCTTTATCGCCTATGTAACATTTTCAAAGCACTGAATCAAGAATTCAGACATGACTGGTGAGGCTAAGTTGAATGAGTATAACTGCCTTAGCCTATTTGCACTTACCTGTGAGATTTGAGGGGATCGTTTGGGCAGGCTGAAGACGGAGGTGGTACAGATTGGGCTCTGTTGCTCCTCCATGTTTAATCAAGGTTTGTAAACTCACCAGGCAATAAAACTACTTTTGAGAATACAGTACTGGGAAAAAAACCTTGGAATACAACAGTGAATTGGGACTTTTTTAAACATGGTGTATGCATGTAGTTTTGAGAATACAGTACTGGGAAAAAAACCCTTGTAATACAACAGTGAATTGGGATTTTTTTAAAAACATGGTGTATGCATGTACCTCAACACAAATGCTGTTGTCCCAAACAAACGAACAGGTATGTGGTTGTTTCAGGCCCAAGAGCGAGCAGTTGCCCAGGGCAACCTAACAAAGAGTCACACAGGGATCCAGGGCTGTGCCCTTCTTTGAGCGCCAACCCCCTACAGTGGAGGAGAATGGGACCAGAACTGCTCATGGACGTTCAGGGTGGAGAAACAGACCAGCTAGTAGAAGTAGAGAATTCAGGTCATTTCTGCAGCCGATTTCTGTTTACTGGATGCCAGAAGAATTTGTTTTAAGCTTTGCCATAAGCTTTTTGCAAGTAAAGTAACTGGTATTTTGCCCTTTCATTTGAACCCCTCATTCATTATACGTTTTTTTTCTATTGCTATTCCTATTAATCTTTCCAGTTCATTGTTCCCCACTCCTCCTCACCTCCAAAAATTGCCGTGTGCGTGTTCCATCAAGCATTTCTCCTGCACAATCTCACTGGAATTAACAGAAAGTGCAAGTACGCACTCCCCTTCCATTGTGATGCTAATTGTACAGAACATACTCCTTTCATATGGCCTCTGGAATAGAAGTTGTAACTGCATTGGCCCTGCAATTTATGCTTTCCCCAACTTCAGTGTTCAGAAATGCACTGTAGGTTTTTATATTCCTGCAAGAGTGGAAAGGTACTGATAATCTGGTTTTTGTTAAACACTTAAGATCATAAATCCTCAGAAAACATTGCTGTAGGACACACTAACCTACTACAATGGGCTCGAAGCCTGAATAAGTCAATAAAATTTGGGCAAGGTCACATTTTAACAGTAACACTCCGCCAGGAGTGGGTGTTGGCAAGACCCTCTGAGCACAATCACTGCTGAAAAACCCAAGCACAAAGATTGTATAAATACTATATTTATTAAATATCTTTAGTTCATTTTAATGTATTTACAAGGTACTATTCTTGCACAAATTATACTTCGGACATCCAATTCACATAATTCTCTTTTAGGTAAGCACAGGTAATGATAGTTTCATTTAACAAGAAAAAAAGAGCATCCTCATTAGATCAGCTATCTTTGTCAGATAATTTAAAAACAAAACAAAAAAAAGTCCATGTCAATATTTATTCTGTTTTTCCCACAGAAAAGCAACCTACCACCCAAAGAGAAATTTCAGTCACCGTGTCTTTTGTCACTGCTTTCACTATGGACAGTTCTCTCCATGTCCAATTTGGTCCCAGATTTCCAGGCTGGTTCCCCCCCCACACACACACACACTTTTTATTTGTTGCTGCTGAAATAACAGATTGTAAAGCGTCTCCCAGGGGCTCAGATCTAGAGTCCCACCCACCCAAACGGAAGAAGAAGCGGAGATCCAGAGAGGACGCCTCCCCACCAGAAGAAAAAGTCAAAAGACAGCAGTTCCAATTGACTACATTGTCCCTTCTGTTCACAGAGCAAAGCAGAGGCTCCCGTCCTCCCACAGCAGGATTTTAAGGGCAAAGGAGCAGAGCCAATCCACAGAAACCCCGTGGGATCAGTCAGTTCCGCTCAGAGAAACACCCGAGTCCTCCATGCTCTCAACCAACAGCTACAATAACAAGGAACCGTGGACATGAACTCCTCCATGGATACGAGTATGTCACATTAGCCATGTATCTTGTCTCTACAGATGGGGTCACCCAACAGGAGACCTCTCCGGAAAGCAGGTTCTGGAACTGCTACAGCGTTCGGAAGTGATGCAGGGCTACTATGAGCCGGGGGTTGCTTCCTCCAAAATGTTCAGAAAGCAATTCTGCACCTGAGGGTCTCCACATCTGTGTCCCCAATTTAGGAGAAGACAAAACCTGGACCTGGACTTCTCTGCACCATGAATTAAATTACCTCCTCAGGGTTAACAAGCCACTACTCTGAATAATTGGTCAAGGGCTCTTTTCGTAAATGCACACGCCCTGCCTATCTCCTTGTGTAAAAATATATATATTTGTGCGCAGACAGCTTAAGTTAATAGGAAGAAATCAGGCTCCATTATGTTTGAGTGCACATCTTAACACGGAAAAGAAAAAACCCAACAACCTCGAGCGTGCAGTAAAAAGACTTAATTCTTTATAATACAGTATTGCTTTAAAGAGAGATGGCAAAAAAGCTATAAACTGTACAGGTCTTTGGTGTCCAGCGAGGAGGGGGGGGCGCTTGATGTCTGCACGTTTAAAAACTCAATTTGATCATTTAAAAAAAAGTGGTACTAAGAGACAAATGGCTTTATACAGTGCTTGACAAGAAATGCTCTAAAGGGAGAAAGGGCCAGATATTAGGACGGATCCTTCTTGAGAGGATCCAAGACGCTCCCCACACACTTTGTATAAAGAAGGGGAGGAGAGAACCACCTCTTAAGCGTGGGAGAGACGCCTCAGTCCTCTGCACACGTGTTTGAACGGAAACCCGGGGGAAATTCTGCAGCAAGTCAGCCCTCCTAAGAGGTGCTTACAGGAAACGAGGAAGTGTAACCAACAGTGAATATGGGCGATCTCTAAGCACAAACGAAGTCCTGGGGAAAGGAACAACTGCAGAAAATAAACTCGGTGCACTACAGCATTAATAACATGCCTTCTAACTGAAGAGACACAGGAACAGCTTGTTCAGCGTTAAATTGTACAAGGGATTGAAATGGTTTGTGCAAAGCTATCATTTGCCACATTTAAAAAAAAATTATAGCACTATCATTGTCTTCATTCCTTTTTATTCCACCCTGTATCCATGCCAAAATAATTATCATAATCCCATTTTTCAAATTAAGTGGTTAAGGCATTCTGAAAAGAAATTAAAGGTCGTTTACAAAAAACTGTCATGCCCCAAATTTGGAAAAAAAAAGAAAAGAAAAGGTAGATTACACAGCTTCCAAATGATTTTGCCCATTCTGATGGTAAATTAAATGCCTGTTAGAAGCAGGATGCATTGAAATAGTGACATGTACATGGTACATGTGACATAATTATAAATAAAAAGCTTGACACCATTATGCAAATATACAGTACAACCACAAAAAATATTTAAAACAGGCTGAGGTAACCTCAAACGTACAGTTTTAATACAATAAGCCTGGCCGTAAAGCTCCCTTTCATGTTTTTTTTTTTCCACAAAACGGAAGATTTCCTTACTGGCCAAGCTCATCATCTAAACATCAATATTACCCAACTTCTATATAAAACATGGCTTTTCATTTCTAAGTACTTTTCTATCAGCAAAAAAAAAAAAAGTTATGAAAAACTGACCAAAATATATATATCTTTATAGCTATTGGTTTTTACGTGAGCTTTTTTAAAAAAAAGGGGAGGGAGGGAAAGTCGTAGCTCCTGAAGAAACTGGACTGAGCCAACGAAATGAAGGGAAATGCTATTTTGCGAAATGGCTATTAGATACCTGTAAACATTAAAAGTTCATTCTGGAAATCCTACGTATCAGCTACGAAAATTTAAATGCTGTTTCTCCAGCATTTTGCACGTGTGCGATTATTTACTGCCGCGGGAGCGCGAGCAGAGAGGCATGTCGTTTGAAACCAAGCAATTCCCCCACCCCCACCGACTCAAAAGTGAAGATTCAGCACTGAGGATTCGCCACTTGCAATGCCCTTCGCCCTTCCGAGATGCCAAAGCATCTCGTGATTCCCTTACATTGTCCTGGCTTCGTCAGACTTCATTAGGACTCAAAAGCTCTTTAGAAAACTGCTCGTCTAAGGTCTCACATGAAGAGATGATAGGCCCAACTGCCATCTGTACGATGACGGACAAACACTTTCATCCCTACGCTTCTCTCCTCGGCCGACACACAACTCACAGGGCACAACATGCGTTGCAAACTTTTTCCTTGTGCTCCTCATTTAGTAACAGACAACAAGGCTCCGGGGCTGACATCCTATATACCAAGGGTCTTGGTGCATTTGGAAGCTTGTGGAGAACTCGTATAAACACAAGCCTCATCTATCCTCGTATAAACACAAGCCTCATCTATCCTACTACGTTCCTTGAAGGACGGCAGTGTGACCTTTCATGGATGAAAAACGAAGCGTTTTTCCCAACAACACGCTGGCACCCTCAAGGAGGTTCTCTTGATCTTTTTTTTTTTTGAAAAAAGCCCATCTAAGTTTCCATTTAAGAACAGCCAATTTCTACTAACTGCTCATTCTCTTCAGAGCCGTAACCTTGATGACTTCCGCCTTTTTCCCCCAACACGACACAATTTTTACTACTCAGCTGTGAAAAAGAAAAAAACACTTCAAGTATTGAAATCCTTCTTATTTCTTGCTGGCAGAGGTACCCCAGTGTACTCCACAGCGGCGGATCACGACGGAGACTTTGGCCGTGTTTTAAAAGAGGCCATGGACGTAATAACAGAACAGCCACTGAGATCAGCTGCAGAGAAAGCCATCCCGCCAGCAGGAAACAGTACGTACGACGGTGGGAACAGCTGGAAACACACAGAGCCACCAAACTGGATCTTTTCAGCCCATCAGTCTGTATACTCCGCGACTATTGAAAGCAGGACGGTGATGTCATCTGGTTTCCCACCTGCAAGATCAAAATGTGTCAATATTGTTGTTGCTTTTGTTAACGAGAAGACCGGCTAAGGCCTTGTTTTAAATTATTAATAAAACCTGGTGGGGATGTCTGGAAAAACGATAGAAATCTGCACCTCCATAAGGCACAAAGCCAAACGATGGGCCGACCCTGAACGTTGATACCGCACGGCAACAGGCAGCCTCGCCTACAGGACCTCGTCCTTGTCCGCGAGACAGCTCACCATGTCTGGGAGCGGACTCCTAGTCCCTGGAGAAAAGCTGGAAACCTTACCTCTTACGTTCAGCCCGTTGTCACACGCAAACTGTGCAAAGGGAGACATGTAGTTCGGATCGTAGGCCAGTTCGTGAGCTTGCTCAGCTATGCTTCTTGCTGTCTGCTGGATGCTTTCATAATTTGAATTCTAGATTGAGAGAGGCCAAAAGGAAAAAAAAAGATCCATGTTAATTTTTGAAAGGCTTTGCCTATTCACATTTTACAAGTGCACGCCTAAGAACTATTTACTCACCTTTTGCCGTTGAAAGGTCAACCGCATTGAACCCAATAGTTTATTTTGCGAGGAAAGAAATACAAGTATGTTTCAGAACTCTACCTAAAGTAGTGTATGAATGTCACCTACACCTACACCTACTCGGGAGCAGCTCCCGCTGGCACAAATCCCGGGAAGCTGCTCTTCACCTGAAAGCTCATATTGTAAGTCCTTTGACAACAGCTCATCTGCAGCGGATATTTAGCTGGTTGGAAAGCCCAGCTTGCCCTCGACTTCCAAACAACGTTTAACCTTGGACCAGTGTTCACGGGCCTCCTTTCTGCACAGGGAGAAAGAAAACTCTAGACTGGAGGGAATGTAAAGGGCGGCACAGCCACAGGGGCCAACAGCAGCACTAGCACACTACCTGCAAGAACATGGCTCAAAGTTGTCTTCTGAAGTTTTCTCCTCCTCGAGGGACCCACTTAAATGTCTGGGTATAGGTGCAGCCAAGAGAGGCAATTTTTTACAGAACTACGCAGCGTTGACAGACACTCCTGGCCCAGGTTCGCACTGCCACATACTCTCTTGCACACACCTCCCTCCCCTCAGATACATAAGCTTTTCTCAATCAGCCATTTAGCACAAACATGGCTGAAACTAGAGGCTTAAGGTAGACTAAGGACACTGCTACTGGTGGAACTGAAGAGGAGGAGGAGGAGAGAGAAAAAGGTCAGGAGAAATAAACTAATTTCTCTATTTACTTCTACCTCGTTGAGAAATCCCGTTGGCACAGACTCGGCCTCTCTTTCTTGGTGAACTCCATCAAAGGAGGCCAGATTCATAGTGGGCCGGGTGTGTGTGTAAAGGGCAAGACGCCAGACAAGAGCACCCCCCAAACAAAAAGCTCTCCACCCTCTAGCAAACAGAACAGAGCCCTCCCACCCCTCGCTTCAGTCTGAGAATTCCAGCACTTCCAAAAGATCCTGAGAAAGGTTTAAAACACTAAAGGCTTTCAAGCCACGTGACAAAAGCTACCAGAAAACACAGCGTGTACAAGACACCCCCACTGGTTCCTGGCCCAATGAGCCATGACACTATTCAGTCCTTGGTCTATTTGTTATTTACTTAACGTATTTTTTACGCCGCCTTTCTCCTTCAGAAAGGACGCCTACGACAGGAGGGACTCCCAGTCATGGTCTATTTGTTATTTACTTAACGTATTTTTTACGCCGCCTTTCTCCTTCAAAGGACCCAGCAGACGCCTATGACAGGAGGGACTCCCAGTCCTTCAAATTCAACGGTGCTGCCACCACGGAGAGAACAAGACCGTCTGCCTCCCTCTCCACAGAAAGGGTGGGCTGCTTTGACATCTGCTAGGTGCTCTGGGCCTTGGGGAACCCACTCTCTTTAAGAGCCCTAAGCCATGTGATGAGAGGGGCCGACACGACAGGGGTGCTATAAGGACGAGGAGACCGCGCTCACGGACTTCTACAAACGTTACAATCAGCTTGTGCCAATGCTATGATCCTCACAGTCTTTCCCCCTGCCCTGCTTCTGTGTCCCTCAGCCTGGAAGCCGGCAGCCGAGAGAGAAGGTCTAACACAACGCTGGTTACCTTTAGCTTCTTAAGCTCCTGAAGGATCATGTAGTCTGGCATGTTGTCAAACAGCCCATCTGTGGCGGTCAGGATGATGTCCCCCAGCTGGACGTCAAAGGTGGTGCTGTCGGCAGCATCTGGACTGTGAAAACCAGGAAGAGCAGCATACGTGAACGGCTCTTGCGCCAAGGCAAGACCAGCAACGGGGAGAGAAACACTGCTTGCAGCACCCTGTGTAGGCTAACAAGGCTTCATCTGGCATCAGTTTTTGGGGATGGGGGGGCAGTTTCATGGGCCTCAGGAAATGGGGCTGCAAGTCCTCAAAAATGCCGTAAAGCAACTTGCCAATCTTTACGGCGCTTAAAATGGCTTAAATCCAACCAACAGTCCCATCTCGCGTGCATTCACTGAATCAAAATGCTGAACGGTCAGTGGGCACCCTTGTACAATCCCACCTATTCAAAGGCTCTGCTCTACAAATCAAATCACAGATCAGAGGCATTTATTTTATACAAGAGCTGTAAGGGGATAGCGCTGAGGAAACAAGCTTGCTGGGTTGTCATGGTAACACACAGTGAGTGTATTCCTAACTCCTGGCCCCAACCCTCTCCCTTTCCCTGGCTTTTATTTCTGGCAAAAGTGGTTCCAGGGGCCTGATCCTAAAGGGGGGGGGGAATCTGGCTCCAGCTTCTTGGCGCGCACGTCCCTTTTACGCTGCTATTTCCCATAGGACAGAACATGCTTTTCCAACATTCCCGTTCCAGAGCTTGGTGTTCTGCCAAAGGGGAGTTTTGCTCACTCTGATTGGGCAGGGTGCACGGTCGGAAACTTCTAACTGTGCTGAAATACAAGCTGCAGTCACATGCTCCCCTCTCTCTGTTCTTCAAGTATTTGCTACCTCATGGCCAGAGTATGCAGGATGAGCAGAATCGAACTCTGAAAACGGGGAAGGCAGAGAACTGGACAGCGCAAGAGCCTCTGCGCAAGCCACACCAGACGCCCAGACGGAGTGGCACAAGAGGTCAGCCCTCAGAGTCCTTCTCGTTTGCTTGTGAATACGCTCAGCCTTACACACTCTTCCACACTTGCAACCGACTCTGCCTGCAGCAGTACAGAACGCAGATTTCCACACCATACACGCTGCGCCCTCTCTGAAAGATTACTTGCTCCACTTCTAAGCCAAGTAAGCAAAATACAGCCAAATAAATATTTCCCGCGGCTGCACACAACAGTAGTTCTGCTTGGGGTAGAAATTGTAAGAAGGGCAATACCAAAAACTGAAGCCCTGAAAGAAAGAACCGGAACATGTGAAAACCAAAAGCAGAAACAGGTATAAAGGCTGTATAACGCGACAGAACTGCTGCACTGCAGTCATCTTCCTCCTGCCATGAGTTCACACGGCTCTTCTGTGTATGAATGTTTCAGAAGACAGCAAGCATCACGAGAGGTGGGAATATTCCCTGTACCTCATAGGTACACCTTCCAACAAGAAAGGGCCACTGCATTTCCTGAAGGCTGGCCGGTCAGGGAGGAGAAAGATCACTGAGTGCAACCACAACACCCTAAGGCATAAAAAGCCACTCCCACATTGTGGTTTTTAACTTCTCTCCCTTGCAAAACGAATGGCAAAGATTAAAAATATGAACACAGAAAAACAAAACCACAGGGGGGAGGGAACAAAAAGTGTCAATGAGTTCCTCTGGTGCAGTGTCCGCACTGTGAGGTGCAAACGCCCTCTCCTCCCGGTGACCTCTGGGACGCAACGGAACTCTCCTTTTGTCCTGGTGACAGACACTCCATGCCAAAAGACCTCACCTGTCGCTGAGGACGACCCCTTCCGCTTCGGGCGGCGCGATGGACAGCTGGAACGGAGTGTTGAAATAGTGCTGCTGCTCGTCGGACCGATGCACGACCTCCCCGCCTCGGACGACCAAGAACCCCGAGTCGCCCAAGTTGGCAGTGTGCAGGCGGTGACTCGTCCGATCCAGGACGACAATGCAGGCGGTGCTGCTCCCTGGAAGGAAGAGTTGGGATTTATGTGCTTTGAGGTGACGAGAGACAGAAACGTAGCTGCTTTGACATTAAGGGCCCCCCCATGGGCTCTTCAGAGGGGATGAGCTTGGAGCCCAGCTCATGGGCCGAAGGAGACCTGGACCAAATCAAAAGGCACTCTGGGAACGGCTTCCGAGGACCCGCTTTCTGGACTACTGCCCTGCACCGTTTCCAGTTTGCAGGAATCCTCTTCTCCTTCTCAATCCAACACAGCTTTCTTTAAAAGCTGGCATCTTAACCACTTGCAGCAACATCATCATTACTCTATAAAACAAATCAGCTGCTACATGGGTTTGTTCTCCTTTTAACCATTTTCTTTCACTTATGATTGGTAGAGGCAGGTGAAGGAGCAGCCTCCAAGCATCTTCATACTGAAGAGAAGATTACAGGCAGCAGTCACAACGCCTGGTGATACATTTTTTGCTGCACACAGGCCCAGAAAGGTACCAGGAACTGAGGAAACCTGAGTAAATTTCACACACCGGATCTTGTCCCGTGCTCTTAACCCAAAACAGCCAATAAGAGTTCAAGATAAGGGGAGATTTTAGAAGAACATGGGGGGATAGTTCTAGCTGTGAGGAAGCAAAAACTGGGAGAAAGGAGGAGTCAAATACTCCAGCTGATCTAAGATGACCTGTACGTAGAAATTCATATTAATAAACAATGTGCTCAACCCAGAATTTCTCTTGCGAACTGATAAGGTCACGATGAACTGGGCAGGCGCTCACAGCAAGAAGACACCTTGGCAGTTCTCTGTTTGGTCAGGGGTTTTGCTAAAAAAAAAAAGGGCATGACTTGATGAGACTCTGGGTCCCCCCCCTTGACCACTTCATGCAGAAAATCTATATTGACACCAAAGCAGAAATTCTGTGGCTGACATTCATTCCTTGGCTGCGTAACAAAAAGGACCTGACTCTTTCTAAGCTTGGCAGAAGACTGCTAAATATAGCTTCCATATTGAGAGAGAGAGAGAGAGAGAGACCTTCTGGTAGGGAGACTAAGGTCAGGTGAGGAGCACATGTGGCTGGGAGGACGACTTGCACTTAAGTGTGCCAAAGGTTGCCTGTTTCTGTTAGCTCAGCCGGCTTCTAGTGTGACCCAGGTACTGTGCAGGTCTGGATCTTCCACGGTTCTCCTTTGGCTGTTCCGAGTCGTGACGAACCCTTCGTCCAAGGAATAGTTCCAAGACACTCCTAAAGCACGCACTCTGCTTCACAAACTCTCCGTGGGTTCAGTCAAGCGAAGGCACTACTGAAGGCTTTTGGTTTTCCCCTAAAATACTGGGCTGGATTTACTGCACTTTGATCAAACCTCACCAGATTGTCACCCGCCCCAAATTACCAACGGAGGGAACAGGGGAAGTGAGCCTCAAGAGAACAAGGGTCGCTTGGGTCTCATGAGTTCATGTCAGGAGATGAGCTACCAACTGGGGGTTTCCCCACCGGAGACGCCTTGTCAGCTGTTGAGAAGAACAGGAGTGTGATTGGCCGAGGACGGTGCAAGGAACCATGGGAAAGGAAGAAAGGGGGGGGGATTCCCGGCAGGGCTCTTACCGAGCAGAGGGACTTTGTTCTGCAGCAGCTCACAGTAGCTTGTGGTGAGGATGCCCACAGGATTGCTCGGCACAAACCGCCCCTCCTTGACCAAGCGTTCACAAGTGCGCATGAGAGTCCCTGAGAACTGAGAAGGGTCCACGCCGTAGTCTCGCCAGCCACCGACGCCATCCGCGACCCCTACGCGAGAGAGACAATGTAACCAGTTAAGCAATCAATACATCCTTTGTATCGATACAAAAAGGCCAATGTTTTCACCAAAGCGCAACATTTCACTCACATTTAATTTGATACTTTTATCACTTCCTATCGGTATTTTTAAAGGCGGCTTTCTAAGCTCATCACTTGCTCCCTATAAGATGCCGCGCAAGGAGCACAGAGGTACATAATCACTTCCGACAGCTGAAGCCCCAAATAAGGGATTGATTATGTAACAACATTAAGACTACAGAAGTGGGAAAGGCACCCTTATGCAGATATTCCCCAGAACCAAGGGCAGGCTTTGCTCATTCCGTTCTGGAGTGACACAAGGTAGAGGAAGGAGCAATTTCCGCATTCCAGTACATTCGGAGCCCACGTCTCTCACATATTCTGCTCTTTTGCCATTAGGCGCTAAGAACAACGTTGCCCCCTTCTGCTAACAGAATGGGTCACCTTCTGCTGGTTTTACAGTGTGTCTGTTCACCAGGCAGGCAGAACAACAGGTGAAGCCATTCCGAAGATCCCGTTCAGGGTCACCTTCGTGGAAGACTGCAATCTCAGAAATATGGCCGAGGATCTGCAGTCTGCCCTGCAATGCTCAGCTCAGCGGCTGCTTCTCCAGGTGGCAAGAGGCATAATGTAGCAGTTTATGGAATAAATTCAGACCATGGTTAATTATTCAGGATGCAGCATGAATCACTTTCCCTCAAATCAGAGGGTCGGCTGCAGATGGATCCCCTTTGGAACAGAAAGCAGCTTGCTTCTCTCCAGGAAATAAATAATCATTTAGTGCATAAAGTGAAACTCACTAATCCCTCGATAGCCCTTCACTTGGGACACCAGCTGAAACCGAGACAGAGGGTTCAAAATTGACCTTGGCATGAACTATGTAATCCATCAGCATTACAGCCAGACACAGACATCAGCATTAATCTGATTTCTCCCCAAAATAGTCCACAGACTTTCAGATATCTGTTTCTGTTTAAAAAAAAAAAAAAGCCAAGGTCTGCCAGGACGGAAAAGGAAAACTGCTTACAACCGCCACCGCTTTTCACAGCAGGACAGAGAATACAACACAACTTGGATCCTTGGGTGCAAAGAATCATCTCTCCTTCCTACAGCTTCAGGAAAGGCAGGCGAATGCCCTCAACAAGAAGATGCTGAATTTCCTTCCCTAGTAACACTTCAGCTGCTCTCTCTGTGGTTAAATAGCACAGTCACCTTTGATGACTTTGGTAGTTCTCTCATTTGACCGATGATTTTTTTGTTTGTTAATTTTCTTTTCAAAAATTAGAAGGGAATGAATGTACTAATCTATGCAGGAACATCCAGTGCAGGGACTAATAATCTACAGCAATGCAAGGAAGACAGAGAAGCAGATGAGAATATGCAAAATAACTTCAGTGGGTGCATAGGTAGAAAATAATGGCATTTCTAAGGACATTCATAGACACACAGCTTTTGTTTTTTCTTATATGTACCACAGAGAGAGAGAGAGAGAGAGAGAGAGAGAGAGAGAGAGAGAGAGAGAGAGAGAAAACAAACATATAAATAGAGAGAGAGAGAGAACAAACTTTTAAGTACAGCCAAATGTTTTTTTTAAAAAAACATTTTTTCCCAAGGACAAAACTGCACTCTCCCTGCAGCATTTGTACACAGTGGTGACCCAGTTTAACTGTTTTCCTAGGTAGAAAAATATACCTGCCCTCCCCAGGGTTTGCTCCATGCGTGCATCAGTTACAGTGATGCTGGAGTCTTCCTGAAATCTGTCTACATCAGCGTAAGCAAGCGAGAAAGCAAACTGTAGTTATTGAGGTAACCGTGTGCAGATCAAGACTGCCGGTTACAAGATGGGGGAGATGGGTGTAGCTGGCATAGAGGTCCTTGCCTTGACAGCAGCAGCAGCAGCAGCTAGGCGCTGAACAGCTCCAGTAGCGACTACGTTATTCAGACCCCTAAGCATCTCATCAAGATTTTATATTTTTTTAAATTATTTTTAAAAAACTAGGGATAAGGTAAGGAGTACAAAAGGTAGAGGGGGATATGGGGGGGGAGAAGGGGAAGGAGAACAGAAAATTGTCATCCAATCTGTTTGTTCATGTTGCGATGTCGACTTTTTCGCCTTTCTACAATTTGATTGCCCTCCAGGTTTCAAATTACAGTTACATCTTAGTTTAATTCTGTTATTCAAGCACTATTGATGACTCAAGCCATTTGTATAATAAATCCCATCGTTCAGTTGTCTTTCGTATTGGACAGTCAGTCTTTCAACACTTGTGATAGAATATCCATTTCTGCCGCCCCCCATACCTTCTCAATGAGTTCCTCTTGTTTTGGTATCTCCAATTTCTTCCAGTTCTTAGCATAAAGAATTCTGGCTGCAGTATATATAACTAGGTAGCTCTTTGTCTTACCTATATTATCTGGTATAATGCTCAGTAAAAAACAATTCTGGGGTTGGATGTTGGGGGTTTTTCGGGCTCTTTGGCCGTGTTCTGAAGTTATCGAATATCGTTTGTTCTGTGTAAAAGCCCTCTATTTTATCTTTTCTATACATAGATTCCACTTGTGCTCTGGACCACCAGTCTAGATATGTTTTGTATTTCTAACTCTTATTTGGACCTTAACTCATAATCATTTTTAATAGATCTTGATATCTTAAAAGTTTCCCTTCTGTCATGAGGTTAGGTTATGTAACGGCCTCTATGGGTGATACCCAGCCTGCTGTTTTTTTTGGTAAATCTGCTGGATGATCTTTTTCCAAGTCCCTAGTTATCATATGCGAGTTGAAACTTTTCTGCTCTTAATCTTTTTTGTACCATAGAAAAGCATGCCAACCTAACTGTAAATCACGTTGTTCCAATTTAAGTAGTCTATCATTACCCATGTGTTCCTGCCCCTAGCAGGACTGAACAGCTCCAGTAGCGACTACGTTATTCAGACCCCTAAGCATCTCATCAAGATTTTATATTTTTTTAAATTATTTTTAAAAAACTAGGGATAAGGTAAGGAGTACAAAAGGTAGAGGGGGATATGGGGGGGGAGAAGGGGAAGGAGAACAGAAAACTGTCATCCAATCTGTTTGTTCATGTTGCGATGTCGACTTTTTCGCCTTTCTACAATTTGATTGCCCTCCAGGTTTCAAATTACAGTTACATCTTAGTTTAATTCTGTTATTCAAGCACTATTGATGACTCAAGCCATTTGTATAATAAATCCCATCGTTCAGTTGTCTTTCGTATTGGACAGTCAGTCTTTCAACACTTGTGATAGAATATCCATTTCTGCCGCCCCCCATACCTTCTCAATGAGTTCCTCTTGTTTTGGTATCTCCAATTTCTTCCAGTTCTTAGCATAAAGAATTCTGGCTGCAGTATATATAACTAGGTAGCTCTTTGTCTTACCTATATTATCTGGTATAATGCTCAGTAAAAAACAATTCTGGGGTTGGATGTTGGGGGTTTTTCGGGCTCTTTGGCCGTGTTCTGAAGTTATCGAATATCGTTTGTTCTGTGTAAAAGCCCTCTATTTTATCTTTTCTATACATAGATTCCACTTGTGCTCTGGACCACCAGTCTAGATATGTTTTGTATTTCTAACTCTTATTTGGACCTTAACTCATAATCATTTTTAATAGATCTTGATATCTTAAAAGTTTCCCTTCTGTCATGAGGTTAGGTTATGTAACGGCCTCTATGGGTGATACCCAGCCTGCTGTTTTTTTTGGTAAATCTGCTGGATGATCTTTTTCCAAGTCCCTAGTTATCATATGCGAGTCGAAACTTTTCTGCTCTTAATCTTTTTTGTACCATAGAAAAGCATGCCAACCTAACTGTAAATCATGTTGTTCCAATTAAGCATGCCAACCTAACTGTAAATCATGTTGTTCCAATTTAAGTAGTCTATCATTATCTAAACTTTACCCATGTGTTCCTGCCCCTTGTAGAGATCAGGGGCTAGAAGAGAGCTTCCCACTCAATCCTCCAAATGAAGGACTCTTACGTTATAAAAAGCACGAGTGCTACTCGAGGAACAAGGAAAGCGGACACAACCAGAAGGGCTTCTCCACACATCAGCAGCTGTGACATCAGATAATTTCCACCTTTAGGCCACCGACCTATGCTAGCATTCCCAAGGTCAACCTAGCAGGAAGATTCTGCAAAGACATGGTTCAAAGGAGATCCTTCCATAGCAGTTTCCTTCTGTCCTAACAAAGCAGCCCCTTAGTTGGTCACAGACTGTCCTTCAACCCGTACTAAGTTTTATAGATGGGGCAGAAAGACTAATCTTGCCTTTTAAGCAAAGTCACTTTGATTAAAGCTGGCAATTAAGTTTGAAAGCGAACGGAGAGGATAAAGGAGAAAAGCTTCAAGCTTATTTGGGAGGCCAAGGCTGGAAATCCTGCATACGTTTACCTGCCCACTCTATATAAAAAAACCAGCTCCCAGTCTCCTGCCTGGGATTCTCCAGTGACACCATGTAAAAAAACACATGTTCCTCATGTTTACATAAAATAGCTTTGAAAAATGCCACAAGGCTGGAAATCCTGCATACGTTTACCTGGAAGCAACTATTTTTACCTGTTTTTTCTTCTCATTAGGCATGTATCAGATTGCACAACGATGATCATTCTGAATCAACCTGGGGTGGAGGCTGGTTGAGACAAAGGGGGCATTAACAGGAGGAGGGACAATCTGGACTCATTGCTAGAATATATTTTCTAGAAAGTCAATCAGCTAAAGAGTGTGCGGAGAGCAATTAGAAACTGAGATCAAACAGCCACTAAAACTCCAAAGCAGTCTTTTAAGGAAGGAGGTCAGGCGACGTTGAGATCTGTCTGAAAGGGACAGGATATAAATGGATAAAGATATAGCATTTCTCACACGTCTGCTCTGCCAGAAACATCTATTTTTTTTTTGCAGCCACGTTGAAGACTTGGCTACACAAGGAAGTTTGTGACCTAGAGAACAACTCTAGCCTAGAAAAAGAAACTCAACACAGGCAGAATAACAGAAGGCATTGAAAGAACTAAGAGGGACGAATATGTATTTGTATCTCATACACAGAGCACCTACTCCCAACAGGTCGTGTTCAAATACAATATTGCTAACTGTTCCCCAAAAGAAAGGGGGGGGGGGAAGAAAGCATCTTTGGTAAACCTGATTCCTGACTAAGTGATTATCTCATTAAACAAGAAAGTGAAAAGACTCACATTATGCTACTAAAATTAAGTGACTTCCACGGAAAACAGCCTCTTCATGGTTCAACATGGATTTTGCCATTCAGAGCTGGAACAGACCCTACAGGTCATTGAGTACAGGCCCTGTCAAGGAGATACACTAAGGAACTGAAACCCCAATAATCTTGTCACACTTTCTATTGGGGTGCCTTATACTGCTGTTTTTGTTTTGCCTTGGCCTTTAAAATGGGCAAAAGAACTAGAATATCACATTACAATTAGACCCAAGGAGAAAACCCAACACGAACAAGGGTCAGCCTTTATTATGTGCATTCTGCCCACTCTATATAAAAGAACCAGCTCCCAGTCTCCTCCAGTGACAGCATGTAAAAAAACACGTTCCTCATGTTTACATAAAATAGCTTTGAAAAACGCCACACGGTTGTTGTTGCTGTTTAGTCGTTAAGTCATGTCCAACTTTTCGTGACCCCATGGACCAGAGCACGCCAGGCCCTCCTGTCTTGCACGGTCTCCCGGAGTTGGGTCAAACAGAAGCAAGGCAAGATACCTAAATAACCACATACAGTATACGCAAATATACTCAGTTTATTCTCAGCACAGGCTGTGTTTCACTGCCTGAAGTAGGCTGACTGTTAGCACCCAAACGAGGTGCTACTAAAGGAGTGGCAAGACCTTTTTTTTAAAAAAAATTAAAAACCTATTTTCCATGCTCTTTCAAACCCTGAAGACAACGCTGATGATAAAGGAATGTGACCAGGCTGTGAGCTGAGCACCTCTCATGTTTTCTAGAGGATAACGGTCCAGGAAGGCCGGCTTCTGCTGCTGTTTCTGTGAGGCACAAAGGGAGCTGAGCTTGGGAGAACTATGGCTTGCCAGAGGCAAGTCAGGATGGTACCAACCTGTGACATTTGAAATGGACCCTTCCTCATTCTCAGCTCCTGCTAATCTTAGTGCAACCCCATGCATCCCTGCTCAGAATCAAGTCCCACTGAGTTCCAAGGTCTTTCAGGCAAGTTGACACAGGACTGCAGTGGTCACCACTCTTGCATACAGAGGCCGGCAAAGGACTCACTCCTTTTCTGTGATAAGGGACATTTCTCAGGTTCAAAAGAGAAAAGGCATGCACTGCGGTTTCACTGCTAGTCAAACAGGGACTAAACTGGAAATTGGCCCCATGCAATTTCTCCACTACCACCATCGACAGGAGTGGCTCATGTGACAACTCCACACCAGGCCAACATGACTTCTCAGAACTGAAGGCTAAGCAGTTCTTGGCATACTCATTTCACTGAATGACTTCTATGAAAAGTAGATTGGAACTAAATGAGAGAAAAAAAATCATACCAAGCTTGATCTCTCGCTTGATAATTCAGAAACTTTATTTACAGATTTTCTAAATCTGCCAAGACCTACTGCACACCACCAGTGCTACCTGATCACTTGCGCACACAGGAAAGCCAAACATATTAAAATAATTCAGAACAAGGGAACAGAAAGGGGCTTGGAGATATGATGTTTACAGACGCGGGAAAAATATAGGGTGTTGGAGAGAAAGAGACTGCCAAATGTGCAAGACAGGAAAGGGGCCAAGGTGCGTTCCATGGGGTAAGCCATCAAAAGTATCCTAACATGTCAGGACTGCAAAGAGCTGTATTTTTTCTATTGTGCATTAGAACTGTGGAAGGAGACAAAAGCAAGAGATTGTATCTTTACTACAACACACGCCGAGTCACCCATAACATCTTCTACTTCTTCCCTTGGAGGGAAAAGCTTGGAAAGAGAAAGTGCCCCTTTTTCTCTGCGGCCAAGAAACACCCAATTATATCTTCCTCCTGCAAACTTTCCTTTTAAGCTGCTTTGCAATTATGCTTGGCGGATGTCTTTTTCTTTATTCATGTCAGAAGTGCCACAGGGCAATTACTTGGCTGACAAGCTGGGTAATATATAAATAACAGGAACACAATCAGAGAAGTCAAAGACTTCCAAGCCACAGGACTTGATTTTGAAATCTTGGAAAGTACCCATTCATTTTCACAGAGACAGAGCACCCGCTTTGCATATAGGAAGTCCCAGGTTCGACTCCAGCCATCTCCAGGCAGGGCTGGGGAAAAACCCTGTCTGAGACTCTGGGGAGCTGCTGCCAACAAATGTCAAGGATAATGCTGGACTTGGATGGATCCATGGTCTGATTCTGTACAAGGTAGCTATCTGTACTGAACTAAACTCCTGCTCTAAATTTAGTTTTCTGAAAAAAATCCATAATTAGAATTAGTTGTCAAATCTGTATCAAAAATACTCGTTGTCCAGCTGCTGTAATAGTAATGCAATTGGCATTAAGAGTTAAAAGACAACAATAATTCCCTAACACTGCAGAGCTGTTTGTGCATCATTATGCTGCCGTGACTTCAGGAGCATCAGCTCCTGTGTTACAATGCACTACAGAAAGTGAAAGCTCTCAGCCCTAAAGATGTTCTAGGCTACAGTTCTCCTAAACCTTCACCATCTGCTTCTCTGGCGGCCATTGTAAGAAAAAAAAGAAGGGGGGGGAAACGTCTGGAGGGTCAAATATTCCCCAACCCTTGCAGCATGACCTGACCAAAGATGGGCCAGAAAGGAAAAAAAAAACACAATATTAAAAAACAGTGCAAAAAAACACCAAGGATAAGACTCACTTCTAGGATTACACCTTAGCCGTTCCCTCCCTTTGCACTCCCACTGTGTGTGCCAATAAAAAAAAAGGAAACCACTCCAAAGTTCATGTTCTCCCCACTGAAGTTGGGTTTTTTAAGGACAGCTGGCTTGGGTCACGTGCCAAGTAAGACACATTGTGCTGCTGGCTCCAGTCATGAGTCGAGAACAAAAATGGAAAAGATGAACTGCATGGTATGAAGAAGTTCTCCCTGCTTCTTTCTATGTTTGATACTCAAAGGGCAACAACACCAGCAATCAAAAATCATTTCCTTAAATGTACACTCCCTTGAAAAGGTCTTTCAAGCCAGTCGACTGTTTTCAATATTCGCTGATTATAAACAGGCATGAAGCTACCATGGCAACACTAAGTTTGCAATGGCCGCCACCGTGGTATGTGTTAGATACGAGAGCAGCTTTTGAGTCTAAATAAATCGTAACACACAAAGAAGTGTTTAACATGATCCATTTATGTCAGAAAAGCCCTGTCAATGGTTGCCAGGTCTGTTACCTCAAGCTCACCCTGAAAACGGTCTTTTAAAAGCCACATCCCACACATGGAGAGTCCCCCCCCACTTTGGTTTCTAAGGCACCTGACACAACCCAGCTGTGCAGTAGCTCTGCAGCAGCGGGCCCTGAAACCACAGTAAAATGGGCGTGGGAAGTGAAGTCTGACATACGAAACCGCTCTCAATGTCACTTTGCTTTTCACCTGACAAGGACAAAAGGTGCCGGGGAGGAAGTGAAGCCTCTGCTCCCAATGAGCAGGAAACAGGACAGTTTAAATTGAAAAGGGAGGGGAGGAATGTACACAAAATGGAATTATTTTTAAGCCTGCAGCTACATTGAAACTACAGGTGAGCAACCAAAGATAGTGCTAGTGAGGGGGGAAAAAAAACTCCCATCCTGCCAAGGGACCTGACTGAGCAAGATCTAACGTCATGTCATTTTTGTTGCTGTAATTTGCACAGTATACTTAGCTGAGAAGGCAACCCCTAGATATACAATTACGAGGCCCTTCCCGCAAGGACCTGGGGCTGCTGTTTCAGAGCGTGCAAGCACACGAAAGAAAGGGAGGGGGGCCAGGCTTCTCTCACCGCTCACCTAGCACATCCGCCGACCGGTGCCGCGCCACGAAGCAGGCATCGTCCCCGTAACACATGCCCTTCTTCAAGATGCCCTTGCGGAAGTCCTTGCCGAAGCCACAGCTGGCCGTCACCAGGCTGTAATCTCGAGAGTCCGTCTGAGAAAGGCTGCCCAGGACGGCCCGGGCCACCAGCCTGCCATAGGAGAGCACCGAGAACATGGTGGGGGGAGCCCAGCAGCCGACGGCGGCCTGCAAGGAGGGGAACCGTGGGCCGAGGCAACCCTGGAGCCACCGCAGCCCACTCTGCACCACTACAGCCACCCCAAGACCCAGGGTTCCGGCGGTGGGAGGGGGGGGGCGACTCCAAAAGCGGAGCCTCCCCCCTTGCCTCTCCTCTGTCTCCTGGAAAGGGGGGCTGGAGCTGCTTCTCCTTCTGACCTTGAACCTTCCCCCTTTAGAAAGGTGGATCCCCACCGATCTGGAGGCCTCCCAAGACCTGGGCTGCTCCCTCGCCCGCTCTGCCTTAGTGTCCTTCTCCGGAAAGGGGGTTAAAAACAGAGGAACCCACAAAGCCCTCAACGCCTGCCGGGGTCTTGGCTTCTGGACCTACTTCCCCACCCCCACCCCTGCCCCCACCCCACGAGGAAAGGAGCTCAAGGGGCTTCCCTCGCCCCCACTATCTAGGCACCCAC